TAAAAAATTTACATTTTAACAAAGAAATTTTGTGTTTATTTAAATTCATGTTCAAATATAAAATAATTGTATTCCTTGCATTAAAACGAATTTAAACAAACATAATTTTTTATGTATATTAATTTCAGTGTTAATGCTTCCTCCATGAGGAAGCAAATTTTTTGCATCATATAATGAGGAAGCAAAATGTTCATGAAATGAACATAAAGGACACCCTACTTGTTTATAGAAGTTGACAGTCGAATTGACAGCTGTCAACTGTCAAATTGTCAATTTGGCATCAAATTCATGTTCAGCGATCCCGAAAATCCCCGAGTAACAAGATTTGGGTGTTTTGCACAGTTTTTGGAAGCAGAAATATAATTTTATTGAGTAAATGTTAGAACGCCATTCGCAAAAAAGTACCAAAAATTGTCGACTTTAAATTTCGAAAAAACTGTTTGAATGTTTAAAAAAATAATTTTTTCGTGTCACATACGTCTTGCTTAATCTCAAAAAATATAAAAAGTAAGTTATAGTTAGTTAATTATGTCTACAGACTTTACAAATTGAATTCAAGTAGGAACGCCATTTATGCATTTTTGACGCTTCTGTCACTGCCACGCACGACGCCAGTTGGAACGCCATGACGCTCAAGTGGTTAATCCTCCGAGAGGTTAAAGGCAGTAGATATATTCTGCGTCTACGCAGAAGCTGTATACAACTGTATACGTATATAGTTACTATGACTAAAGTTAGTTACTATGGCTACAGTTACTATGTCATAAGTTACTGTGGTAGCAGTTACTATGGCAATAGTTACTATGGCTAAAGTTACTTACTATGGCAAAAGTTACTATGGCACAAGTTACTATGGGAAAAGTTAGTTACTATGGCAAAAATTCCTATGACCAAAGTTAGTTACTATGGCAATAGTTACTATGGCTAAAGTTACTTACTATGACAAAAGTTACTATGGCATAAATTCCTATGACCAAAGTTAGTTACTATGGCAATAGTTACTATGGCTAAAGTTACTTACTATGGCACAAGTTACTATGGCAAAAGTTAGTTAGTATACGTATATTCTGCGCAGACGCAGAATATATATTCTACTGCCTTTAACCTCTCGGAGGATTAAATTTATTCATACGGTGAAAATTGCCTATATATTGAAAAAACTGCAATGATTATATAGAAATACAATTACTTTAATTTGAAATTATTTTTTGGACAGATGAGAAATGCAAATAAAGGAAAAGAATAACTTTTTAATTCAGTTAAAATTAAAGACTGTTGTCTTAAAGCAGCTGTGAGAAAATTTTTCTTTTCATATTTAATTATTTTTAAATCAATTTAATTATTATTTAGTTAATTTAAATACAATCGACATTTTAATAGATAATTTAATACATGGTATCAATCAAAAATATCTAATCTAACATGGAAAAACTTATTTTTTATTAATGTTCTTTTGTTTGTAAAAAAGAAGAAATTATTTTCCAATAAAAAAAACTTTCATGGAATAGAATATTTACTTTGGAAAAAAATATGCAAAGAATGAAAATAAGAAGATATGACTTTTTTTATCACATATTGAATTTTTAATTATAGATTTCTATTAAATCGTGTTTTTAAAATCTGTCGTTTTTTAAATTGTAAAAATCACATTGATTTTATAAATTTATATTCAATACCTTCTGATTTGCATTTAACCGTAAATAAACCAAGGAGAGATAAATCGGCCAAGGCTCGATTTACATGTTCAGATGCGAGAAAATATAGGTACAAGGAGACGTAGATGCCATCTATCAATCAACTAAATAACTTTTACAAATAAGTCATGATTGCTTATTCTTTTTTTATTACAATTTTATATACTATTGGCTCTAATATAACGAAGCAATCAAACTTATATTTTATTGCTTGATTTGAATTTTTCAGTTTTAAAATGAATTGAATGCAAGTTATTAAATAAATCATAAATTTTATAAAACATAATAACACTAAAAAGTAAAATTTGGATTTAAATATTCAATTACTATTATCAAATAAATATTATTTGCGTCAAATATAATTATTGTTTTAGGCAATTAAATTATATTTATATCAACTACAGAAATTTTCAATCCAAATATAATTTTTTTGATTCAAATAAAAGTTAATTAGTTCCACTAAATATTTATTTATTAACAGTTCTGTAACCGAAATAACGACGTCAAATAATTATATTAATATTATTTTCATCAACAATTAATTTTAATAAATATTGATTTTAGTTCCAATATAACTATAATATTGGTTCGTTATGAATAATTAAAGTTTGTTCTAAATCAACCAAAATCAATAAAATAATAATCTAATATTATAATAATACAGTAATAGAGAATCAAAAATTATTTTATAATTAATTTAAAATCTTGAATTCTTTACACTGAAAAAAAAAATTTATTTCATTCAAATAATCGTTTACTTGACAAATATAAAATAATATTTATTTTTATCAAATAATTATTATTTGAGTCAAAAATGGTATTTGTATCAAATGCAGAAATTATTAGTTTAAATATAATTTATTTAATTCAAATAAAAATTATTTGGTTCAAGTAAATATTTATTTGATAATAGTTTTCCTTAAAAAATATTTTTTTTAAATTTTTTAATTAATAAAAATTACAAGAAATATTTTTCATGCAAAAAATTATAGAATTTTTCATTCTAAAAAATTACTATTTGCTATGAAATTAGTTATTTTTAACTAATTTAAATTTAGAGAGCACGCAATGTATAATAACGTTTCTATTTCTCTTTATCGAGTATGAGAGATTTAAGTAGTAAAGTGCGTTTATCGTCAGCCGACAAGGAGAAGCAGCGTAAGATATTCAAGAATTAGAACAGTTACGTTTCATATAAACTCACAGTCATAACAATACACACGAATTTTTACTTTATTTTAGTAGACAATTTTCTGAATAGATTTGTTTTCTACTTTCTAAGTAGATTTATTTTAAATCACGCATAACCCTAAAACGTATATTATGTAATTTTAAGTATTGACTTACTAAATAAAAATGCCTAATTAAATCTGCTTAAAATAAATTAATTGATAAAATGAATTAATCTGCTCGTGAAATGATCAAATTATATCATTTAAATAAGTTTTATTTAAACTATATTAATAATATTTTTTGTTTTTAAACGACCATCATAAACGTTGTAAACTTCACCGATGTAACACAACAATTATACGAACAAATAAACAAGTGATTATTACATTAAATCATTAAATGAAAACAGACCTGTTGAATCCAGACATTTTTCAAACAATAATTACCAATTATGCATCATGAAATCCGTTCAATCAACTGTCTCTATTAACATTTCCTTTTGTTACACTATATATTACGTATAATTCAATTAAATTTTACTAAATATCTTTAGATTTTTAGTCTTTCAGAGAATGTTTTTGTCACATTTTTCAAAATTTAATTTTTGACACGTATTTATCGACCGCAATTTTCTCGTAAAATACTGAATTTATTGATCTGATATTTTATTGGAGAAGTTGAAAATATATGATTAAAAACATCTGTTATATGTGATATGAGCCAAAAATGTTGAACGTTCAAATGAACGAAATTTTTTTTGCAACTTCTTTAAGTACGAATTTTATTACAAAATATTGTTTTAAATATCTAAAAAGAAGTTATTTAATTTAATAATTGTTTAATTTACTGTTTTATTTTACATTGACATTATAATTTTTAATAATATTTATAGATTGAAAAAAATATTTTATTCATTTAAACGTTCAGAACTTTTGGCTCATGTTATGTGAAAAATTTGCAATATTTGTTGAATTAATTATTATTATTAATAAAATATTTGAAAATCATTAGAAAATCCTAACATTAACGTCACGACAATTTACTCGCTAAATCTGAATTAGTTAAAAATAACTAATTAATTTTTTGGTAAATTCTAGATTGACTTATTGCTTCCGCAATTAGTAAAAAAAAAGTTACTAATTTTAGTGGAAAAATTAATCTAAAAAAATAGTCAAAACTAATTGAATTAGAAATTAGTAACCTGAAATTTTAGTTATTTTGACATAACCTAAAAGTAAATTTAACTAGTAATTTTAAACTAATATTAATTAGTAGAATCAGTGAATAATTTTTTTTTTATTAATTATTTTTAATTAATTCAATTTTAGAGAGTACAAGTATTTTATAATAATTAATTCAACAAATATTGCAATTTTCGCTCATAACAGTCAATATTTACGAAGCTGAAGTACACAACGTTTATGATAAATGATTTTTAAAGAAATAATTTTTTAAAATGGAAAATTCTATTATTTTTTGCCTAAAAAATATTTTTTTTTTATAATTTGTTCATTAATGAAAACTAAACAAGAAATATTTTTTAGGCAAAAAATTATAGAATTTTTCATTTTAAAAAATTAATTTCTTTGAAAATCGTTTATCATAAACGTTGCGTACTTTAGCTTCGTCAATATTTTTTAAACTTCTGCAATAAAACTTCAACTCAATCCATTCAGAGAAAAGTGATGGACAAATTAATATATTGTGACGATCACGTGACCCTACAATCATATATAATGTAAAGTTACTTTATTGAATAATTTTCCACTTTATGCTAATATTTTAGAACTATAAATAGAAACTATATTCTATAAATAACACGAAACAAAATTTTTTTAATTGAATATATTTTTAAAACTATGAGACAAAAGTTTTGAACATTCAAATGAACGAAATTTTTTTTGCAATTTCTTTAACTACTAATTTTATTAAAAAATATTTGTTTAAATTATCTAAAAAGAAGTTATTTAATTTATTGTTTTATTTTACATTGTCATTATAATTTTTAATAATTTATAGATTGAAAAAAATATTTCGTTCATTTGAAAGTTAAGAACTTTTGGCTCATTTAAAAGTAAAAAAAAAAAATTGATATAAAATTTTGAATGAGAAAAACAAAAGCTCTATACTGACCTCATAATCTCATTTTGGTGCTCTTCCTCTTGCTTTTGCCGCATGATGACATCCTCAATGATGCGCCTTTCCTCGGGATTGAGATAAGATAAATCTGGAAGGTCCGCCATCACTGTCTCGGCCTTGATAGCCGAGTAAGTTGATAACCGGATGCTTCCGGTTGTCCGCCGTGTAAAAGACCGGCACACCACAATTGCCAACGATGACCACGTCGATGATGATGATTAATCACTGTCGCGTCTACGTTTCCAAAACTACAAAAACAAGAAGAACAAGAAGAACAAGAAGAAGAAGAAGAAGAAGAAGAACAACAACAACAATAACAATTACGATTTCTTCTGTTATAAATTGTTCCTGCTTTATCTCGATGATGAACTCGTGCTAACTCCACTAGTGCAACGTCTAACACTACAACATTTTGTCCCGGGCGAGTCATCCGCCACCAAGTAAACGCACACCGCGACAGGGTTGCTTATTTGAATGCGCCAATGAACTATTGATGAGGTTAGGTCGTGTCAATGACAACGACGATGTTTTATTCGCACGAAATATTGAAATAACGCGCGATGATATATTTCTTCTTGAACGTTTAATAATACGTTTTTTTAAAAAATTGTCACCAATTATGATGATTTTAATCACCACGCATGGCACTATCGTTTGACAATGCGCTTCAATTTTCTTCTTTGTCAAACTTTGATTAATAAAATTCACATTTAAATAATAACCCGCAATTGTCGAACCGATACGCGACACTTTTTTCGTGACCTCACAATTTTCGTGAGAGGCTCTCTTCGTTGTTTGACCACCACTCGCCACATCCATATAACAAGTCATGATCACAGGGTGTAGTGATGTTTTCGCATTCTCTCTTCTTTTTATCGTCTAACAGCGGGTTCTTCAAATTATTCCCTTGTTTCTTTTTTTCTCTATTTTCTCCTTCCACTTCTATTTTTTATTTCTTTATTTATGATAATTATTTCTTAATTTGCTTGCCTAACTACCTTTTTATACATCCACAATTATAATAACTATATATATTTATCATTGGTGAGTAGGCAAAAGAGCAGTGTGTCCACCCCCTTTTGGGATCTTCTCATTTCTCATTTGGAGCTCTATCGAAAATTGACTCATATTATTATTATTATTATTATTTTATTTTTTTTGTTTGTTTTTCTGTGTTTTTAGAAAAAGAAAAAAATTATCGAAAAAATTTATTATATTTCATATATGTACATATATATGAAGAAATGGAGAAAGAACATTGGTTTTTGCAATTATTTTGAGACTTTCTATAAGGCAATAGGTCATTCGATTTTTTTATAAGCACAGAAATTGGACTAACCTTTGATTGCACGACTGAATCTTGCGGGTTAACTTCTTCTTGTTAAAAAAAGAATTGTTCACTTATTATCCGTAAAAGGGGATTTTTTTCTTTTATATATGAGCCAACAAAAAAAAGTAGGTATGATTCCCCTTTTTTTTGTGGTATAATCGTGCGCGGAAAAAGTCAAGGGTCAAGACTTTCTTAACCTTCTGATGATGATGATGTCGTCATTTGGTTAATAGTATATTATAGTGTATTTTCTCTCTTTTTTTTATCCTTGACGAAACACAGAGGCAGAGTATGTATATATATATATATATATATCTAGATGTTCAACTCCACACCCATTGTTGCGAATTCTTTTTTTCCTATCTCATACAATTCTTTATAACACTAACTCGTGGAATCACTTAAAATGCACAGTTTTTCTTATTTTTGTTTCTTTTTTTTTTTTTGTTGAAAAATTTTTTTAACGAGTTCTTATCGTTTTTTATCCTTATATCACTACGTTAACCCCGTAACTGCACTGTTTTCACCATTCCATTCACTCGCATACCAAATCGCTCTGTCCCTCTTTTGCTTCCCCCAATTTCGATACAGAGAGAGCTTCCCCGATATACTCGTCTTACTTCCCCTTCTCTTTTCGGATTTCTCTCTCTCTCTTTCTTTCTATCTTGCTCTTTTTGTCGACTTGGAGGGAGGCAGAGATGGAAAAAAACAATTTTATATGTACTAAGGGAAAATTTTACATTAATGGATTCAACAAATATTTGAGAATAAAAAAATGATTTTTATAATAATTTTTAGCCAGTGAATTATAATCGTTCACATGACCACCGACACCGGGAGGCCTTTACCGGGGCCACCATGTTACTTGTGTGCGGCTGAGGTTGCGCAAACGGACACACCAAGTCCACCCAGATATGCACTGACACTCCAACTCTTAGCGGGTTGCTGTGGGGAAGGAGGGGGGGGGGGTCGTGAAAACAGGGACGGTTTCAGGGCGTTTCACTTATAACCCGCGAAGTAACAATTTCTTTAAGACACATCATCATTACTTATTAAATTATTTTGACCAAAAAAAAAAAGGGCAAAGATAATTTTTTTTTTTTTATAATTAATTTAGACTCATAAAATTAATGAAAACAAAATAAGACAAAAATTAGATTTGATTATGATTTACACGTTTTATTTCTGAAATAAAAGCAATGTGCATGGGAAATCTTTATCAAAAAGAATATAGGAGACGCTTGGATAGAAATTTTAATATTGCATCTATGAATTTTTTTTTTTTTTTTTTTTTAATTATTTTTAACTTCTACAATTGAAATTATTTAATGAGTATATTATATAAGATTTTCGCAAGCTAAAATTTCTTGAGGAACAAAAAAAAATTAAGTTTGTTGGTCGTTCATTCATGCAGGCTTAATAAATAATGGGATGCGGTGTAAATTGGAGCCAATAGGGACAGCAGGATACGTTTACGTCATGGGAAAACTCGTATTGATCCACCCCCTCTCACCCCTTCCACAACATTGATATCAGGACATTGACAAGCACGTGAAAACTATACAATGCGCAAACTCTGATAATACGCCAGAGAACATAGATGAATAGGATAGAAAATTTTATAGCTTAAATTTTACGCGACTTTTTTGATGGTTAGATTTTTTTTGTTTTGTTTTATTTTTAATCCCTTAACAATGTTATGCTGTTAATGCAAATTATAATTTTAAAAAGAGTGCAATTCAAATTTCTGCTGAAAATTTGAGTTTTTCAGGAGTTGAAAAAATTTCAAATTCGCATGGAATAAACAAGTTTTTACGTAGATTACGTGAATACCGCGAGTTACGTACAATTATGCAAAAAAAAGAGCGCGTTTTTTTTAAATATTAAAAATTAATGTATTTTATATAATATTAGAATACTTTTTCTCATATGAGATGAGAATTGTTAAAATTTTAATATATGTACGAATTACAAAAAGAAAACTGATAATAAATTGTAATAAAATTTTTATTATTTCTTTTCTAAATTAATTAATTTAACATTACATTTATTTATATTCTTTACAATGTTTTCTATTTTTACACATACTAATTTATATACAAATTCTTAAAAAAAAAAAAAAAATTTGGTAGTAAATATTATAAGTTTATTGCGTGACTGATCGTGACTTATAAAAAAAGATTAATTAACTTGTTCATATTGATTTAGTTTTTTTTAATCTATTTGCTTCCTCGTAGAAAAATATTTACATTGAATATTTCAGGAAATTATCATTAAATTCTAAATAAATAATTAGAATTTTAATAAATGTGTCTACAATTTTAATGTTTAATATAGGTCCTAAATATATAGAATTATTATTAGTTCAATGAAAATTATCTTTTGGTGTGGAAAAAAGATAATTTTTTATAAAGAAAAAAAAATTAATATTTTCTAATCCCTTTTTCATGAAATGTGGCCTCGGTCAACGATCAATCCTCAAAATTTCCAATTTTTATTTTAGCGATTCTCACAGAAAAAAGTATGATGAAAAATACATACTCAAACAGAAATATAATAAAACTAGAAATTTAAAATATTAAATGACTCATTAGTCATTGATTATTATTTTAACTTTCTATGTTTACTTCAATTTAAAAAATTCGTTTTAAAGGAAACAAATAGTTTTTTTTCAACATTAGTGATTTTTTTAAAATTATAACTGAATCATTTGAAATATTAAATTACGCTTAAATGTAATTTGTGTTAGACTTTTCAATTACAAAAATGCAATAATTAATTTTGTTATACTGACTATCATGAAAATGGATCAAAGTTTTCAATCTTCAATTTTCCACTTTAAAAAAAATTCATTTTAATAATATACATATTCAATTAAATATTAGTCATTCTGATACAGCGCAGATAATCGATTGACAGAATATTGATTTTTCAATTTAAACGCTTAGCTAATTTAATCGATTATTTTTTATAAGAGTACATATTTCAGAAAATTTTTACAATCAAATTTGTTCATTAAATTCTATAAAAAAAATATTAATAAACTGCACTGTACAAATACTGTAAACAACTTTACTTCTATAAAAAAATAAACATTAATATATTTACAGAAAAAAAAGTAAACATTAAATTTATTACTCATCTGCATGAAAGTCATCTATATTCATTATTAGAAAAAATTTATTTGTTTTTGAGAATGATCTTAAACTCGTAATAATTCACTATTAATATTGAGTGAATAGATTTTAAACGTAAAACTTTTGCATCTAAAAATTTTATTTTAGATATGTTCTTTGTTCAAACGATTGTATTTTTTAAGTTTCTTAATTGTTAATTCAATATTAGAGAAATATATACAAATAAATTCACCTCGAATGTTTTAAAAATGGAGATTTGATGAAAATAAAATAATAAATTTATTAGTAAATATCCTTCAAATAATAAGAAAATGTTATTCTTTGATTAATTGGAATTCTCATAACAAAAAAAAAACTAATTGTATTATTGCTAAACTTATTCAATAATAAAAATTAATTTGTTATTATTATATTAAAACTTATAAAGATTTTGTCATTAAGTTAAAAATAAATTGAATTAAAATGTTGTAAAAAATTATAATAAATAATTCTATTATGTATACCATAGATTATTATATGACTTTGTGTTCAAATATTGAAAACTTTACAAAAACAAAAATGATTTAACAATTAAATATTTATATATACATATTATCAATATACATTTTTTCAAATATTCAATTCGAAATTCCTATGATAATAAAAAAATCATTCTGTACTCACTTTACAATTTATATCAAAAGGATCAGTCTAAAGTTTGGAATATGGCATGTCATATATATGCAATATGGCACTTTATATAAATTTAAAACATTTCTGTTTATCATGTGGTATTCTCGTTTTAAAGAGAATGGAATCTGCTCGATATTGAGTATTTAACAGTGGCATGTATCCAAAGACCTAAAAGAATTATAATATTACATTAAAATATTATAAAAAAATAAAAAAGACAAAAATTAATTTTGAAATACATTACCTGAGAAAAGAAATTGATACACTTGTGTCTCTCTTGAAAATGCGTATCATCTTCTGATAGGGAAACTGGACATCCTGGACATCGAAAAGTCCATCGTGAAGTGACCTAATCTCCAAAAATTGTTTGAGTTAATTTTTAAACACGTTACTTATACAAATATTTTTTAAATGATTATTTAAATTAATTTAATTAAAATTTCAACCTTAACGGGTGGTTTCCTTGTGATATGTGATATTAAAAAGTTCATTGCAATATCTTCGCAATTCATATATTCGTCAACTTTGTCTCTTATTGCTTGTGGCAACCAATGAGTATATAAATATGTATAATGTTTATGGATAAATGCAGCTCCTGTCAAAACCATTGACAATTCACAGGAATAATTGGAATTATAATTCCATGCATTGTTGTAATTTTGATCCCATGCATGAAAACGTCCAGGAAAACCTACCACACGATCACGATGTTCTCTCCAAACTCTGATGGAAAAAAAAATTTTTTCGTCATGCGAAATTAAAAAAATTTTTTTAAATCTATTTAAAGATTTAATTGAAACATATACTTAAATAAATTTACTTGAAACATTAATTTTCAAATTAATTAGAACATTAAATTTAAATAAATTGCAATGTAAAGCAGTTTTAGAAATAAGGCAAACACTGACCTGAAGGCAAACATTATTTCGTCATGTCTCAAATGAGCATCATCATCAATAGACAAAACAGCTTCTGTTTCAATTGCATCAAATGGTAAAAATCGATTATTTAAACTATTTCTCGGAACTTTTATAACCTGCGAAAAAACAATTTTAATTAATTAACAATTACAATTTTATTCAATTAAAAATCGCGCTTAGAAATGATAAATAAAATATAAGCATACGAAAAATATTATTTCATAATAAAATTAATAATATTAATTTTTTAAAATAATCATTTTCATAACGAAATTTGAGAAAGTTTGAGAATCTATAAGAAAACTGAAGTGGAAATTTTTATCTCAAAATTACTTTAAAATTAAAAAATATAATTTACAGAATATTTAATTTTTTAACTAAAAATTCGTGAAAAATATTTCTTACATGAATTGGCACTCCAATATTAGGCCATCGAAGATCCTCCATTGGTGGTTTCGGACTATTCCAGACTACAAGTACCTTATTTAAATAAGGTAAACCGTAAAGTCGAGCGAGAGAACTAATTAAAACCTGTTCTCTCTCATAAGTTAACATTACTATCGTAAATTGTTCTCTCGGATGATTTCCTCCAAGAGACTCGCAAAATTCTTTACCTGCTCCTCCAGCTCCTTTACCAATTGGTCTAAATCCCACTTCAGATCCTACAATTATTAAATAATTAAAACACTAAAATATTAAATTATTGAAATAATTAAAAAATAATTTTGTTGTACCTATTTATTTTGATAAAATAGTTAATTTTTTCAATAATAATTAATTATTGTCATTGGGAAATATTTTTTTTTTTTTTAAGAAATGCTTTCACATTTATTTAAAAATTTTCATAGTTAAATTTCTTTAAAAGTACTGAAATTTCTGAAAATATTACTTACACTTAAAAAAAATATAATTTAGAAACTACTTCCTCTTTGAGAAAGCAATAATAATAATCTTCATTCTTCCAAAAGACACTTTTCTCAAAAATACTTTAAATTTCTTTAAAAGAAATTCTATTTAGCTTTCTTTCACATTGATGAAGTATCTTCAAAATCACTCAATTTTTCGGATTAAAAAAACACACATTTTTGTTCAACCGGGGAGATTTTTTTTAAAAAACACTCGTATTCTTTTATTATTAAAAAAAAATAAATTCAAAAATTTCAAAAAGCACTTAATTGAAATCTTTAAACTGATTGATAATTTAGGGGTTGATAGCAAAAGTGGAATAAAAGCCTTGCAAGCAAAAACCCTCTTTTAACCCTTTGAGGACAAGTGTTGCTTTCAGGCAACATGAACATTTTTTTGTTACCTTAAGCATAAGTTCCTTGATTTTTAAAACTCTGGTTTTGAGGCAAAAACCCTTAATTAGTTTCGATGAAAAACTTGTTTAAAAATCAAAAATCGTGATTTTTTTAAAAATAATTTGGTCCTCAAAGGGTTAACATTATTATTTAAATAAATATTCTAAACTTAAAATTACTACAAAAAAGTATTAATGTCTTTACTAAATAGATTAATTAATCAAAATATTCTAACCCATTTTTGTTCGCAATATTTTTATCCCACTTTTGCTATCAGCTCATCAATTTTTCTTTAGTTTTTCTTGACAAAATTGTTGACATCACGCTAAATAAAACTTTTCATTCACACAAAAAAGAAAACTAATTATAAAAGCAGTATAATTATTTTGCTTCATAAACGCAAAGAATCGTAAAAATGTCAAAAACATTTCTACAAAAAATAGAAAAACAAAAAATACTATATTAACGCGAAAATCATAGTATGTTGCAAAGTGATAATTATAAAATAAATATTAAAAGATGTAACAAATAAGAATTTGATTTTTGAAATTAAAAATCAGATGAGTTTAAAAAGTATAAAAGAAACTTGAATTCAAGATATAAATTTTAATTTACCTAAAAATTTTGCATCACTCGGCAAAACGGTGTCGAACGGAAGCTGAGGATATAGATAAAATGGATCCATCCAGTCATTCCACATTTCATATCCTTGAGTGAGCATGATTGTGTAATTTCTCTTGAAAGAAGGTGATGAATAAGGAGGTTCTAAAGGACCGAGACTCTCTTCAGCTTCTGTTTCCGATATTATGGAATCAGATTTTAAAGGCTGCAATGCAGAATAGTGAAATTTCAATTTTTTTCAAAAAATTCAAGAATTTAAAATTAAAATTTTTGAAACATCTCAAAAAATTATTAATTAAAAAAATATCTAATATTAGATATTCATTATTTATATTAATGAAGTTTAATTATTTTAATCATTAATATTACTTAATATAATACTATTGAAATATTCAATTCAAAATAAATTATTTATTTTTTTATGTTATTAAAAATAAACGTTTAAGATTATAAGCTGAAATTACACAAAACTATTATTATAAAGAATTTTTTAAAAAATAACTTTATTTTGCTTCAGATAAATAAAGTTCAGTATAATCACAGGTTATTTACCTTTCTTTTATCACTTTAGTAGGTATAAATTGTTTATTTATTTCACCTATTATAAACATTCCTTTTTAAAATTATTTACACTTCGATTAATTGAACTTCCAACTTTAAAAATTATCTAACATTTAAAATTTTAAATATTTGCTTTTTATTTTATTACAAAATATTGTTTTAAAAATCTAAAAAGAAGTTATTTAATTTAATAATTATTAAATTTACTGCTTTATTTTACATTGATATCATAATTTTTAATAATTTATAGATTGAAAAAATATTTTGTTCATTTGAACGTTCAAAACTTTTGGTTCATGAATATAAAATTTAGAAATTAATTTGTAAATTTTTTGACTTTTAAAACTATAGTCTCTAAGAACTTTGAGCACAATTTTTGGTTTTTTAAAATTGATATTTGAAAAATTTATTAATGAAAAATGAATAAAAAGTTTTTAAACTTTTTGAGGTTTAAAACATTCATTGTCGTATTTAATTAAAATTATAAATATTCTGGCATAATTTTTTATTCTTTCATCTATAAAAAATAATCATTACACTATATGAGTGCAGAAAAAGTGTTAAAAGAAATTCTTGGTGAAATTTTATTTCTTTCAAAAAAATTTGTTTGTTAAAAAATAGAACACAAATCTAGCCTGATGTTAATAGACTTTAAATTATATATTTATTTATCGTAATAGTAAAAAACTCAATTTTTGAATTTCAACAAGAAATTTTTCAAAAATTAAAATTAAAAAAAAACAAAATTACCATGTTAATTCATCTTAAAAATCTTGTAGTTAGAAATCAACAATTGACATATTAATAGCTACAATTTTTCAACAATAAATAAGTGGACAATAAAAAAGTTTATTCTTTTTTTATTATTAGTATTTAAGATAAAATCAAAAAATTAAATTTTCTTAACATTTCAATTATTTTTATTATCTTAGTGGAAATTTTAATTGTTTTAAATATAGTTTTTTTTAACAATTTTAAATTCAGGTAAGTAAATTGTTTTCTGTTTAGCAACTTCGTAAAAAATAAGTAATATTATTAAAAAAAGGGGTTAATTTTTGCAAAATTAATTTCTTGTTAAGAAAATTTTGTAAAAATCTGCGATAACTGTTAAATAAATTAATTAAAAATTTTATTTTAACACATACCACAAAACTTTCGTTGAACACACTTGGACTGGCAGTTTGGGGAGCGGGTAAAGGAGGAATTCCAAGTCGATCCCTAACAGAGGCAACGATAGTATCAACGGCACCCTGAGCCGTTCCTAAATATCGTTCCCATATGAGTCTTCCATGTCTACGCATATCCAATAGATCGATATCTGGTATTGCGCGTAATAAGAAATGCATTTCTGTCACTCTAGCTTTTGGTAAAATAATAGCTGCTCTCCGCCAAGATATCACCTCCTTGTAACTAAGAAAAATTTGATCTCCACCTAAAATAACAGGTATAGCTCCAGATCTTAATGCTTCATAAAGTCTCGCTTGTATCGATGAGGTAGTAACCAATGTTGCATTACTAGGTGCCAATATTAGTGCAAACGTTGATTCTTTCAAAATTGCTCTTCTCGATGAATCCGTACCGCACAATGACCAATCCAAAGCTTCCACCATTTTTCCATCGCCCGACGCTGGTATACATTCAAATTGAATGAAAAATCTATCCAAAGTCGTTCCCATACTCATGTCTTTTAAATGTTGAATAATAAAATTATCTAAATTATTCTCATCAATTGCAAGTTTTTCTAAATCAACTTCGGCATCATCCATTTGACGAGTTGTTGTCATTTTTAATGATCTCATCTCGCCTTGAAACGACAATAAATAACGTCGTCGCGCTGGTAGCATTTGTGCGCATTCCTGCCAAACATCACCACCAGGTGGTCCCAATATAGGTGGAACAATTAAATCGAAATTATCGCGAAATTGATTTCTATAAAAAGTCGATTGCACAATAATTGCTCGACCAGTTTCAATACCCTTGAAAATATCGCCAGCTTCAACGGATAAATCTCGACGGGCGAGATTCAATAAAATATGATTTCTTCCATCTCCTCCCCAATAAGGTAAAGCGTGAAGTTTTTTCACATCAATGGGATGATTTCTAATTTTTTGATTTGTTTTTTGTACAGATAGAGCTTCGCCAACAAGAACTATATAGATACAAGCTTCAACAGGATTAGTTGTTAAATGAGGATTATAACCTAGAAAGTAAAGTAAATTGAAAGTAAAAATAGAAATAAATTGTTATCGCAAGTTTTAATAATTTGATAAACATACCAAACGTTTGTTTAATTGTCGTCTTGAGAAATCCATCCACATCCCATCGAGAATTAACAACGGAAAATTGATCTGGATCATAGAGATATATGGGAAATCCACTTGTCAATGCACATCGACTGTGATCGAAACAGTTATACATTTTACAGCCTCTTGGATCTGTACTTGCAATATTAACAGGAATTTCATTGATTAAAATTCTTTTCGGTAATGCCAATTCGGGTGTATTTCTTTCGACAGCTTCACGTTGTGCCGCCTGTGCTTGAACAACACTAATTTTCAATCGATCAAGATCCATCTGCTGATGAAGCATTTCCTGTTTTAATTCATCAATTCTTTGTGTAAATCCACTGACTTCCGTTTGTAGCCTTTGACGTTTCGCTTCCAAATCTCGTAGTTCATTGCTAACAGACGCTTTGATTCGTAACATTTCCTCAATTCTTGCTTTTAAATCCATTGCTTTCATCGATGTGAAATCTTCAAAAGCCTCCAATTTCGAGCGAGTACGATGAATATTTAAATTTGACGAACCTGATTCGACCTATGAATAAATTAACGAAAATTAAAATTAAATAAATATTTCTGTTCTTTATTTTTAAAAAATATCTTACCTTTGATAAATAATAATGAGCAAATAATGGAACGATAAATAGAATAATCGAGACTAATATTAAAATTTTTGTCAATTTAATGTGCGTTATCCAATGACAAAAATCTCGACTACCTGGATGGTAGTGAGGAATATTATCGTAGCCACTTCCTGTCATTGTGATGAATTTTTTCTTACTTTTCATTAAACATTTTTTTTTTTATTGATAATTAACGATTTTTCCGAACAGCATCTTGTTAGTAAATAAAAATCTAAAATTTCGGAAAATACTTTTACAATCGTCAATAATCAGAATAGATTTTTTTAAAATTTAAACACTTACCATCATTTAGAGAGTTTCAAAAATTTTTCCGTCACCAAGAAATACAAAATTCTAGAAATATTAACTGACTCATCTCGAATAATATACATATATATACAATTTCACATTGAAATTGCAAAGCACTGCAGATTACACAGCTGATTGAGCACAGCTATATTATAGAATAAAATGTAAAGCAAAAATTCATTTCGCTATATAAATTATTTTATTTTTGTCATATATACTTTGAAAAATTACTTCATAATGACAAACGACAGAAACGACAATTTATCCGATTCTTAACACTGAATCTCTTTTTCTTTTTTTTTTAAAATGATTGTTCATTTTTTATGCAAAATTGCATATTTAGCATTATGATGCAAAAACTCTCTGAACATTATAAAATGAATATTCAACAAATATTTGAATATTAATTTTTTTTATTAATAAACACTCTATATTCATTATTTATAATAATAACAGACATATATTTTATATAAAAACATGGAGAAACAACTTTTCTGTTTTCTTTTCACTTTTTAAGGTTAATTTAAATGTCTAATAAACTATAGGAACAAGTAACAACTTGACCGACCGAATTTATCGACATAAGATAATAAAGTAACAGCTTGCGCCATCTGACGTCGCTGATAAAATTTAAAAATTCAAAATTATTAAATTTGCAGAAAATTTTATATATGAAATATATATAATTAAGTAAACAGTAAAAAAACGTATTATTACTAATTAATATTAAATTATTAATAATAATAATAATAATAATTTGTTACTAGTAGAAAAAAAAAAATTTAATTATTGCATAAATGCAAATTTGTCACAAAAAATTTAAACTAATATTTCAAAGAATATTATTTTTTTTAAATTATATGAGATTGTTAATAAATATAAATAGAAAAAACTGAGAAAGTAGATGATTTAAATGTTTTTTTTTTAATTTTTAACTTTTTTTTGCATTTAAAGTTGTCAATATGAAGTCTTGTAACCAATTAAAAATAATTTTTATAATATCAAACGCTGTATTTATATTACTTGTATTACTTTTTTCATAATTAATTGTATTTTTAGTTGGTTTATTAGATTTTAATGTAATTTTTTCAATTATCAAATTATTTTTAAAATCATCTTTTTTACTTGTATTTTTTTTATTTATATCAAAATTAGACTCCCTACTATTAAGCATCTTCTTCTCCAAAGCATCAGTAATAATAACTGATCTTTCTTTTTTGGGAATATTATTAACCTCCAATAGAGTTTCTAAATATTGTTTGTATTGTTCATGTTCATCTTTTTTATCTTCCGTGGTGTTATTTGTGAAATTTTCTCTTCTTAAATATTCTTTTGTTTTTATTGTGTCCATTTCTTGATTAGTGAAATTATTTGTACATGATTCATCCTTTTCTAAGATTCTCCCTTCTGTAAAATTAAATTTGTAATGATTAATAATTATTGTACATAATTTTTAATTTAATACTATTTTATTAATTTATTTTTGCAATTAATTAAATACATATATTGAATTCATTGAATGTAATTGCATTAATTTAAGATATACCTATTTAAAATTAAATGTTGGTAACAAATTAAATTATTATTATAATTAAGGAATAAAATTTTTTTTCTCACCATTGTCTCTTTTATTGATTCCAGAATGATTTCGAGGATGATGTGAACAATGGATTTTTTGTGAGAAGTTGCGAATTTTATTTAAAAGAGTCACTAAAAATGAACCGTCTTTTAATTTTGTCAATTTTAAAGGTAATCTTAGTAAATTTCCTTTATATAAAAATTCTGAATTTTTTTTATTTTTCGGAATAAGTTTTCCTAGAATATACGAATTTCGATGATAATTTAAATTATTTGTTTTTAAGTGTTTTCTACTTTCTACTTTCATTGAATTGTTCAATTCCTTTGATGATTGTAAATTATTTTCCATTATTTTTGTATCATTTACATTACTTTCCATAAAAAAATTATGATTATTCTTTTTATCTATTGTATGAGAGTCAATTTGTCCAATTCTTTCAATTCCAGTTGTTTTTTGAAAATTGTCATTTCTATTTATTCTTATTGATGTATGAAATTGAGAATTTTTGTCGATATTATCATTGTAAGCTAAAGAAAAATTTTTATCTTTTGCAAATGTTTTTTGATCATTTATTAATAATCCGATAATATGAGGATTTTTGTTAATATTTTTTTCTGATGTTTCATTGAAATTCTTCTTAGGATCGGAATGTTTTTTATTTCTCCTTAATTCATTATATTGTATTTTGTCATGTAAATCATTTTTTTGTGATTGATTTAAATCTTTATTGTGCTCGGAAATTTGTTGATGTTTTAATGAAGTAGAAACTTGAGAATTGCCATCATTATTTCGATTAGATACACTATTAAAATTACTTTTAGATTGTGAATTTAATTTTTCCCTCGAAACTTGAGAAAATTGATCATTCATTTGGATATTTCGTTCGTAACTTTGAAGTGAATTTTTATTTGAAGGAAGTAATGATGATTCAGTAAATTGAGAATTACCTATAAAATTTTGATTGTTTATTCCTAATATTCCATTATTCTTTTTATATTCCATATTTTTGCTTTCACTTGAATAATACTTGGGAAGCAAATTATTTATCAAATCCGATTCACTATGAATTGTTTTTGCATTTTGAGTTTCAACAGAATTTTGTTTATACAAAGGATTTACTTTTGAATTTACTGTTATTGATATTTTATTTTCTAATTCATGATTTTGAATTAATGGAATAATTTGCGTTTCAAAATTCAGTAGATTTTGTGTTTCTTCATTATCTTGAATTTTTTGAGAGTCATAATTTTCATTATTGTGAATCCATTGTCCTATTTTGAAATTTATTTCTGCTATTGGAATTAGAGATTTTTTAATATTATTTTTTGATAAATCGTTGTTAATTACAAAATTCATCAAAGCAGATTGAATAATTTCATCTGTTATTCTTGATATTGAATATTCTTCATATTTTTTCTTGAGTACAGTTCTAATTGCATTAATTAGCATTTTTTGAACATAGGAGTTTTCAAAAATTTCATTTAAATTAGTTATTTTATAAATTGATTTTAGAGTAAAATTATAATCTTCAAGAACCTTGCTTATTGTTTGTTGTAAAATATTTTGTTCGACGACTGATAATTGGTGAAACAATTTCAATAAATAAGTTTCTTTTGTTTCAGTACTTTGTTCTTGAGCTTCATTTGTAATTCCTGTTCCTTTGCCTGTTGAGTTTTCCGACTCATAAGTGGTAGGTTTGCCGGTTTGACCATTTTTTTTTTTATTTTCTTGATCATCTTCTGTATTTTCTTCACTACAATAAATATTTTTATCATCATTATAATCATCATCACCATCATCATCATCATCTTCATCATCATCTTCTTCTTCTTTTTCTTCTTCTTCAGAATCGTCAATTCCATAGGGATAATTGTAGATATTGTTTAAATAAAATGGGTAACCATAATTTGGAAATTGATAAAAAGGATTTTGTGGTTGGACGTATTGAATTATTTCATCTGAATCCATGTCTTCTTTATTATTAAAATTTTTAACATAACAAAAAGGATAACAAATTTTCTTGCAATCTCTTTTTTTCTTATTAATATTTTTATTAGATTGTCGTTCAATTCTGTTTTTATTTTTTGATGATTTATTGTTGAAGAGATTATTGAGAAATTTCTTTTCATCGTGTGTAAATTTTAAAGGATGTAATTTTTTATGAAAAATTAAATTTTCGTTAGGTTGTTTTATATTTGGTGAATTGGTAGATTTTTTTACGTTAAATTTTTTAATTTCTTCAATAATAGAATTTGTTTCCGATACACTTGAATCTGACTGATTTCTGTAAGAAAAAATATATTTTTATTTCAATTCATTAAAAAATAAACACAAAAAATTAAAAGGCATTAAAATAAGCTGCAACGCTTATTTTAATACGTTATAATTTTCTGTGAAAATGTCAATTAAAAATAAAATAGAAAATTAATTAAAAATAAAAAAAAGTAAAAAAAATTTATTATTTTTGATAATTATTGAATAATATAGATAATTAAAAACTGCATAATTTTATAAACTAAATGACATTAAATTATAATGTTACCTTAATTCATTATGTGATGATTGATTATTGTCAATTGCATTTGTATTGTTTATTATAAAAAAATTTGCAAATGATGTTGTTAATAGCACATAAAATAATTTGCACTTTGTCATGTTAATCTTTATTTTCTTATAATTTTTTTTTAAATTGGATCACTTCTTTATTTCTTTAATGACAAGCATTGCAATTTTCACACAGTATTTCACTAAACTCAACTTGTTTTTTTAAATTAATTATTTTATTCTTTTATTTATTGATTATAAATAAAATAGAAAACTTATTTTATGTGAAGTTTGAAATTATTAATTAATATTAATATTCTAAAAATATATTGTTTCGGACTTGATCTTTAAATTTTCAATTAAATTTAAAAGAAAATTGTTAAAATTTAATTCAATTTTATCGATAAAGTAACTTTAAGATTATTAATATTTCATTGATCGAAGTTATTAGGCTTAAAGCATTCGACTGACTGATTAAAATTAAATTAATTGACACTTGTCTTTATATTATTATGAAATATCCTGGTATTGAATACTGTTTTGAAATAATATATTTAGTTAAAAAAACGATTATGTTTAAATAAATAGGAAATGAAAAACAATTAGAAAGTTGCACAAATTCTTGTTGAAAAATAATATTTCTCTTTATTGAAAAAATATATAACTTATTGTTCCTTAAATTATTATTATTATTATTATTATTATTATTATTATAAATCTACAATTATTTTTTTAATATGATTTTTACTAGGAAGTAATGATTCTACAATAATTTTGTAATTAAAAGATTAAATCATTTACTTCTATTCACTATTGTCTTCAATTTCGCTGATGTAAATAATTTTCACCTGCTTGAAACTTTCATCGGAAGTCAGGAAGTATAAAGAAACATAAATATAAATTATTAAGAATTAAGAAATCTTTTTATGAGATGTTGACCTCTTTCATAATGAAAAATATTTACTTTAAATATTGTTGCATCATTTGTTCCATTTATAATATGTTATTAACTATAATTTAATTTATTTTAATTTTTTATTTAATTCGTCAAATACATATAACAATTTAAATAATAAGCAATACTTATTATTTACATTTTTCTTTATTTATCTAATTGGTGAATAATAATTATTATAAAAATGTTAAATGGAAATTTTAAAAATAATTTTACATTTTTTTTTTCATTAAAAATTCCTTAAATTATGCAAATACGTTAGAAATCTTCGAATATTATAGAAAAATCAATTGAAGTAACAAAATCGAGGACAATGCTAACACAAATGTACAGTAAATTGTCGGTTAAATAGACTATTATGTTTCTTTGGTAAAGTGTTCTCTGTGCAATAATCTTATTTGTGAATAAATAAAAAAAAAAAATTACAGATAAAAGAAACTACCAATTTTCTCATTTGATCTTTTGAAGGAAAAATAAATTTTACCTTTGTCGTTTTTAAATCATAAGTAAAAAGCAATGCCACGAAAGATTTGATATAAGTGAAAAAATTAATAAATAATAAATAAATTTTAAATTATAAATAAATTAATAAAAAATGAAAATCAATATGCAAAAAATTTGTCCCTTACTTTTGTTTCTTGTGTGTTCCAAATGTGAATCAACAACAAAAACAGATTTCAAAAGTTATCTTATTACATTAACAAATTTCATTGAAACAAATTCAACAAATTATCAAGTGGTGATATTAATAAACAATCGAACTCAAAGTTTCAATCTCAATGAAATTATAAACGAGATTTTATCAAAAGTTCCGGGTTTAGTGATAAATAGTTCAGCAAAAACAAATAAACATTTAATTACCTTACCCATTTTTGATGAACCGAGAAAAACAAGTCTCTTTATAATAATTGACAATGAATTAAGAAGTAATTCATCGAAATCAAATATCATAGAATCAATCAAATTTATGAGAGCATTGTCACCAAATAGAATTCGTCCAAAGTGTATAATTATTTTATTTTCAATAAGAAAGGAAATTATTCACGAAGAATTACTTAAATTTATGTGGTCAAAATTTTTTCTAGATACAACAATTTTCCAATTAGATATAATAATAGAAAACGCGAATAAATTTTTTAATTACTATAAATTTTTGGATGCTTCATTGCATTCATTTAATCCATTTACTGGTGAACACAAAAAGCAGAAATTTTTCCAAAAAAAAATCCAATGGTTTCCAAATAAATTAGACGATATGAATGGTTATAAATTAATAGCAGGAGCATATTTCAGTGCTCCTTATAGTCAATTAAAATTCAACGCCACAGGTGATTTAATTCACTATTGGGGTGCAGATTTTGTAGCACTTGATGCTCTATCAAAAGCAATGAATTTTTCATACACTGTTGTGTCATCAATTAATGCGTCAATTGGTGTTATTGATTTGAAAAACAATACAGCCGGAGGTATGCTCGGTAAATGTGTAAGAAATGAAATTGACATTTTATTGACGACTGTTTTATTTTCAAGAGATTCAAAACGAAGTGTTACTGAATTCACAAGAATGATCAATTGGGAAAATGTTTATGCAATTGTGCCAATTTTGCAAGGTGAAAAGAAAATTGTTGAGAATACCACGCTTTATAAAACATTTATTTTCTTTATATTGGTGGTGATTATTTTTCACATCATAACAAGGCTCTTTGGCTATGATCAATTGGATTACATCAATATAATTGCAATTCTCTCAGGAGTCACTATCCAAATTCAATCGACATCCATTCATGAAAGATTATTTTTCATATCAATTGTTATTTTAGGATTTTTATGTGGAACCATTTTTTTTGCTGGTTTTACGCATATGAATATGCAAATTTTTTCAAATATGGAATTTAATACATTTGACGATCTCGATAGGTCGGGTTTAATTCCCATTATTCATGTGAATATGTTTGATGCAACGTTTAGTGCGGCCGATGGTGTTTTATTAAAATTAAAAGAAAAAACAAAAACTATAACAAAAGATTGTATACCAATGATTTTAAATGATGTGAATAAGACTATTTCTTGCATAAAGCCAAGCACAAATGTGGTGGCGGCAATAGAATTATCAAAAAATGGAAGTGGACGTCCAACGTTGACGGCTTTGAAGCAAAAATTTTGGGGTTTTCGAACAGTGATGAATTTGGGAAGAGGTTCACCGTATGTGGAAAAAATTAATAAATTAATAATACGATTAACAGAATCGGGACTTCGTAATAAATGGAATGAACCGTATTCTTTTGCTGATACATTAATTCACAGTAAAAGTCAAGACTCATCTGATATTGATGATTTTGGATATGTTGAAAATCTTCTTCAGTGTCTGCTTTTTGTGATTCTTAATGGCTATTTGATTTCATTTTTAGTTTTTCTAATCGAAGTGTTTGTTGATTATTTTTCACGATTTATTTTCGGTTTTATTCTGATCAACTATTTCAGAAGAATTTGATACAATTTTTTTTATTAATTGTAAGAATAAATATAATTATAAAAATAATTACTTATTCTTTAATGAAAAATGTTTAAATGATTCTAATTATAGATGTAAGCATTTGACATCTACTATTTCTGTTTTTTGCAAATGACAGAGCAACTCAAAATCTATCGATTGGCATCGAAAACTCGAAATCGATTTTTTTGAGCTAAGGTCTCTTTTGTCGTGGAGCGTCACATATGCAAATTCCCATATCAATTCATACTCAAAATCGTGTCCTTATTTTACATACGGTTTTCTATGGATTTCCATATGGATTACTATAATCAACCTGGGATTTCATATGGGTTTTTTTAATAAGATTGCATATAGGATTCCATGTAGGATCTTATATAGGAATTTTCAGCAAGGCACTTATGATAGGAAATTATGTTATAATAATATACTTATATTATTATAATATATTAATAATATTTTGTATCGTTATGCACACTTAAAATTATTAACATTCTTTTGATCAACTATTTGAAAAGAATTTGATTCAATTTTTTATTATTTATAAGAATAAATATAATTATATAAATAATTACTTCTTTAATGAAAAATGTTTAAGTGATTCTAATTATAGATGTTTTATCTTCAATAAATATTATTTTATAATTTTAATGCAAATAATATGGTATTAAATTATTTTATCACATATTGCCGAGTTATTAATTTCATTCATGATAAATTACTCTTAAAACTGATAGAAATGATATAGATGATTTTACAATCTGCAAGAAAATTTTAACAAAAATAAAATAAATTGAAATTTAATAATTAAATATATTTCAGTTAAACATATAGTAATATTGAATATTGCTACATGAATATGAATCGAAAAAAAATTATTAATTTACCCCAGTGAAATTTTGCAAATTCATATCATATAATCCTCCAGCAGAAAGTACAAGACGCTTTTGAGCTCTTAATATCAGTAGTGAGAGTAATTTTGTATTAGTAGGAATTAAATTTGTCCACAATGATTGATAGGCAGACATTCCGATCTGATAACTCTGTATTTAATTAATTAAATTATTTTTCAGTTAAATAGACCAGGGTGTCAGCAAAATTTCTTGTCATTTACCTGATTAACAAATTTTTTAATTTATTTGACTTTATATTACTTAAAGTAGTAAACTTTTTATATTTAACTTGTGACTTTTTTGAAAAAAAATTTCCCCACTTTTGAAGATTTTTAATAAAAATGCCTGACTTACGGACACCTTGTAAAATAAAAAAAAAAAACAAAAAGAGAATAAAATTAGTTTCAGTACCTGATCCATTAATTCATCGCTTGGCCAACAATATAAAAGAACTTGAAACAAATTGGCAAGGAGAAAACCTGCATAAAAGAAGGCGCCATTTAAATCTACATGGCTTCTACTTACAATCTGTAAGAAAAATTAATACTTTAAAATATAATGATATATTATATTTCATTAGAAATTTGAAATCCAAAACTTACTATAATTAATTGGAATCCAGTGAAGCAAACAGTAATGCAACTAGTCAGTAGTTGAATTAAACACAATTTACTGAAAATATTATTTAACATCTGAATTGTCCTGTCGAAAAAAAATATTATTTAATTTTTCAAACAACATTTATAACATAAAATAATTAAACATCTAAATTAAATTATTGTATTAATTGAAATTTTTAATTAATTTTAAAAAATATTTTTCATGAGGAACAAATTTTAAGTTCAGCTGCAATTAAATTCTAATAATTTTATTTTCTTACTTGATTTGAAATTTATGTTTTAGAACAAGATTCTTCACTAGAGCTTTTGAAATATTAGATTTAGTGCCTACTTTCAATAATTGGGTTTGAAGTATATTTAATTGTGCACATGTATGATATATTGCTGTGCAACAAAAACTATCCATTCCTAAGGAATAACTAATCCCCATAATCAGCCCAGTAATTACCTACAAAAAAGCATAAATTTGTACAAAAAACGAAACTTCTAACATCACAAAAAAACATTTTTTTAGTACCTGAGTAAAATAAGCAATAGCGTAAATAATATTTGATTTTTCGTCCCAATAATATGAGGAGCAAAATGGATATCGTTTGTTACGAGCTGGATCGCTATTGATGCCATAAATGAAAGGTAAACAGTACATTAAAATAATAAAGAAATAAACTGAAACAATAAATCCTTTAGTAATATACAGCGCAAATCGAGCATGATAAAACAGAATATTTTTTTCATCTTCGGACATTTTCGAAGAAACAGATTTTTCCCAATTGTGTTGCATAATTAACACCACATTCTGTAAAATGGTACATATTTAATTAAAATAAAATAATAAATTGAATTTTTATTAATTTAAAGAATAAATTTAATAATAGTTTTAATAGATTACTTGATTATATTTAATCTGAACAGAAAAAATATTTTCTAATTATAGTTTTAAAATATTCAATATTAATGGTTATTATTTTTTTATTTCTTTAAATTGTAAAAAAGGTAATAAATATATTTTTATTTCTTAACATTTTGAAAATTTATTCTCACCTTAATTAATTTCTTCTTTGTAACTATGTGAGTAAATTTTATTATCGTATTTATAGAATGAACAGTGAGACACAAATTTTGAACAACTGCATTAAAATCACCCCAAACGATAAACAAATCTAATAACATGGGGATAACTAAAAATATTGCGATTGACAATATAATTGCTACGGGATGAAATTTATGAATAGTGAGACGCAATTGTGATGCTTTATCATGTAGCGGCCATATTCCAAGGAGACTTAAATACATTTTATTAATATAAATATAATCCTCGAATTTCTCTGTCATTTTTAATAGATAAAAATTTTTTATTTTATCAAATAATTTGTCATTTATTTTTCAATATTAGTTTTTAACTTTTATGTTACTGTTTTTCTATTAATTTTAAATTTTTGTCATTACACTTTTTACAAATTAAAAACAATTTAGAGTTTTGTAGAGTATCATGTTTGTAAGTATCAATTTCTTTGAGTTTGTCATTAAATTCAAATTTGCTTTTACCATATATTTATCACCTTAATTTAAAAATTTTTTAAATGAATATTTTAATAAATTTTAAACAAATTCTCAAGTAGATAGATAGATTTTATTTTTTTCATTGTGTACTTTAACAAAGTTCTGCAATTTTTCTTTCCCGCAAGCTTAAAAAAATAAAATAATTGCGAATAAAGATGATATGCGGGAACATAAATAATCAGAATTGAGATACAAAACTAAAATATAACAAATTCTCAACTATTTTATGTTGATATTTTATTGGCATGATTTTTAAGAAAAAGAAGCTTGTGCCTCTCGAGAAAATAAATTGTTGGTGAAAATAATAAAATATGAAAAGAAGATTGACATCTACAATGAGAGCTACAATTACTAATCCATTTAACGTCACTCACTTGGGTACAAAACTTTTGAATATATATATAGTGTCAGTTGGAAAAATTATTTCCTATTTTATTCTCTTATTTCTACCTCACAAGCCAATGCTTGCATTAATTATTTAAGATAGGAAGATATTTTGCACCTGTAAAATGCGACTATTAACTCAGTTGAGTTCATTTAATTTTCATAAGATAGACGTGTTCGAGAGAAAAAAAAAAGAAAAAAATATTAATTCTGAACATTTGTAACTTAAGATACAAAAAATTTGTATACGATTAATCAATACGACTTATTTAATTATTCATAAACGTACGTGGATATATTTCTTTTGATGAAAAAAAATATTTTATGAAAATTTCTGCCTCTAAAAAATAAGTATAAGTTAGTTTCTTTTGAAACAAACAAAGAGTGGTATAGAGGCAGATGATTGAAAAATTTTAAACAATACATTTATGTACTTTAATTACTCCATAATTAGCATTGTTTATGTATTAATATTTTTTGTACGAAACGATTTATCTTGAAATGCAAAAAAATTATATAATAAAAATATTTTGTAAAATTTGTGACAAAAACATTCTAATTAAAGATATTTTCATTTTTTGTTTCAGATTGATGTGAAAGAGAATTTTATTTTTTTTATTAGCAATACCTTTCCTAAGACTAATATTTAACAAAAATGATTATTGGGTTTTAAATGAAAAAAAATCCGTTGCATAATAAATTATCATATTAAGTTTTTCAACTGTAAAACAATATTTTTTTCGCTCAAGAATAATCTCTGAAGTTTTATATTCCATTATTAGAAATATTGGTAAGTGTTTGAATATAAGTATTCATTTCTGATTTATTTTAACTATCAAAAGTTACAATTCTTATTATTAGTTTAAATGTTATTAAATTATGTTCTCAAAAAAAAAAAAAAACAGAACATTATCAATTCTAAATTGTTTCTGAATATTAATGACTTGTCATCATAGCTCTCAAGAGAGACAAAAATGACATGGATGCTTTAACAATCTGTAAAGGAATTTTTTAGAATTAGAACACTAAAATTTACAATTCTAATATCAACATAAATTTTAAATTAATTAATCGTTATTTTACAATTAAAGTTATGTTTTACATACATTTTAGTGAATAATAAAATACTACGTTACACTTACTCGTGTAAAATTTTGCAATGTCATGTCGTACATTCCTCCTGCGCTAATGATAAGAGGATTTTGAGCTCTCAATATCATTAAAATAACCGCCTTCGAAGAATTATGACGTAAATTGGTCCACAATGATTGATAGGCAGCATGTCCAACTCCAAAACTCTATTTAATAAATTTTAATATCAATTCATAAAACAATAGAAAATTTGAAAAATTAAATGTAAATCAATATTTGAATACCTTTTCCATTAATTCATTGCTTGGCCAACAGTATAATAGAATTTGAAATAAATTAACGACCAAATAGCCGGAGTACAAAACAGTTCCCCTATAATCCGAGTCTTCACTATTTAAAGACTATAATTAATTTTAAAAAATGTATTATTCTCAAATTTGTTTAAAATAATGTTTAAAATATTTATTAATATTAATTAAACAATAAAAATATTTCAAAATAAATAAATATTCGTCATTTACTTTATTATAATCCATTATACTTCGAATATTGTTTTTTATGTTAATGAATAATATAAAAATGAAAGTAAAGAAAACTTCCATATACGATTTTATCGAAATATAATGAACTTATTTTTCATTTACAAATAATTACCACAATTAATTGAAATCCAGAAAAGCAAATGACAAAACCACTTGTCATAAGTTGATATAAGCATAGTTTACTGAATAACTGGTTTAATATAAGAACGAGTCTTTCAAAAGTAATAAATTTCATAATAATTAATGAAATTAAGGAAATATAGTATTTCATAAGTTTTTATGAATTATCATAAAAAAAAGATCTGTAAAGTACTTTTTACCTGATCTGGCTATTATGACTGTGAACAATATCTTCTATTGTTTCTGATGTAAGTAAGGAAGCATCACCAAGTTTCAAAAGTTTCATTTGAAGAATACTCAATTGAGCGCAAGAATGCCAAATGGCCACGAAAATGAAACTATCCATTCCAGCTAAAAAACTCACGCCAAGACAAATCCCAATAAATGCCTAGAATAAACCATTTTGTTTATTTATTAAATATATGAAATAATAAATTTTTAATCATTTTCAAAAATATTCTATATACCGATAACTTAAAAGGTTATTATACCTATAAAATAATAAAAATTGTTATCAACATTTTTCAAACTGTTTTTGTTAATGTAAATTAGATTTTAAACCTTCAGATTTATGAGATGGCTGCAATTTTAAAAAATTATTAAGTCTATCATAAAATACAAAAGTAGTCTACGAACCTGAATTCCGTAACAAAGTGCGTAAACAACATTCGAATATTGGTCATAATAATACCAAGAACAATATGGATAACGTTTATGACGAACAGGATCAGTGTCTATTCCATAAATAAATGGTACTAAAAATAATAAAGTTTCAAAATAATATACACTCAGAAGGAAATATCTGGTAACTGTACGTGCAAAATTAGCATGATCAAGAAGAATAATTTTCTGCTTATTCAATGTTGAAGTTAACAAGCATCTATTAAAATTATTTTCCATTGTCCACAACAATTCCTGTAAATTCAAAAATTTGTAATAAATTTTTTTTTCATTCATACACTGAGAAAAATATGCTGTTGAATCAACAGCATTTCTACCAAAGGTATAAAAATTATTGATTTAAAAGCATATGCTATAAAATTTGTAAAATATTTTATAGATTCTATAGCACCGTTCGACACGATTTTTCACACACGAAAAAATCAATGATTTTCAGAAACTAGGACCAAAAAAAAGATACCCGTGTCTGGCCGTTTTGCTAGATCAGGTCATTTTTTGCTATTAGGGGTAAAAACAACCCTTAAATAAAAGGTGATAGGAAATCTTGTACAAAAAAATAATTTTTTATGAAACTTGGTATCTCGGGGTTTTCCGGGTCGCTGATCACGAATCTGATGTCAGATTTTCAAAATTCAAAATGGCGGATCCAATATGGCGGTCGAAATTTATAAAAATTCACCAATTCATTTGAAAGTTGTTAGTTAGGGGTTTTTGGGGTCGCTGATAATAACATAATAATAATAATAATAATAACATAATATCATTTATAAATTTCTACTACCATATTGGATCCGCCATTTTGAATTTTGAAAAGCCGACATCAAATTCGTAATCAGCAACCCCAAAAACCCCTAGACACCAAGTTTTATAAAAAATAATTAATATTTATAAATTTCGACCGCCATATTGGATCCGCCATTTTGAATTATTAAAATCTGACATCATATTCGTTATCACCGACCCCAAAAACCTTCAAGTAACAAGTTTCAAGTGAATTCGATGAACTTTTATAAATTTCGACCGCCATATTGGATCCGCCATTTTGAATTTTGAAAATCTGACATCAGATTCGTAATCAGCGACCCGAAAAAACCCGAGATACCAGGTTTCATAAAAAATTATTTTTTTGTACAAGATTTCCAATCACCTTTCATTTAAGGGTTGTTTTTACCCTTAAAAGCAAAAAATGACCTGATCTATCAAAACGGCCAGACACGGGTATCTTTTTTTTGGTCCTAGTTTCTGAAAATCATTGATTTTTTCGTGGGTGAAAAAAAAAGTTGAATTTTGTCGGACGGTGTAGCATATACTTTTGAATTAATAATTTTTCTACCTTTGGTAGAAATGCTGTTGATTCAATAGCATATTTTTCTCAGTGTAATAATTGGAGTTTATAAAGATCGCCCGCTTCATGCAAACAGTAAGAAACAAAATAATACTTTTTTATTCTATGGTTTCTAAACCTGATATAAACATTGACATTACTTTTTGACATGAAGTAAGCAAAATATGAAAATTGAAATTCATAATGAACACACCTTAAAAATATTCTTGTTTGAAATTACATGAATAAATTTTAATACTATAAAAATTCCATGCACTGTAAGACACAAATTTTGCACTACTGCATTGATATCTCCCCAAACAAAATATAAATCAAGTATCATAGGCGGTATAAGCAACGTCAACAATAAGATTATAATAGCGATAGCATGAAATTTGTTAATGCAATTTCGCCATGAAGATGCTTTATCACTTAGTGGCCATAATCCAAGAAGAGATAAATACATCTTATTGATTTGGATATAGTCTTCGAATTTCTCTTCAGTCATTTTTAATTTCTATCTTACACTTGTATATATGTCTTATTTAATAAAATAATTATATTATTTAATAATTACGCAATAATATTTACTTTAAATATACTTTTACGCTTTTTAGAAATTACTTTCTTCGTTTACATTTGCATAATTGCCATTTCTTTTCAAGAAATTTTATAAACAATAATGATTATTTTGCAAAATAATTTTATAAATATAATATTTATTTAATTTTAATAAAGTACCTATTTTAAAAATTTGAATAAAATTCAGATTAAATAAACAGATTTTCTAAACTTTAAATAACGTGATTTTCATTAAATTTTTGAAAATGTTTTAAATCAAATATATATGGGTGATTCTCCACGAAGCGTACAATTCTATGTCCATTGTGTTCATTAAGAAATAAATTGTACATATTGTAATGAACCCAATGTGAAAAAGTAACTTTAGTGTTTATAAACAAAAGCCTATAGCCACTTTAATTTATGATACTGTCCACACTTTCATTTACGAAACGAAAATAAATATTTTTAGCAATATACAATAATAAAAAATAATTATTGGTAACAGTTTTTTATTGTCCAAGTTTGTAGAATTTAGAAAAAAAATTTATTTTTTTACATAGGGAATCACAGAATCGTTGATATATTGTTTAAAAAATCACTATTAGTTGTGATTATAATTTAATTTTTCTTAAATTATAAAAAAATATTTTTAAGGCAATAACTAAATTGTACTCTACGTGGAGAATCACCCATATATAAATAAAATACGTGATCGTTGACTATGAATTATAGAGAATTGATTGACGTTTAAAGCACATACGACATTTATGTGAAACCAAGGAAGTTCTGATGATTCTCATATTAAATATTTAATTATTCAATTACAATGATCCCCTTGCATATAAAAAACTAAAATTCCCAACTGCTATAAAATGGCAACCTGTAATTATCTATTTAGTTATTTTTCCCATGCATTGTCCCTTTAGTAATGATACCTATATACCAGAAATAAATTTACATTTATAATGCAACGATTTAGAGTATACATAAAATTACTTCCTAGAAGACAATATATGTTTCTCTACATGTTATAAATTAATAACAATAAATCATTTCTTCCTTGTTAACTGAACAATTTTAACTCGTAAAACATTTGCAAGTATTAAATTACTAATTACAATATTAAACTAAGTTGCGAATGCTAATTCTACCTTTAACTTTTTGTGCGCAGATCTAAAGACCCTCATTGATTATTGAAATTACAAATTTTTTTCTCTCTATCCTTAAAGCATGCATATTCTAAATATTAAAATTTTGCAGAATAAAATGAATAACAAAGATTATTAACTGATAATATTATAAGGTAATTATTATTATTAATAATAATTTAATTAAATAATTTTAATTTAATAATAATAATTAATAATAATTTCTAAATGTTTTAATCTTCAGTGGATAATATTTAATGATTTTAATGCAAATAATATGACATTAAATTATCATTCTATTAATTTATTACTAAAATTATAAATTTTATTATAATTTTTATTTACTATAAATTACTCTTAAAACTGATAGAAATGATATAGATGATTTTATAATCTGTAAGAAAATTACAGCATAAATGAAATACATTGAAATTTAATAATTAAATATATTTCAGTTAAACAATATAATAATATATTATTGATTTACCCCAGTGAAATTTTGCAAATTCATATCATATAATCCTCCAGCAGAAAGTACAAGACGCTTTTGAGCTCTTAATATCAGTAGTGAGAGTAATTTTGCATTAGTAGGAATTAAATTTGTCCACAATGATTGATAGGCAGACATTCCGATTTGATAACTCTGTATTTAATTAATTAAATTATTTTTTAGTTAAATAGACCAGGGTGTCAGCAAAATTTCTTGTCATTTACCTGATTAACAAATTTTTAAATTTATTTGACATTATATTACTTAAAGTAGTAAACTTTTTATATTTAACTTGTGACTTTTTTGAAAAAAAATTTCTTGACTTTTGAAGATTTTTAATAAAAATGCCTGACTTACGGACACCTTGTAAAATAAAAAAAAAAACAGAAGAAAAAGAGAATAAAATTAGTTTCAGTACCTGATCCATTAATTCATCGCTTGGCCAACAATATAAAAGAACTTGAAACAAATTGGCAAGGAGAAAACCTGCATAAAAGAAGGCGCCATTTAAATCTACATGACTGCTACTTACAATCTGCAAAAAAAAATTAATACCTAATACCTCAAAATATAATGATATATTAAGTATTTAATTAGAAATTTGAAATCAAAAACTTACAATAATAAATTGGAATCCAATGAAGCAAACAGTTATGCAACTAGTCAGTAGTTGAATTAAACACAATTTACTGAAAATATTATTTAACATCTCAATAGTTCTGTCGAAAAGAAAAATATTCTTTAATTTTTGAAATAACATTTAAAACATAAAATTACCAAACATTTAAAATAAATTATTATAAAAATTGAAATTTTCTACTAATTTCAGTTGAAATTAAATTTCAATAATTTTATTTCTTTACCTAACTTGAAATTTGTGTTTTAAAACAAGATTCTTCACTACTATTTTTGAAATATTAGATTCAGTTCCTACTTTCAATAATTGGGTTTGAAGTATACTTAATTGTGCACATGTATGATATATTGCCGTGCAACAAAAACTATCCATCCCTAAGGGAAAACTAATCCCCATAATCAGCCCAAGAAATACCTGCACAAAGAGAATAAATTTTTACAAAAAAAAAAAAATTATTAACTTCACAAAAAAAATATATTCTTTTTAAATACCTGTGTAAAATAAGCAATAGCGTAAATAACATTTGATTTTTCATCCCAATAATAGAAGCAGCAAAATGGATATCGTTTGTTACGAGCTGGATCGCTATCGATGCCATAAATAAAAGGTAAACAGTACATTAAAATAAGAAAGAAATAAACTGAAACGATAAATCCTTTAGTAATATACAACGCAAATCGAGCATAATAGAACAGAATATTTTTTTCATCTTCTGACATATTCGAAGATACAGAAATATCCCAATTGTGTTGCATTGTCAACACCATATTCTGTAAAATAGTAAATATTCAATTAAAATATACTAATAAAATGAATTTTTATTAAATGAAGAATAACTGATAATAGTTTAAAAGATCACTTTAATATATATTTAATCTGCAAAAAAAATCTTTTCAAATTAGTTTTAAAATATTCAATATTCAACATTTTTGCTTCCTCGTGAAGGAAGCTTTGTAGTCCTTTCGTTTATAAAATTTTTAAACATGTTGAACACAAATTTTTCTCTATATAGAAACATGTTATATGAGATCCTGATCAATTGTCCGGATGTATAAATATGTGTGTGTATGAATCGTTTTTGTGAACACGATATCTTTAACAGGTTTTAATGGATTTGGATAAAATTTTATCGTCTTTTTTCAAAAATTTTTTTTAAATAGAAAAATTTAAGGTAATATATAATATAATCGTTTTCCTTACATCAAGACTAATCGATTGGTACATATAAAGTATAGATTTGATTGAAATTTAAAGAATTAATGAAAGTTAAAAAATCAAAAATTAATTAATTTAAGTCAGTTTATAACTCGAAATGTTTTAAATCAATCAATTGATTAGAGAAATTCATAGCTTCCTCCACGAGGAAGTAAATTTTTTGCTTCACACAATGAGAAAGTAAAATGTTTATGAAATAAACATAAAGGACTTCCTCCTTGTATTTTTTTATTATTTAATAATACTTAAATACGCATATTTATATTTAAAAGTAGGCAATAAATATATTTTAATTTCTTAACATTTTGAAAATTCATTCTCACCTTAATTAATTTCTTCTTGGTAACTATGTGACTAAATTTTATAAGCGTATTTACAGAATGAACAGTGAGACACAAATTTTGAACAACTGCATTAAAATCACCCCAAACCATGTACAAATCGAATAACATGGGAATTACTAAAAATATCGCGATTGACATTATAATTGTTACAGGATGAAATTTATGAATCGTGAGACGCAAGTATGATGCTTTATCATGCAGCGGCCATATTCCAAGAAGAGTTAAATACATTTTATTAATATAAATATAATTCTCGAATTTCTCTGTCATTTTTAATAGATAAAATTTTTTATTTTATCAAATAATTTGTCATTTATTTTTCAATATTAGTTTTCAACTTTAATTTTACTTTTTATCTATTAAATTTTTGGCATAACACTTTTTTCAACTTAAAAACAATTTAAAAATTTGTTCCTCTAAAAATTAAAGTTTATAGAGTATCATTTTTGTAAGTATCAATTTCTTTGAGAGGAAGTAAATTGTTGGTGAAAATAATAAAATATGAAAAGAAGATTGACATCTACAATGAGAGCTACAATTACTAATCCATTTAACGTCACTCACTTGGGTACAAAACTGTTGAATATATATAATGTCAGTTGGAAAAATTATTTCCTATTTTATTCTCTTATTTCTACTTCACAAGCCAATGCTTGCATTAATTATTTAAGATAGAAAGATATTTTGCACCTGTAAAATGCGACTATTAACTCAGTTGAGTTCATTTAATTTTCATAAGATAGACGTGTTCGAGTGAAAAAAAAAGAAAAAAATATTAATTCTGAACATTTGTAACTTAAGATACAAAAAATTTGTATACGATTAATCAATACGACTTATTTAATTATTCATAAACGTACGTGGATATATTTCTTTTGATAAAAAAAAAATATTTTATGAAAATTTCTGCCTCTAAAAAATAAGTATAAGTTAGTTTCTTTTGAAACAAACAAAGAGTGGTATAGAGGTAGATGATTGAAAATTTTTAAACAATACATTTATGTACTTTAATTACTCCATAATTAGCATTGTTTATGTATTAATATTTTTTGTACGAAACGATTTATCTTGCAATGCAAAAAAATTATATAATAAAAATATTTTGTAAAATTTGTGACAAAAACATTCTAATTAAAGATATTTTCATTTTTTGTTTCAGATTGATGTGAAGGAGAATTTTATTTTTTTTATTAGCAATACCTTTCCTAAGACTAATATTTAACAAAAATGATTATTCAGTTTTAAATAATAATCATAATCAACACTACATTCTGTAAAATGGTATATAATAATATAATCAATTAAAATATATTAATAAAATGAATTTTTAAAAATTAAAGAATAAATTTAATAATGAATTGTAAGACGTAAGTGTGATGCTTTATCATGAAGCGGCAATACTCCAAGGAGAGTTAAATAAATTTTATTAACATAAATATAATCCTAAAATGTCTGTGTCATTTTTAATGGATAAGAAATTCTTATGTTATCAAATAATTTTCTATTTACTTTTCAATATTAGTTTTCAACTTTTATTTTTCTGTTTTTTTTATTTGATTTTTCAATTTTTTTTTATAACACTTTTTTCAAATTAAAAAAATTTAAAAATTTGTTCCATAAAAAAATTAAAGTTCATAAAGTATTAATTTTAAAAATAATAAATCTCTTTTGAGAGATATATTAAAATTAAAATTTTCTTTTATCATTCTTATTTCAAAAGAAAAACAAAAAATTACTTTTTTATAAAAAAAAGTTCAAGTTTTCATAAATTTCTTTCTATATTTTTCAGAAAAACAAGCGTATGCCTCTTGAGAAAGTAAATTGTAAATGAAAATAATAAAATATGAAGAGAAGATTGACATCTAAAATGAAAGCTTCAATTACTAATAGAGAGCTCTTCTTTAAAATTTAAAAATATATTTAGAAATTTTCGATATTCTTTTTAGTAAGTACCTTATTTTATTTGGTTGTCTATACGTCATTGAGTATTTATGCGTATAACGATATAAAATATAACAAATTATTTCAATTAAATTTAACTACTATCTTCTGCAACTTCCACGGTTCCAATAGTAGCATTCAGCAAAACCATTTGACCTGAACATTTTTATTTAAAATCAAATCTAATAATATCTATAAAAATTAAATATATCAAAAAATGTATATATGTTACCAGTTTTGAAAATTAAAGTTGCACCTTCTACACCAACAATGCAAGGAATACCATATTCTCTAGCAACAACAGCACCATGACTGATTAAACCACCAAGTTCCGTTACTATTCCGCCCAATAAAGGAAAATAAGGACTCCATCCAATATCAGTTGCTCGAGTAATTAAAATATCTCCCTGTTTAATTTCATCTGCTTCTGATACATTTGTTATAACACAGGCTCTCGAATAAATTATACCATTATAAACTGAAGATCCCATGACTTTTGTAATATTTAAATGTTTTGAATTTATATTAGCCAGCTAAAATAGAAAATAATCACTTAGAGAAATTTAATTATTTATTTCGATTATAAAATATATTAACCTCAAGTGGCTTAGGAACTCCAATGTTCAATTCTGAAAATTGATCCTTTTCAAGTTTCATGTACAATCGTTGTCTTCTGAATGCTCTAAAAATAAAAAAAATCCTTTAACAATTAATAATAAACAATTCAAAGAATTTAATCATTATTTCACGTACTTTCGAACTAAGAAATAATCCGACTTTTTAACTAACAATCCAATTTCATAATGAGTTAGGAAAAATATTAAATTTTCATCTGGCAGTCGACTTTTCTCAACTAATAATTTAGCGAGTTTTCTATAACTTAATCTAAATTTATGAAATGCATTTGTCAAAATTGATTTTGTCATTTCACGGCGAGCAACAGCTTTTCTTCCGTAAGGAACAATTTTTTGTAAAATCCATCGGGTAAAATTTTTCTTTGGCGTTTTTAATTTAACAACAGTCTCCTTTGGAGTAAGATCGATAATCTCGGTATTATCTAGTGGAACTTTCACCATTGCCTAAAACAATTTAATTTAAAACATAGAATCAAGAAAAGATTCACGAAAAAATGATTTAAAATATGATTCATATTGACTTCAAAAAAAAGGTAAATAAAAAAAATAAATTTACCTGAAGAGCATTAAATAATTTTTCGGGTTTCATATCCCAGGTTTCAGTGATAAAATCCATTTCTTTGATATTTCTATGCCCATAAGTTTTCATGAATTCGTTTAATAATTCCATAGTTTGGGGGGAATTAATTTCTAACCAATTAATAACATCATTGGCATTAATTTGTGCAAACTCTTTCCACTTACCAGTGTCTCTAATTAAATTTGCAATTCTACGAAGAGCAATTGGAACTTGTGCACTTATTACATTATTACACGAACTTAATAAAACAGCAATGTCCGAAAAATGATCAACTGTCAAATCATCACTATTCTCCATTAAAATTGACATTAATAGAATTTCATAGAAAATACTTATTCTCGAAGTGGCATTGTGACAACCTCCTACCTAAAAGAAATACATATATCACAAAAATTTAATGATTTTCATATAAAACAATAATTTATTATTCAAAATAATAAAAACTTACCAATTCCAATTGAATCAGTGAATTATCGATAGTTCGATAAAGTTCTTCAATTGTATCAAAATGGCTTGCATCAAGTTTCATATTTGCGAAAAGTTTTTCCATTTCTTTTAATGTTGCTTCGGCTTTCCAAGTATCTGAAACCATTTTTATTGTTTGCACTAAAGTTTCCAACAAATTTAAAATACCATTTCTTTTCTTGGCTTGATTATAAATCTCTGGCGTTGTTATCACATGGCCACAAACAGCCACGTCTGTTACTTTAACACTTGGCCTCATTTCTTTCGTAACATACGCCAACATTGTCTAAAAATATTTTTAAATTATTAAATAAATTACAAAAAAAAAATTTATAATAATATAACAATAAAATATGTTTTTATTTTTGATTTATAAAGAAATTTTTAAAAAATTTATTTTAGAAAATCATCACTTACATTCAAATAATTAATAGTGATTCTCATAGAAGAAATGTGTAAATGATTGTCAAAGTAAGGGACAATTGAGGGCTTCTTAAAATTATTATTCACTGAAATATTTAAAAGTTTAACAAAAGTACTGATTGTCAATGGTGATGTGACTCCAGGAAAAACTTCTCCAACATTAGCAAATGTAAGAATATCATTTTCAACAGGTGCAATAGAATCTAATTCATGAGTTAATTCAAAATCTGTCCAATTATCGAGACTTGTAATTGGACGTGATTGAAGTAAAAATATTTTTTCATCAATTATTGCCCATTCAATATCTCGTGCATTTTGAAAAAGATTTTCCAAATTTACACCAACTTTAGCTAAATTAAGAGCAATTCTATTTGAAATAGAATTTTTCCTTATTTCCTCATCACTAAGTTCCTTTATACTTGTTCCCGATTCTTTAGTCATTGTAATTTTTTGATATTTCTTTCCAATTTCAATGCTTTCAATTGTTAATATATCGTTCCAATCTCTTTCAATGATTACTGTGTCCGGTTCCACCATTGCAGAAACTACTGTCTAAATAGAAAAATAAAAAGAAAGATAATTTAATGGCACTCCAAAATATTTTATTTTATGAAGTTCATTTTTTTTAAATAAAAAATGGATTTAAGCAAACAAAAATTCAATTTTTTGAAAATTCTAAAGTGGCGTTACTTCTTAAACAAAATTAATATACTTAAATAATAATTACCTCGCCAAGTCCGTAATTTGAGGTAATGATAATATTTCTTGGATCGCCAGTTGTTGGATGCCTTGTAAACATGACTCCTGCAATTTCGGCATCGACCATTACTTGAATACAAACTCCCATTGAAGCTTTCACAGGCAAACCTAATCTTCTCCTAAAAATAATTTATCATTTTTATTTTGTGTTCAGAAGTTAAATTAAATTAGTTAATTCAAATTTTTATAAATGATGTTTGTAAGTTTTTAATGTTAATAAATTTTATTTCTTAAATAATCATTTACCTGTATTCCACACTCTGATAGGTATAAAGACTCGCCCAGCAGTGAGAAACATATTTTAAAATATTATCTGGATTCTGAATGCCAAGGAAAGTTGAATTTTGACCGGCAGCTGATGTTTCCTCACTATCTTCTCCAACGGCACTTGATCTTACAGCATATCGTAAATTTATTTGATTATTAATATTTTCATCATTTTCCAAATTTGATAATGCTTTTAATATTGCATTTTGTACTGGTTCAACTATAGTTGAAGTCTTCAAAAGTGAAATGACTCTAAAAAATATTAATGTTTCAAATTTAATTTGCATTTTTATTTTCTTTATAACTTTCCGTTATTAATAAATTAAGACGTTTTTTTTAAGTACAAATTTTCAATTAATAATATTATTCTTTCATACTTACTTGTCGCAAGAATTTTTTAAATTCTCAATGTCATTGATATTTATTTGTTCGATATTTTTAATAGCAAATGATAAATTTTCACAAGAATCAATTTGATACTGAAGTGCAGTAGTAACAATGCAAAATCCTTGAGGAACGTAAAACTAGAATTAAAAAACTAAAAAATTACTTTCTTATTAAAATTACAAATTTTCAAGTTAAAATTTTATAATTAAAAAATAATTACATACATCGCTAGTTTCAATCGAAGATAATAAAGCAAGTGATTTTGCTTTTCCTCCTACAAGTTCTTCATTTTGACAAATATCATCTCGAAATGGTACAGTAAAAATGTTTAAATCCTGAAATTGAGGAGAATGAATCGAAATTTCCGAAATAGTTACTGTCGATGTGGCAAAGTTTTTCTGCGGATACCATATAAACACAAAACCTGATCCTATAAAGGGCAAATAATTCGTATGTATTTATTTTGCGATCAACTATCAAAATTTCTTGCATAAAAGAAATAATTTCTAAAAATTATATTATAAAAAAATTACCTTCTTCATTCTTTTGTGTTAATTTAATATTGTAAGTCACATATTTCTCATCAACATTATGTCCATGATGTAAAGAACGTTTTGAATCTTTTTGAAGTTTTACAGAAAATTCATAATATTCATCGGCTAAAAAGTGAAAGTTTATTAAATAAATCATTTCATAGATTTAGAAAAAAAAATAAGAAAAAATACAAACCCTTGAAATGAATATTTTCAGAATCATTTTTCTCCAAATTTACATCATAATCGATATTTAAATTCATCCAATCAATATCAAATATTGTATTATTTATCGTTTTTAAATGTCCAAATTTGACACTAAAATGAAAAATTATTTTTAGTTTATTCATTTATTATTTATTACAAAAACAAAAAATTGTATTTTTAATTTCTAAAAACTTACATTTCTGAACTATCTTTCAATTTTCCAATATTTAGATAAAATGTAAGTCCATTAACTGATCCAAAATAGCTCAATACTTTGTCAAATTTAGAGTTTAATTGTTTTTCACATTTATGTTGACGTAAACCTCGTAGAAAATATTCTTTAGTACTCATATCCTCAAAAAGAATTTGTCCAACAAAAGAACCCCATTGATCAAAACCTTCAGATTCCGTAGAATATTTATTTACATCATTTCTCAAAATATCTGATTTTGTTAGGGGCACTGAATTAGCAATAAATCTGCCAAGCGAACAATAATTTATAATAAAGAAGAACATGCACATTTTTTTAAACTGTAAAACTTACATAAAATTAAAACGAACATGTTCCATTTTTCCTATATCATCTGTAATATTTTTTCTAGTTCCATTTCTCAAAAGTCCGTTAAATGTTATTCGCCATCGTATAAAAGGTTCACAAATAGATATCCTTATACCACCAATTGACCAACTTTGATTAGTAGAATTAAAAGCTATTGTACTTGGATGATCTGAAAAAAAGAAAAAATTAAAATTAAATTCATATTATAACTAATTAATAAAATTAAATTATATTTTTATTGCCTGGAAGTTCATATACTCGTCCATCAGAGAGATATAAAAATAGTATAAGTTCCTTATCATTTCCTTTATGATTTAATTTCAGAAATAATGAATTTCCCTCTTTATCCGTCCCATAAAATAAAGAACAAACTGAAATCTTTTTAAAAAATTTAATTTAGTATTGACACTTTTTTTAATTTTCAAATTAATTACTTTTTTTAAATAAAATAATACACTCACATCTTCATGAAACTTTTTTTGCAGTTCTTCAATTTTCATATCTTCAATAATCCTCAATTTGTCAAATTTTTCTTCACCTAAATAGGTATGGACACTTTTCTTTTCATCACACCACCAAAACTTTAACGTTGAATACCACATTGTAAAAACTAAATTTTCACATAAAATTAAAGTAAACATATTTTTATCATAATATTTATGAAAATTTTGATAATAATGAAATAAATTTTTAAACGTAACAATAATAATTACAAAAACTATTTACCTGATTTTTTGAAAACGCCATTATTTTTAATTTTTTTAAATAAAATAAAATAAGTGAAAATTGCACAAACAAGAGGCACTATAATTAAAGTATAAATTTCTAATTCCATGTTAATTTTTTGTTTAAAACCTAGAATATAAGTAGATATGCAAATTTTTCGACTTCCTCACTGTACAATGTACAAATTACGACTGCTTATCATTTTAACAAACTGATATTTTTATAGAATCTTTAATCACAGATTAAAATTATCTTTCAACTGATTTTGATAAGATGAAAATTAAGATGCCAAAAAAATTATCCAACAATTATAGTACATATTACAAACAAAATTTAAAATATATTGTAATATTAAAAATAATAGTTATTAATTTTTTATTCTACACTGTTTTTAAATCTTGAATGCCATTTAAATTGCATATGAGACTTGTAAAAAATGAATATCATTCTCACAGTTTGATATTTATAATTCAAGTATCCAACAGTGAATGATCACGTTATTTGCGTCATTCAATTATGAAAAGGATTCAGTCAGTACCACTATAAATTACGTAACTATAATAACAGGTTGAAATCAACTGCGAATTTCTAGGTCAAGATGAAATTAACTAGTTCTTTACTACATCTAACAATAAGTTTCTTTAAAATTAATTTTCCGAAATAATTTTTGTGCGAAAAAAATTCATTGTTTACTTTATTATGTAATTAAAAATGTTTTCAAGATAATTTCAGAGAAAATAATTTTTAAAAAAATAATAAATTACAATAAAAAAAATCTGAAAGAAAAATTCATTTTTACAAATACAACAAAACAGTGTTAAAAATTCTCTTATTCTCTAACTAAAAATGATAAGATTTCGATTTAAAAAAATTTTAATTTTATTTTTGATATATTAATTAAATGAAATACTGTAAATTATTGCTATATTTAAATTATATATTTTTTTAATATGAAATGGAATACTGTTAATAGTATTGTGTAAATTTCTTCTTATTGAAAAGTAAATTGTCAAAAATTCGACTTGAATTATTATAAACTTTTCAATCACAGTCAAATATTTCGTTAATACATATGTATATACATATTACAATATGTGAGAAATGCACAAGCAGACTTTGAGCAAGAAAAGTCATTGAGACCATTAAAATTTGTACTTTTTAATATATATTAAAACCTATTGAATTTTCTTCACCGAATCATTGACAGTTGCAGGTTCTTCCTCAATTGTTGCCGAATCCGAGCGTGACTTATCAACAGGATAAAGCCTAAAAATATGGTTGAAGACTTATTATAGTTGAGAAAATTGCAAAGGAAAAAGTAATTTACATAAAGAGTAAATTATTTTTTTTACCATCGTTGATAAAGGTAGACAAGGAATACAGCATCATCTCTAAAGCAAGCAACTCTGTGAGCCATTGGCATTGTTATGATGAATGCAAAAATATCATCAATAAATGTATTGAACGCTTTATACATAAACGCTCTCCAAGGTAAATGCGCGACTGACTTTAATTTATAATTTAAAAACAGTTGAGGTAACATGAAGAGAAAACCAAAAGCATAAACTCCATTCACTAGAGAGTTTATACACCAGGAATACCAGCTACAATAACATTATAATATTTATTTTATTCACTTTTCTATCTCTTATTTGCTTATTAAAAAAAAAATAAATAACAAAGTTTTTTTTAAACTAAATATTTTCTTTCTTGAAAAAAAAATATTAATGTTTCACAAATTTTGTGAGACGCAAAAGAAAAACTTTTTAACATGATTTATCCTTAACTTTATTTTACTGAAAATAATTATAAAGATAATTAATTTAAAAAAATTAAAATTACCTTTTATGAGCTTGATAAACTAGAGAGTAAACTGCACCAGCGAAAACAAGTGGATATAAAAGATAACTCAAATATCGCATACTTTCTGCATCGAATTGTCGAGATTTCGTTTCCAATGAATCACATTTGTTCCAATTGAATTTCATCTTTATGAAGAAACCTTCTCTTACAAATTCGGCTCTTAAAACTTTCTTCGACTTCCACAACTATAAAATAAATGTTATTTTCAATATATAGAAATATTCAAATATATTTTTTTAAAGATATACAATAAAAAAATTAATTTAGAATTTTAATCTCAAATTGTTTTAATATTGTATAAACATTTTTTTTGGTTTAAATAAATTAAACTTTAATTTTGAAATTAAACTTAAAGTAACAATTTTAAATAATAAATATTTTTTATTAGATCTTTAGAAATTACTTCATTGTGATTATTACCTCTATTATGCAACCAATTCCTGATGGAATTAAAATAAGTAATGAAGTGCCTTCATCGAGAAGATATAAAAATATAACAGTTTGACTAAATGCACGCCATAGAATTGTTTGAATACTGAGACCGGCAAGATTGTTTTTACCCCTCCAAAAATTAACGTCATTCTTGAAGGCAAGGAAATCAAAAAGCAGCTGCAAGAAAATAAATAAATAATCAATAAACTTAAAAATGGATTAATAAAAAATTAATTATGTTAAAAATAACTATAAAATATAAATGCATAAACACAATTTATGAAAAATTCATTTAATACATTCATTCATTTAATATTTAAAAAAAAATGATAATTGAAAAGATAATATATTACTGGTAAAAATTAAATATTCAATTAATTTTAATTGTTAATTAATCTCACATGCATAGAAGCAACGAAGACAGTTCCTGCTAATAAATATAAATTTGTATCAGCTAATATACTTTTAACTTCATCAACATCTTTATCTCCAAAACCAAGTTCTTTTAATTTTTTCATTGCAGCTTCAACGTGTAAGATTAATCTTAATTTTCCAACCGATATAGGCGAATAGGAAATTGTAACATTCTCAGATTTCAAATCAGTCATGATTGGAATCAAATTAGTCAATCGTGTCTCGAGAAAATTGTAATTAATCATTGGAAGGTATTTTCGAGTTTGAATTCGTCTGAAAATGTGAATTACAAATTAATATAAAAGAATTAACAATGCAATTATTACATAATTAATATTTAGAATAAATTCTTCAAAATATTATAAACAAATTACTAACTTCATATAGGGCATAAATTCCAAAGGCATATTATTAGTTGGAAGATCAACGGGATCAGTCATAATTGTGAAAGTAACTTTATTCTTTAAATGTGAAATTGACTTTGTCCTTGATTTTTTTTTATGTCCTTCATTCTGCTCAACTCCTAATAAATTAGATCCTTTCAATTCTGGAACTGCAAACTGGGTCATTTTAATTGGAAGAAAGACCGCATACTTATTCTACAAATAGATTCATTATTAATAATCAAAATTCTCTGAATAGACGAAATTAGATTTCTTTTTAAACTTTCTACAAAACCAACTATACATACCTTTTGTAAATCATAAAATGTTCTTGGTTCAGTTTCAAAAAAAGGAGATAAAAAAACATGTAAAAATAAAGTTCCATTTTTTCTAGTTTTTTCTGGAATAGTCAATGTTATTTGACTGTAAATAAAAAAAATTGTTAATTAAATTCAAATTTAAAAAATTTGATTAACTACTAAAAATTTCCAAAATGTTTAATTTTTTTATCGTTTTAAAAAAAAAATTTTAAACATTTTTTCAGCTAATAAACGAAAAAAAATTTAAATTCAGGTTTCTTGAAAATTGAAAATAATTTATAAAGAAATACAAAATTTATTAAACACGTATAAAACGAAACGTAAAACAAAGTATGGCAATTTAGATGAGTCTTTAACAAACAAAATGTTAGAAAATACATTCAAAATGTAATCTAAACATTGAAACATAAAAGTAACGCTTGATAAACAAACTTATTTAAGGAAACGAAATTTTTTTTTAAGTCATAATATAAAAAATAAAATAATCTCTTGGGAAAAAGCTTTTTTTTAAATCGACAGCATTCAATCAAATGTCGTTGAATCTCGTCTGTCATCTTTGAGTATTTGGTTTGTTTTCTATGTAATATCATCCTCTGCCATTTAACGGTAAACTGAAAATAAAATAATATTTTTAAATTTTATAATGTTAATTTTTAAATAAATTAAATATTAATTATTATTTTGTTACCTGAAAAAAAGTTTTTAAATTTCTGTCTCTTTGAGTTCATTCTCCGTATCTTCTGAATCCAGTTCATCAATTGAAGATTTATCAATTTTTTTCATATCGAAATTATTAGGCCAATACTTGTTTGTTTGACATTCATATAAATCTTCTGAAGCTGATTTCCTCTCTGTTGCATGATCGAAAATGATTCCATCCTCGCGTAATACATCAAAACCATAATGATCAAGAAAATCATTTCCAATAATTGGTGCATCGATATCAATTATAAAAAATTTCCATAAAAAGAATCTTCCAAGACCGAAATCAATTTTTCGGACAATCGAACCATAAATTGTAATCTCTTCATTGTCATTATTAAGAAGTTGAAATAAATCATCAAATTCTTGAATTTCATCTTCCTCGACGTATGATTTTGGATAAACACTGACATTAAATTCAGATATAAGACAGGGCAATCCACTTTCTTGATCAACAAGAATTAAACGTTTTTCTTTCAAACATTCATCGTGAGTTTCGCAAGTTTGAATTTCAATTTTTTTTCCATTTATCTTTGTTTTGGGAATTAAATCAATTTTTTGAAAATTTGTCAAAAGAGGCCAATCCATTGAATTTTCACAGTCACAAACATCCATTGAAAGTTCTTCCGTTGTCTTCAATGTCTCTCGATCACAAAGTCTTGAGTATTCTAAAGCGTGATCACACTCGAGTCCAAAGTGTTTCAAAAAATCTTGAGCAATAATTGGTTTCACGAAATCAGTAACAGCAAATGACCATTCGTATTCTTTATTTAAACCGAAATCCAATTTGAGATTCGCCCAACCGAGAATTGGAAAAAGTGATGAATCAGCAACTATGAATTCGGCCTTTTCCGAATCTTTCATCGTGTCTCCTTGTATCAAAGCTTTTGGATAACTGCTCACTTGGGATTTTTCAGTGACAAAAAATAAGACCTTGGAATTTTTATCAATCACGTGAAAACGATGTTTTTGAACTTGTCCTTCAATTTCACTTTTAGATTTCACGTCAATAATAAGTTTTTGAGAATCAAAATCAGAAGATTCTGAATCACTCGTCGAAGAATTATCATCGATTTTCTTGGCTTCTTCCTCAATTAAATCCTTGTTAATAGATTTTGAATCAGTTTTTTCATCTTCATCTGATTCATCAGTCTCGCCTTCCAAGCTAACGTCTTCTTCTGAACTAGTTGATTTATCATCATCATCATCAGCATCGATTTGTTGATCATTTTCTATTTCTTCTTTTGTAGAATCTTTAACTTCATGTTCAATTTTCAATTTATTTGATACAATCTCTTCTTCAAATTGTTCGGAACAATCTTTGAAATCATCTTCGGATGTATCATGTTCCTTAACTGAATTGTCGCTTTTGTTAAATTCTTCCTTATTAATTTTTTCTTCAATAACTTCTGAATCAATCGAAGAATTCTTATCGTCATTTAATGTTTGCACTTTATTAATTAAAGATCCATTGTTCAAATTTTCTGTTGACTTCTTGAAATCTTCCTTGGATTCTTGAAGTTCCATAACTTGATGATTTTCATTTTTAATCGAATCATTAATTTTTTTTGTAGAATTAGAATTAAAATTTGTAATATCTTCGATTTTTAATTCACAAATTTTGTTTTCTAAATTCTCAATATTTTCATTACAATCTTCATTTTTATTCTTTTGAGAATCGTCCTTTGAAGTAATTTCCGTTTCAGCAGGATTTTTATTTTCTTCTTCATCTAATTTTTCCTGTGTATTTGTTGCAATTTCCACGACTTTCAAATCTTCAAGAACTTCATTGATTATTTCCACATCGTCATTGTCTCTTGTTTCTTGATCAGAATTGGAATCTCCCGATGATTTAAATTCATCTTCAGTTGTATCCATTTTATTGACATTATTCATAGGATTTTCTTCGGATATTATTGATTCCAATATGCGAGTCTCTTTATTGAAATTTGTCTCCAATTCAGCTTCTGAATCTTCTGCAGATTTATTTAGAATTTTAATCGATATTTCCGATTCATTTTTCATACTTGACGACTCCAGAATTTCAGAAGAAAGATTCACTAATAGCTGAGCAGCCTTGAGATCAGAATTTTGGTCGGATTCAATATCAACGGGTGTTGAACTTCGCAGTCTCGTTTCAGAAACTTCAGGAGTCTCTGTAGAATTCTTTCTGGGATATCTTCTATAATTGTGAAACTTTTTTCTTCCTCCTCTCCAGGCGGGAAATTTTGGCCTTGAAAAAAGTGAATCAGCAACAGATATTTGACAATCACATGGTTCAGATGGTGGAGCAGTTATCATTTTAGTCTGCGGATCAATCAAACTATCAGGATTTTGATATAATTTAAAATAATTTATAAAATCTAAACCAAGGACCGGTTTTTCTACATCGACGACAGCAAATCTGAATGTATATTCTCTTCCTAAACCAATATCCAAAGTTCGACTTGTCCATCCTAAAACTGTCATCAATTGTCCATCAGCACCGCGAATTTTCTGTGTATGAGAAGAAGGATTAAAATCTTTCTCATCGACAAAATTCTTTGGAAACATACTGATTGCAATTTTAGAAACGAGACATTGCAATTGTGAATTAATATCGGTGACATGAAAACGATGTTTTATTTTTTTTGATTGAACAACATTTGCCTTGGCTGCTTCTTCTCCCTCTTCTTCGAAATTTGTCCTTTTTTCGTCATTATAGCGCGATTTGGTGAATTTTTTTTTATAATCTTTTTTGAATCGAGGACTTAAGGATTCTTTGGATTTAGGAGATGCACTTGGATCGTTAAATGAAGGATTTAAATTTGAAGTTTTATAATTGTTATTAACAAATTTGTGGTTCTCAGGATTTTCTCGTACTTTAGAAGAAATTTCCGCCTTTGAAATTGGCTTTGCATTAACCACAACACTTGAAGGCCATCCAGTTTGATCAATTGCAACATTACAAGGAGTTGACAAATTTGTTTGTAAATCAAAAAAACAAAATCTTCCCCTTTTAAACTTTCTCACAAGACTAAAATGATTCATGAAATCTAAGCCAATTATTGGTTTATAACCATCAACAACTGCAAATTTCCACACGAATGTTCGATTTGTTCCAAAATCTAACGTTAAACTTGTGAAACCTAGAACTTGATTTTTTTGAAATACATCGCCTATTATTTCAAATGAACCATTGAATGGTTCAAGTTTATTTTCTGGTTTCATAAACGACAATGGGAAAATACTTATTTGCGATGTAGTTCCCACTAAAAAAGGCAAATTTGATAATCTGTTGTAAACAAAAAAACGTTGCTTTACAGGTTTATTGTAAATCCCTGTAACTGAAGGCCAACCATCATCGAAATATTTATTATGATGACATTCACATGGGACAGTTGACATTTTTTCTGTTTCACAATTTGTTACAGGATTAACGAGGCACATTTTTGTGAAATTCATAACGAGACCGAAATGTTTTAAAAAATCTCTGCCAATTATTGGTCTTTCAAAATTTGATATGTTAAATGACCAAGAATATTCTTGTCCCAACCCAAAATCAACTATACATTTTATTGTACCAAAAGTTTGTATAACACTACCAAAATTATTGAGAAGCAATTCATTAGAACCTGGTGTTTCTCTGAAATCTTTAGATTTACGTGATTTTCTCGGTTTCGGATAAAAACTTACGTCTGAATCGGCAGCGACAAGAAAATATGTCGATGATCTTCTATCAATAAGAACAAGTCGTTGTGGTTTTGGACACGCGAGCTTTCGTCGCAAATCACCCATCTTTCCTTCTCTCTTTTTCCTTATTTAATCGAGATGCGATATGTATATATATAAATATATTAAATCCAAGATTATTCTCATCTAAGAAAACTTCACATATACGAGAATGTACTCAACTTTAAAATCGAAATACTTTAAATGACTATGGATAACTTTTTTTTTCTTTGAAAAAAATGGCGACAAGAAAGCACACTTATGGCTTTATGGTTTGCAAAACTTTTGAAACTGCTAAACCGGAAAACGAAAGGCTTAAGCGTCGTATGCGCACGCATAAAACAAAATGGCGCTGACTTCCGATTTTCAAAAAACCGTCTTTGATATTACATATTCATACAAATTTTGAAAATTGTAATAAATAAATTATTTAATAATAATAATTATTATTATTATAATTATTATTATTATTATACAATAACCAATAATAATAACAGTATGAAAATAATAGATCGTAATATTTTATATAAATGAATAAAATTTGGCGTATAAATAATTATTAATATAAAAAATTTATTTATAAATGTATAAATATTCTAAATATTATTTTTGGAAATTTTTAGTCAAAATATTAAGTAAGAAAATACATACAAATCTTGAGCTTCTTCGTAGTTAAATTTTGAAGATGAGAAGACGTGAATTGTTTCTGCCTGAAGAGGACGACTTTTAGTAGAACTGAAAAAATCCAACTGCATATCTGGCTTTGAATTTAAATAAGAACTTATACAAAGTTCTCTCTTCTCACAAGGAGGAGGAATAAATATAAGAGATATGGAATATATTGAATAACAAATGTACGTCAAAAACACCCCCGAAATAATGAGGCTAAACGAAGGCCACTTCATATTAACAATATAATTTTTTGCACAATTTTGAATAAAATATTAATAATTCTTATTTAAATAAATAAATATCACATTTATTTTAAATGTTTACAGAGTAAACTTAATGCAAATAAATCTTCCTTTATCTTAGATAAAAAAGAATTAAATAAAATTTGTTTTTATTGAAATTATCATTCAGTCTAATCAGTTAAAGTAATTATTTATTAAATATAGTTATTTTATTTGCAACACATTACAAATGCCACGAATTAATCAAGATTAAACGAATAACAGTTTGACACATCATAACACGAGTTCTAACCTCAAAGTACCGTTAGGATTGTCAACATTTTTTCTGTCATAATTTCGAATTGTAACAAAAGAAAAAAATGTGTATGATTTATTTTGAATATTTTAATAACAGTAATTTTCTTAATTTATTTGAGAAAATGTGCTTGAGGAAAGATATTGCATAAAGAAAATGTGTCACTTTATTGATATACACATATTGAAATATTAAAAGTAAACAGAGCAGACGACGCGAACTATATATATTGATACATAAGTCAGTTGTATTTCTATCAGTTGTTTAAATAACGTTCAAAATTATATATTTTATTATTTATTCAATTATTAAATAATAAGAACTTCTAATTAAATTAACATTTTTTGGTGATATATATTATTCTAATTTATAGTTTTTAATTCTTCACAAATTATAGGTACATTAGGCATGCATTTGACTCGGTTTTATTTTACAAAAAAGAGGGAATTTCAAATTTTCTTATTAATTTACTTTTAATAGTAAAAAAATAAATATTAATAATAAAAATAATATAATAATTTCAGTATTAATTATATATTTACCAATTTTCAGAAATATTAATTAATAGTGAAAATAATAAAATAACATTTACTTGTAGTAATTTAAGAAATTATTATAAATTTAAAATTATAATATTTACAATTAATAAAAACAATAGGATAAGAAAAAAGAAATAAAAGTATGAAATTTTTACAATAGTTTTTATTTTTTCACAGTGCGACTATCGTTCACAAACCCAAGTCTTTGTTTAAAACACGCAAACAATGTTTTGATTTGCAATTTCGTTTAATTAAACGATACAAAAAAGTGACTAATACGAATGTTTACACAAAAAACATCATTTTGGAAACTAATCTACAAATCAAATCGTTCAATATACAATCTAACTTAAGTAATAGATTAAAACATTAAAATTTTTCATATGGGACTGGTTGTATCGACATGTGAGAGGTGTGTGAAAACTAATTGGAATGTATATGTACAAAGAATTCTATTTTATAATAAATTACAATTTGTCTTGAAAAATTTTTTTAAAAAACTTTGCGACGGTATTTCTATAATCATCATTTTTTAAAATACATTTCAATTTATTTATGATGCAATTATGTATATATTTATAACTCAAAAAATCTAAAGAGAAAATAAAATCTTCTTTTTAAAAGTGCAAATCTAAAAGACAATATTTTTTTTCTTTCTGGTAAAAAAAAAAAGAAATTTTTTATCTTAAAACTAGATGCTTGTATAAAATTAAGGCTGAATTATAATGAAAACTGTTGTAAAACAATTTCTTTTTTTTAAAACTCTTTTACAATTATTAAAATAAATTGTATAAAATGTGCAACATATAATAATATGTCAAATATTAATGACAATATCACTTGTAATTAAAATTTAAATAAAATTTATAATTCAAGAAATGTTCATATTTTAAATAATAAACAAATCGAATAAAATCCTTAGTAAAATTTATAAAAGTTATTTTCCATCTTTCAAGATAAACTCTTTTTCTATTTGGTATACAATTTTCTACTTCTAACAAAAAAACTTAACAACCGGTGATCAATTTTCATTCTTTAAATACATATTTGTATGTATAAATCTATGAATGATATATCTCTATATTTATATCAAATAAAATTGAATATCATTAAATTATAAAGTATTTCTACAAACAATAATTAATAAAAAAAAAAAAAATTTCAACAAATTATTACTGTCACATTTTACGTCAATCCTTTTAAATTCTTTGACAAATTAATAGTTAAATTTAAAACATCAATCTTAAATAATTTAGTCACTTTACAAATTATTTTCATTTACAATAATAATAATAATAAGATTAATAAACAATGGATCACAAAATGTTGACATTGATTCATAATTAAATGCAATCCAATTTATAATATCGCCTCTATAGAGCTTTATGAAAAAGAGATAAAACTTTGACAATTTAAAAAACAATAATTATACTTTGCAAAAATTCTGAATCGATCAACTAACTTAAGTAACAAGTGTGAGATTTTGGAAGGCACAAAAGTAAATCCTTGTTTGTAATATAATATATATATACATATGTATGTATAGTATAATATGTAGTAAACCAGTCGAAGGTGCTTGACGTGAAAACTCCAAATTTAAACTTTACTTAAAAGCTAAACTTAAATTCTTTCAAGTTTAAATTTCAAACTTATTCACCAAACACAAATTTCATTTATATTTACAATTTCGTTATACGTTGCGACTAATATTTAATTCCTATAAATATTATATCCTAAATTGGAAGTCAAGATCAATTATTACAATTATGATGATCTGTTTTAAAGTCTGTCAAAACTTACAGTGATTTTATCATCGATAATTAAAATTATGCCTTAGAAATGTAAAATTGCAATAAAACAATTATTATTATTATCATCATCATCATCAATATTTTCAGGCGCACTTCTAATGTCTCTATATGTGATGTATATATTATTTTTTTAAATTTATATATGCATATAAACTTTGAATGATTACATTCTAAGTATTAGGCACATAGAACACACAACGTAATTTATATAAACCTATATATTTATAATATTATAAATATCATATGCGTCAAAATTATGCGAGTAAATCTATAAAACTTTTACACAACAATAAATTTATATAGGTATATATTCTTTAGAGTACATCCATATGTGATTCAAAATATATATTATATATATATTCGGCTTGTCCGCAAAATGGACCAAAGTTTTCAACAAATAGTTATATTAACATCACAATATGTATAACTTACATAAATCCACTTTAGTGATATTCAATTGCAAACTGTACACATATGGTAACATATACATATATGTATAATATATATAATATATAAATATAATGCTATTAATGCTCGCAAGCAAGCACTTGACACATGCGTAGACAATAAATTCTTATTTCTTACAAAAAAAAAAAGAAATTGTATATTATATAAGATGTGTAATATACAATTAACAACTTGGACTGAATTTTTTTGTTTTTTTTTTAAATTTTTTTTTTGTATATATATACAATAATTTTTTTCAATTTTTTAATGAGCGCAATCACCCTCATAAAAAATATTACACAAGTATTTTTATTATTATTACCTTTGTGTTTATAAATAAGTTTTTATACTTTTCCTCTAATATGAAAACTAGTTTCGAAAATCATTCTCGAAAAAAAAATAATTTATTATAATATACCTAAATTTATCTTTAAAAAAAAATATCAATTTTATAATATCAAATGTAGAGATCAAATCTCAAACAATGTTAACAAATTAACAATAAAAAAAATTTTTATAAAATTTAAAAAAAAAAAAATATTAATAATATAATATTATATTGTTTAATCTATAAAATAAAATAATATATTATAGACTTTTTTTATATACGCGGAAAAATATGTAAAAATAATTTATTACAATTGTATAATATTTTATCATAAGAGAATTGATTTTTTTTTTAATTCAATCCAAGATGCGCTTTTTTTGACGAATACTGGTGGGTGTATTTTAAGGCACTCGTGCGAGTCTATAGTATAATCGAACACCCTGGCTTTCACCTGGTGGACAAATTTTATATATATTGAATAATAATATAAATGAATAAATAACACAACAATATTTATAGCGAACTTTGGAAATAAAACTATTGCACTTTGTTGATAATACAATCTATTTATCGAAAAATAAATAGATGAGACGAAAAATGGATAAAATTCTTTAACACTGAACATAATATTTTATTTTGTTAATAAATTAAAACTTTTTTTTCTTATAAATACTATTTTTTTAAATTTTCAATTAAAACACAACAATAAAAATTTATTGACAAAAAAATTAATCAACAAAAATATTTTGCTCAGTGAGTGACATAAATTATTATTTTTTCGCCATTGACATGAAAAAGTGTCTTTTTTGTGCCTGTTTTGGGCAGATAAAGTAGCACTTTTTAAGGCAGTTTGGGCCAACTGCCTAAAAAAGACTTTTTTAGGCAGCAAACTGCCGTATAAAGTCTTTTTTAGGCAGTAAACTGCCCTATAAAGTCTTTTTTAGGCAGTTGTTAATTTTTGCATAATTTTTTTTTTTGCTTTTATTTTATTTATCAATTTTTATTATTTTTTTTCTTTAAAATTGTTTCACTTTTTCATAACAATGGCGAAAAAAATAGCGTATGTGGCTCGCACGTAGTAATTTTTAGGTTCGGATGATTTCAATACTCGCTGTCTGTGCGACTTCGGTTCGACTCGGCTCGCTTTCGGCTCGACTCGACTCGCCTTCGGCTCGTCTTCATCTCACCTACAGCTCGCCTTCGTCTCACCTACGTCGCACTAACGACAGCTCGTACTGAAAATTACATCCTCACCTAAAAAGTACTACTTTACGTGCTTGCCACATAATATACTATTCTATACAACATAATTACTAAAGTTTTTAATGTTTTTCATATTTTTCTGTTTTTTAAATTTCTTAAAATTTAAATTATGAAACTATAATAATAGTCGTATCTGACGAAAACCCTGTATGATTATTATTATTATTATTACACATTATCCATGAAAAGTTGTGACTAAAAGAAGGAACTAGCAAGTTTAAGATACATTTTGATCTCAATCTGTGCTCGGACAGTCGGAAGCAATTATTATTACATTCACTTTCATTGGTCATTTAAATATATAAATTAGAGAAAATGGAAAATTATCATTGCACGCACACGCAAATATCACAAGAATCATAGGAACGATTTTTTTTCATTGTTATTTTGTTAGTTATTTATTAACATTAAGTTTATATAGATTGTTAATTTTTTTTCATAGTTAGCACAACTGTAATTTGTTTAATTACAGTATATATATATATATATATATATAAATTTATTAGTAACCGACAAGAATGTATATTTCTTTAACAGCCAAAAGCATGTACGACATTTTCATCAATGCACACTAATTATTATTATTTAGAAAACGTAACACCAATGAGAATTGCGATTCATTTTTTTTAATTCTAGAAGAAAATACCATATATATTTTATATATAACAAACAGAAAGTTAAATTCTTTGGCAAAATTTCAAAAGACACATATATCTATCATAGAAATGCATTGGTGAATAAATTTCCATTTTCTCCAATAATTTTCGTCTTTTAACGCGCGGAACAGATATGTTGTACATTTTTTTTTAAATTAGGCTTACATTTTTTTCGAGCGTAATATATTCTCTCGTATACTCATATATATACTCATATATATTGTGACTATCACAACTCGAACATTGGAATATAATAAATATATTTATATTTTATAAATTTATATATGTATAATATATTAATATATTTATATGAATATATACTATGTACATAATATTATAAGATTATTTTATGTTGTGAATAAAGATTCTTACTGAGGCATTAAACCATTTCTTAACATCATTTTTTTGTTTTTTTTTCTGTTTTTGCTTTTTTTTGACAAATTCATGAAATTTCTGTATATTTTGTAATACAGAATAAACTATCTACTATGTACCTTCTTTTGATGTCTTTGGCTAAAAATCTAGAAAGTGACTTATAATTAAACGGTAACAAATAATCATCTACTTGCCAGTTGCATCCAGTACAATTGATGTGCAAAATGTTTTTTAGATTTTTTTTTTTTTTTACAATCCTACCTCGTTTGAAGAAAAATGTGACGAGGTTCTAATACGTCTGATTCATCATTTCTTACTCTCCTTATCTTTATTCTCTGCTTTTTCATGAGCGTTTCCATAACCTAATGCAACATTCTGCAAAATCAATAACATTTATCAATTTTTTTTTAAATTATTTAAAAAATGAAAATTTTTATTAATTTATATAAAAGAGAAAAAAATTATTTACATTCTTCTTGAGTTCTAAGTTTATTATAGAAAAACAAAATTCTATTTTAAAATAGAGAAAAAGGTTTTTTTTACGATTAGCGAAATAATATTTATGATAAAATGTATCACATTTAGAAAATAAAAAAATAAATAAATCAGTGGTTGTCTATTATTTTCGGTGCACCAAATTCCCAATTAGTTTGTGTTTATTGAGGTATGAATTCTTCATGTAAAGAAAAACAATTTTATTATTAATATTATTATTAAAAATTTTACGACGAGATAGAAGATTCTCTCAATTTTATTTTGAACAAAAATTAAAGTTAATTATAAATTGAAAAGGCAAATTGAAATTAATTAATTACCCAATTTTCGTTTACATAATGAAATATCAAACAACAAAAATATTGTTTATTTGAAAGAAATTGATTTATTAATAAAAATAGTAAGGTATTTGAAAAAAAAAAATAAAATTCACGATCACCTTTTATTACCGGCTATTTTTTGTTTTACCAAAAACTTACCTGGACAGCAATTTGTAATGGAGTAGCTTCTCCTAGTGAGCAATCTGATCTTAAAACATCAGCAGGCAACAGTCTTGGACATGGTTTCCCGGTGAAGAGCATAAAAAGAGTGTGAATTGTCCTCCTTTGTGTAAGTTCAGTGTGACGATGTTGATAACCTGATAAATGTCTTCTATGTCTAATCACCGATGGGAACCATCTTTCACAAAGCACACAGTATCTTCTGTGTTTTATTGTCGCCTAAATAAATAAAATAACAAATCAATTTATTGTCAATCATTCTTTTTAATTGTGTAATAATAATAATAATAATAAATAATTACACAATTAATTGCGTACCTTTTCATGAAAGACCCAATTTTGAACAGCATCAGCGAGAGTGCCTCCCAAATCCACCTGTGAAGTCTTCATGTTCCATGATACATTATCTTCTTTTTTCACATCAACGTTGAAAATCTTTGATTCACTCTCTAAAATTTCCACGTCATTTTGGTTTGTTATTACAGGTGGTGAACGTGATGTATCTCGAGCTAAACTTGGATCCACATTGACTTCACCTTCTGGTTCAAGAATTGGCATCTCCTCCTTTGCTTTTACCTCGGTTGCATTATCACCATTATTTTCTTTAGACTTAGAGATCTTTGGAATTTTATATGACTTCATTTTATTTACATCACCATCTCTTGTATCTTTTGAAGATTCTCTTGGTCCTTTCCATGAGTCCCTTGATGATTCTCTTGATTTTTGACTTTGTGAATTCGATTTGCTTCTTGAGCGTTTCGAACATAAATCCGAGGACTTGGATCGACTATCGGAATCCTTATTTTTACTCGATTCTTGAGTTTTATTCAAATGATGAAGACTAGATCGTTTCTGATCCCTCAATGATATTGTATTATGATGATCATAATTGCAAGTATCTTCTTCTAACTTTAAAGCTGTTTTATATTTCTCCCTTGAACTGCTACTTTCTTTCGATCGCTTTTTATCATACTTTGTATGATTTCTTGAGCTGCGATGTTCCGAAGTTCTAGTAGAAGTTAAATTATTATCTCCTGGCTCAACAAGAGAAAAGCCAGTACCCTGTTTCTTTTCAGCGAGAGTTTTTGGCCGTGATTTAATTGAGGTACTCTCAGTTCGACAATTTGGTAAATACTTTTTTAATATCTCCTTTGCAGCCATGACTTCTTGGACGAGTGACAGTGAATCGGAAAATTTGGAATTTGAACACGATCCACTTGGTTGTTCTAAATTTTCACTAGTCACATCTGACAAATTCATTAAATCATTTAGAATAGGAATTTCATCCTTAATATCACAGGAATCATCTCGACCATTATTATTGCCGCAAGAAGTATCTTCGTCTGGTAGAAGAAGCCTTGGAAGTTGATCATAATTATTTGTTGATTCCTTTTCGAGGATATTATTTGAATTTTCTAAATCTACACTATCAATTGATTCGAGAAATTCCTTCGAATCAGACATTGGTACATCATATGTATCTACACTGCTGTCGACAATTTCAAGTTCAAATTCAAATTGCGTTGGAATTGCATCTTCGGAATATAAATGCTCGTGTTCTCCATTTGCCATAATTGAATTGGAAAATTCTGGACAATCGAAAATCGTTGGATTCTCTTCGATTTTTATTCCAGTCATCATTTGAATTTCATCAATATTCATAGGACTAGAACCAATGTCTAATGATAAATTTGCTTTATTGTCCACTTCTTCTGCATTCAACAATGGACACTTTATTTCTCCATCTTCATTTAATTTTATTTCTCTTTGATTGTTATCTTGTTCGACAATATTATTGGGAAATGGAGAAAAATCGAATTTATCCGAATTTTGTAAAAGATCTTTACTTTCAGAATTCATATTTTCGTCAAATTTCTTCCAAGTTTCAAATGAATTATATTGTTGATTATTTTTAATGATATTAGCGGAAAACATATTTTTGAAATATAATGCTCGATTATTTAAATAATTGGTATCGGATATTGTCGATTCTCGAGCTGATTTACAAGCTTTAATATTGTACAAATTTTTCGAATCCGAGTTAAAATAACGTATTTCCATATCTGATTTTCTTCTCTTTTTTACTTTACTTGAAATCACATTTCCATTTGATTCGGATTTCGATAATTCTTTTTGTTTTTTAAGACTGCGAATAAATTGTTCCCATCTTATTTTACTTGTATTCGATTTGCCCCGAACTGATGCTTTACTTCCATTTTTAGCAATGGCCAATTTTAATGCTATATTTACATGTTTTAATTCTTTTGCCATACAATCTAAGATCCAAGAGCGTTGTAATACAACTTGTGGCTGAAGACATAAATCATGAACGGAAGTATTTTTCTTATCGTTACTGACCTCGCATTTGAACTCAGCTGTTGGTGAAGTTCGTTTAATGATAACTTTGGGAATTTTCTCCGACATATTTTGACAATCAGATAATGATAATGGGTTTTCCATAATTTTATCCTGTTTTGTTTCATCTCTCATTGATCTTTTAACCTTTTTATTATTTTCCATTGTTGTACCATCAGAATTGTGTCTTTTTCTTGACATTGAATTAGTTTTTAAATCTTTTTTAATTTTCAATTTTCGAATTTTTAGTTTATTGTCATTGGATTCGACAATTGATTCTGAAGTTTTAGTAACTTCCAAAAGCTTCGAATTTGTACATGAATCGTCTGTCAATTTTGATGAAGAATCATTTATTTCAGAATTGTGAGTTATTATTGAATTAAATTCATTTGTATTGTCACTTATTGTATGTAAGTTTTTAAGTTTCTTTATCTTGACCTTTGGTACTAATTTTTTAATATCTTGAGGATTACGTATATCTAAATTTTTGATAACGACTTTTGGAAGTTTATCCTCCAAATTTATTTTCATTTTTGGAATGCGATTCTCTTCATTTGAAAATATGTAAGAATCATTATTTTTATTTATGTCGTCGAGTCTTATCTTGACTTTGATAACATTTGACTCCTCCTGTGACAATGGCAACTCTTCCGGGATCTCCTCAATTGTGGGCGTAGTTGGTCGTGATTTTGCATTTCGAATTATCATCTTTGGTATTTTTCTATGAAACGAAGGCTCAACATTGCTTTCCGCTGATTTACTCTTAGCAATCGAAGTACTTCGATTTATTTCTATTTTTCGAATTACAAGTTTGGGAACCATTTTTTCGACAACAGAATTTTTCACACAAGATTCTTGTTTCTCACCTTCTTCTAAAGTTACATCGGGCATTTTATTAAATTCATTGCTATCGGAACTTTTTGAAAAATTTATCATCTCAGAATCGTTTAATTCCCTTTGGATTTCAAGAATTGGAGGATCAATTTCAAAACAAGACTCATCGTCAATGTAAACTGAATCGAAGTCGAACTTTTCATTATCTTTTTCGGTTATTAATGGTAAATCGTCATTCTGAAAATCTGACTTATTACTTTCAATTTTATTTTCATTTATTGAGCATTCTTCATTTGAGATTTTCTCCGAAATATTTGTTAAATTTTCAAAATTGTTATTAAATGTCGTTTCAGTTGGTGAGTTTGTTTCAAATGAAGGTGAAAGACCTCGTGTTTGAAAATATTCTTTTTCACAATTTTTTAATTCTTTTTCGTAATTTTTATTAGTCACTGGAATATTATTCAGATTTTCTTCATTTTTATAATTACTTTCATAATTTTCATCACTTAATTTTTGATTTTCTAAATTATTTTCTTCATTACTTTCTTTATTTTGTTTTTTATTTTCTTGATTTTCATGATTAATTTCTTTTATTTGTTGATGTTCGCGATTTTGGTGATTATAATCTACATTTTGTTGTTTAGTTTCTTGATTTTCATGATTAACTTCTTTTATTTGTTGATATTCTTGATATTGTTGATTATTTTCATCATGTTCTTTATTATTTTCGTGATTTTGTTGATTATTTTCTTGATTTTCCTGACGAAGTTCTTGATTGTCTTCTTGAAATTCATTTTTAGGTTCTTCAAGTTCATTTAAGTAATCATCGTTTGTGAAATGATGTACCTCATTCTCGGGATAATTTTCACTTTCTTGTCTTGCAATTATTTCCGAAAGAATTTCTACTTCTCGTTCAAAATCTGAAAGTTTGTTTTCACTCGCGGCTAGATTTGTAGATTCTTCAAGTCTTTCGAGATCGAAACTCTTTGAATATTTTTCATTTATTTGATTAAATGATTGATTATCGTCATGTGTTTTGGAAGATTGTGGTTCGATATTTGAAATAATTTCTTTTTCAGAAATAGAAAGAAAATCGACTTCTTGAATTTCATCATTATTAATAATATTAGATTCGAGTTTCAAATCCGTTTCTATATCTGCTTCTTTCACTTGGTCATTTAGTAATTGTATTTTTTCAGGATCAGAAGGAAATTCGATTTTTTGAATTTCAACATCATTGATAATATTGGACTCAAACTTTAAATCAGGTTGTGTTTTTGCTTCTTTGACTTGATTGTCTGGTAACTGTATTTCTTCAGAATTTGCCTCCGCTTTCTTTTCACTTTCAATTTCTTGTTCTTTATCCATATTTTCAAGTGTTCCTGAACACTGGGCAATTTCTACTTTAGGTTCAATGATAAATACGTCGTCATCATCATCAATTTCAATAATTTCTATTTTATTCTCTTTTTTTGTTGGAGACTCTTTTGTGATTAAACATTCAGTTTCATTTTCATCAATATCAATAATTGGAATATCTTTTTCAATTATTTTCTTTTGATTGTCATCGAAAGTATTTTCTAAAAGATTGCTTTTCACAATTTCTAAATTTTCTTCAATGTTTTTATTAATTTCAACATTTTCAGTTTCTGAATTTTTACTTTCAATATTATTAATAACAATACTTTCAATTTTTTCGATTTCACTTTGTTTATTTATAGTTGTGAAATTTTCAGTTTCAACATTATTAGATTTAACATTATCTGTTTCAATATTATTAATTTCGAAATTATCTTCTTTCACATTGTTTTCGGTTTCAATAATTTCCATTTCATCATTTCTGACATTTTCAATATTTTGCATAGAATCGGGAATTTTATTTTCTGAAGAATTTTTTAAATCCGAGGTGGAAATCTGAATGTTCGGTGTCAACAAATTTTCTGTAGAATCTAAATTAATTGAAGGAGGTAAATTTGGAAAAATATGCACACTTTTTCTTCTTTCCGAAATTAATTTCGATGATTGTAACTGAACATCGGATGTAGATCTTCGTCTTGTGATGAATGAATTATTGAATAGGTGAAGAATTGAAGTATTGTTGATGAATTTCAATTTAGCATTAATAGAAGAATCTGGAACATCGATTTCTTTAACAGGATTTGATTTTATTTCGACTTGAGACTTTGAATCTGAATTAGGAATATTAAAATCTACACTGCAATGTTGAATTCGATCAACTTCAGATATTCCAAGAGTATTTTCCACTGAATTCAAATTTTCCTGGACACTTTTTTCGACGATTGAATGAGTTGAAGAATTATTTTTTGCAACATTATTAGAATCAGTTAATGAATTCTTATCATTCACAGCAACGGGAACAACTTGATTATCTTCTATATCTCTTGGAGTTGGACTCTGTATTTCCGTGAAAACTTGAACGTTTATCCTCTCAATTTGATGCTCTTCACTGGATTCTGCTACGGACGATATTTCATCCGACACGTTTACTTTCTCTTCACTAATTTGTTCTTTTAAGCAATTTGTAGTAATTTCCCGTTCAATTTCCAAATGAATATCATCGAAATCTGAATTTGAACTCCTATTTAATTTATCATCAATTTCTTCATTCCCAGATGAACTATCATTTAAAGCACTGTAATTTTTTATTGTCTTTATTAGCATTGGTTCATTATTAGAAATGCTTGCCTTTTTGTCCCTGTGAGATAAATAACGCTGATAACTTTTCTCTAATTCTTGAGTAGCAAAACGTTTAGCCAATGATTTTTTCGGTGGTTTTGCATCAGTTTGATGTTTGCTATTGAATGCACGTTTTTCACTCGACTTTGATGATCTTTTATCTTGAGATGTAGAACTATAATTAAAAGATTCATCTTGACATTCTTTTTCACGAGCTTCCATTAACAATGTTCTATATGTAAATCTTGGATTTGGACTGTAAGTAATTTTACCATCCTTTGTCGTATACACTGGAACTGCATTTAAATTCTCAACATCTTCCAAAGAATTAAATAATGGATTTAAATATCCCTTGGGACTTAGAGAATTTTCAGAATCCAATAAATTGGAATTTAAATTTTCTTGATTGTCATCAGAAATTTGAAAATGATTATCATCAAAACTATTTGAATCGCAATGTAGAGAATTTTTAATAACAAAATGTTTTGCATCATCGCTTTTATCACTTAAATCATCCTTTAATAAATCAATGTTCTGTGAAGTTCTAAATCCAGAAGAATCCGATGTACACGCCAATATTTCTAAATTATCATCAATGTCCATTTTATCAGTTCTATTATTTTCAAAACCCGAAAAATTACCAACGTCCTTAAATTTGTGTTTTCGGGAATTTTTAACATTTTGTGATTTCAATTTCTTTTTAACATCTTCCAATGATTTTGATTTACTGATTGATTTTAGTCTACTCGAAAGACATTCAATTGTCGAATTACTACGTTCTAATGAATTCATAAGGCACTCATTATTTTCATGTGATTTCGTTGAACGATTATCAAGATGATTACAGAGATAATCTTTATCGATTTTATGAAAATTCATAGATTTACAAGTATCACATGCTGAATAACCGTGTTGGGATATTTTATGATGATGACCTTTTTCATAATATTCAATGACACTCTCTTTTCTCTCATTTCCTTGAATTTTAGATTTTTCTCCAATTTTCTCAAAATTCATTTTCTCCAAATTGTCGTGTAATTTTTGATTTGGAATTTTTGTTTCAACTTTCGAGCTTGATTGACAGGTTAAATTTTTTCCCGAACAAATTGTTGAACCACAACTAGAAGGCTCTTCCTGATTTCCATTGTAATCAGTTTCATTACACTTTTGTGGTTGTGATGATGAAACTTGATTTTCCGTTTTACCATCACTTCGTGAAACATTGATTTCTATTTTAATTGCCTCAAATGGTTTACTTGAATCGCAACTGTTTCTAAATTTAATTTCCAAATCAGAACTTTTCCCTTCATTTGGATTTAATTTCTTTTCATCATTTACATTCTTTGAATTTAATACTTCGACAGTTGTTGGATTTGTTGAATTCTCTTTACTCGGCTCTAGAGTAAGTTTCTGTAATTTTGTTTCATCTTGAAAATGATCAATACTTCGTTTTCTTTTTAAATTCTTAAATTCCATTAATAGACGATTTTCCTCTTGATCATCAATTATTGTACTCTCCGTAGACTTTGAACGACTTCGAATTGAATTTGTTTCCAATGATTTTGATCTTGAACGATGTGGATATTTTAATTTTTCATCAAAATCAAAAATTTCTTGTCTCTCAAAACTATCGGACATTTTTCTAATTGGATGGTAATTTTTATTTTGTGTATTTTGTTTCCATGTTGATTTGAATATTTCCTCTGAAATAATATTAATTCCTTTTGGATTTTTTTTGATATTATTTGGCTCGTGCATTAAATTTTGCATAAAATGTTGTCTATCTTTGATATTCTTGAGAATTTTTGTCACTGATGCAGAAACTTGAGCAATGTCTGTTTTCTTTTGTATTTTATGATCTAGTGGATCATTATATAATTTTTCATTATTAGATGTTTTAATATCGGAACTGAGATCAATACCTTTGGAAATATTGTAATCTAACCACATATCATCGACTTTATTTATTTTTTCGTCATTCAATTCAAAATCATTTAAAACTGTGGGATCTTTTAAAATTTTCGTCATACCATTTTCTTCTTGTGTTGATATTTTCGATTTATCATTTTCTTCTCCGGGTATTAGAGAAATTGAATTCCAACACCATTTGTCTTGTTCTTCAGTTGAAAAAACATCCATGTTTGATGAAAATTTATTTGTATCTTTATTCATTGGATTCTCTGTAATTATACTCATTGATTTTTCTTGACAATATTTTGTAGTATTTAACTCTTTTGATGTTACTGTATCATTTTTCATTTTTTTCTCATCTTTATTATGTTCCAATATTTGACTCTTGATAACGGACTCGTTATTGCTTTGAAAATCAAAATCGAGACCATCTTGTGATGTTTTCAGAGAAATATTTTCCCCTTTGAGATGTTCATAGGGATCCATTTTAACGGGAGATTGAGTAAAGCTGATCATTGGACTGTTTTGAATTAATTCAATGGGATTGGTGCTTGTTGTGAGATCAACACCTTGATCGGAACATTCTTCACTGTCTGAATGAGTGGGTGTGTTTAAAGTCGTTGATATTGGAGTGCATTCAGAAGTTGTTAAATCAGGTAAGCTAATATCATCCGAATTTTGATTCTCTTCATTCATGAAACCATTTTGTTTCTTTAGATTTGTTTCAGTTTCGGAATTATTTTTTGTCGCTAGAGGTGGTAAAATTGATAAATCTTCTGGAGTCATTTGTAATTTAGAATCGGAATTCTTTTGTGTTAATTTCTTGTAATTTAGATTCATAGACGTTTCTTTAGTTTCTGAATCACACTCTTTGGTATCAGTTAATGAAGGTAAACTGCCACCGGGACCTTCTATTTCCGCTGAAGTCGTTGTTTTCTCCGTGTAAATAAATTCCTCCTCTGGATTCTCGACAATGTGAATTGTTGGCACCCCGTCGATTCCCTCGCCGACACATTTTATATTCAATTTATTGGCATAAATTATCCCTTGATTTAAATCTGTCGAAGAATCTTGAAGGAGATTGGAATCAGTTTGTTCTTTTGAAAAATATTCCTGTGATTTGAGAGTTGTTGTTTCGTTGTCAGTTTTAGGCTCAGCTGTATTTTCAGAAGTGTGAGTTACTAAACCCACATTACCATATTCGACGACAACAATTGGCGTTGAATTACTGAGAACAACATCGGGTAAATTTGCATTCGCTCCATCTTCTTCTTCGACTTCAACCCAATTTGCGAGAAATTGTCGAACATCCAAATCAGGTTTGTTGCTTAAATTTTTTGAATTTTTCTCACTTTCTTTTCTTGAATTTAATGTTTCGAAATTCTCCTCCTCACGTTGAACGTTAACATGACAATGTGGATTTTCAATTGTTTTTTGATTTAAAAATTGTACATCACGGGGAATAGTTTCTTGATTTTGAATTGTTGATTGTACAGAACGCGGTGGTAAATTTTGTAATTGTTGTAAATCCTCTGAGGGAGAATGCTCTTTTTCGGGATTCAATGAATTTGGAGTAGAATTTGTTGGATTGTGTGGTGTGGGAAAATTACCAGGTAAATAATTGGAATTGATTAGAACTCCATTTTGATCGAATTGTAAATTAATTGGCGGTACAGAACTGTTTGATGAATTTAAAGAATTTTGAAATGCACTTTGATAATCGACTGTTTGCTGTAGCCTTAATAATTCTCGATACCTAAGAATGCATTCCTGATATTTTGGATGAGATTGATAGCCGGGGATTCTTGATAATTCTCGAAGATGATTTTCCATGGAGAACCTTTGCATCGCGTATTTTTGTTGATACATTTGATATTTGGGATATGTGCTGTGCATTGGTACGGGATTTTGAATTTTATTTGAATCCTTCTCGTGATTTTCCCATTGATAGTCGCGAGAAAATTGAGGATTTAGATAGGGATTTTGCACGGATGATATATTTGAGCTGATACTGGGAACACATAAACCTTTTTGTAATAAAGCACCGCTTTGATATTGTCCCTGTTTAGGGGAATATTTCTCTTGCATTGTGGTAACATTATGTTCGGAATATTTAAGAATACCAGTGTTTTGAGAGTTCATAGCAACTTGCTTTTGATAATCTTTCATAGGATAGGGATATTTTTGATATTCACTAGGTACACTATAATTTTGAATTGGATAATTCGGTAAGACAGTTGAGGTTTGATAATTTCTAGGTACGGGAGGATCTTTACAATATTTATAGTCGGTGAAATTTCTTCTTTGGTCAAGATGATAAGTATTTGGTGGGATTAAATCCTTACTAGTGTAACTATCCTTCCTGTAGGCAATATCATTTCTATATCGTCTCGATTCATTGGCGTATCCTGACGCGCGAATATTTTCTCTATAGGGATTATTAGATTGATAGGAGGGAAATTTCTCCCAGTTTTGATAATTTACATTTGTATCCGAGACACAACAAGGACCTTTACAAGAGGACATATAGGGTGGTCCTTGTCTACTCGAAGGCACAGTATTTGTGGGCGGAATACGTGTTCCTGCGGTTCCCATATTATTAGCTACATTCATATTTGGTCCTACAACACCACGAGGCACGGGTCCATTTAATGAGATCTGATTTCTATGCGCTATTTCTTCATTGAGACTGGCCACTGATCCATTTCTTAAATCCATATTGCTTGAGTCGTCCATCATGGAATTCATGGAGGACGAAGCTCCATAATGACCTACACAACTTGACATATGAACTAATGAGGTCAATGGTGGCTCGACCAAACTATTCGGCCCACTCGGAGTATTATTTGGCGGCTGATAATTTCTTTGACTATAATTAATAACATCATTCTGTGACTTACTTAGACAATCAGAGCTGAGATTGAGACCATTCATGGACGAGGGACTGATGTTTGGGATATAGAGATGAGAAGAACTAATGTTCTGCCCAGATTTTGCAGCTTCCGATCCTCCAGACTGTAAGGCATTGTACTGCTGCCAGTCTGGTATATTCCTGCTGTAGCTCATTGTACATTATTGAGTCGAGCGATTTCTGAATTCATTTTCTCGTCCCTTTATTTGCTTGAGGGATCTGCAGCAAGTGGCAGGGCATTTACCTAAAAAAATATTACTTATTGCATAATAAAGAACATTAAAAAGTTTATCAATAAATACATTTATTATTTTTTTAAATATATTTATTGATTATTGTGATTACATATATTAGTAAAAAAAAAAGAAAAGAAAAATAATAAATATTCAATTTATGGAAAGTACAGTAATTCGTTTAAAAAGAAAAATTTTCTTTTTCAATAAACTGCTATGTTTACTGAATTTTTAAATCAATAATTTATTTTTGGAAAATTTTATTTTAGTGAAAAAAATGTCAGTCGTAAATACATAGTAAAAAATAAATATTTTTCCACATTAAATTTTAAACGCAAAAAACATATTGCAGCTTAAATACTTCAAGTAAAATTTTAATATTATTTTTCAATCAAACTTCGTTTAAAAAAAAAAAATGGTAAATATACTACAAAATATAAAATTAAATTCGTTAAAAATAACTAAATGTTAATTTATTTTATTAACTAAATATCAATTAATAATTATTTTATTAAATACACTGAAATTAAAAAATGTCTATCATAGTGAATAAGATTGACATATGTATAAATATAAAGAAAAAATAATTTAATGGTATCAAAAAGTAAACACCGAAATTGCTACTTATAACTTCATATTATGATTCAGGTTTTGAAGACCTTGTATATATATATGTATAGATATAGTTTACGTATCTACTGATATGCAATTACAAGGACTTTTTATTTTCAAGGGAATAAAAATCGTGTCAAAATTAAGCTGAAAAATATTACAAATGCTCAAATTGACAATTAACATTTACATTTCGAATATATTTCCATATATATATATCAGAATCTAAACTTAATTCAAGCACTATGTATTATAAATGAGGTAAAAATAATAAATTTTACAAAAATCATGAGCACTTAATTCGTGAATCTGTTAATAATTCAATAAAAAAAAAAAAAAAAAAAAAAAAAAAAAAAAAAAAATCATTATTTCAATTGGAAATCGCCCTGAAATTTCTGTCATTTCCAACTGGAATTTCCGATATATAGAAATTTCCAAGTTGAAAAAAATAAACTTTATTCCTCAAGTAAAAATGATATTTTAAATCACTATCTGTTAAAATATAAATTTTTATTACAATTTATTGATATGTCACGTATAATGAAAATATTTATAAAGCTCTTTTATGAAAAAAATAATCTTACGAAAATTGAAAAAATATTTTTAGTAAGTAATAAATAACCAATAAGGAAAATAATTATTACAAACATTGAGTTCTTTCATAATTTTAAATAAATTTCACAAAGTTGAAAATTATTTTTGTTTCATTTCCGTTCTTTAGTGTATGTCGTACAGTTTATGAAATCGTTGATTAATTAAAATTCTTTTATAAGATTTTTTTTCGTTCATTAAATGTGAATTATAAATAACATTTTTTTATTTATATACTTATTAACAAAATCAATTGTAAAGTTAAATATGCAAAATTGTTTGAAAACTTTTATCTTGAGTTTAGAATTTAAAAAAAATCGTAAATTCATAATAAGTCGTAATAAAGTCTATCGATAGAGCGTATCAAATAATAAATCTTAGAATTACTTCCGATCAAGAAAAGGTTGCTACCAACAAGGTAACAAATGTACAAAGTTTACAATTATTTTTGTAAGGTTATTGTGAATACATTGAATCAATTAATTCTACTACTATGATTATAAATCATGATATGATATATAATTAATGTATTATATATTATAACATTTGTAAAAATATATTTAAAGACATATGCTTTCAAAAGTAAGAAATATTATAAAAAAGTTTTAAACATATGAGAAAATTTTACAAAAAATACATTTTTTTTTTTTTTTTGATAAATAGTAAAACACGTGTAAAGATAAAATTTTAGTAGAAAATAAAATAGATATTTATTATTTTTATTTAAACAAAAAAATCAATATAATTTTATACTGTTTGTAGTGAAATGAAAATATTTATCTTATATTTCAGAATATTATTTTTGAAACATTTTTTTTAAGTAAAAAAACATCACTTTCAATTTTTTTTATTTAATAAATTAAATAAATTTAATAATTTAAAATTTATAAAATTAAACACTAAATTATTTTAATAAAATAAGAACACATTGGATAAACATAAGCGTAATTAATTTGTATTCAATTTGTAAATTATTAACTTCTGAAACACTATTGCGACGAAACAAGTTAATGTGCAATTTTAAATGATGTCATTAAAGTAATGAATAAATGCTGCAGTAAAAAGAAATAATTATTCAAAGAGTTAATATAAAAGGTAGAGTAAAATAATAAAATGTTTATTAGTTATTATTTAATCACTTTTAACTTTATGAATAATTTTAATGTATAGCAAAAAAAAAAAAAAAATAATAATAATAATAATTTAATGTCACTTTTAAAAAATGTGAAAAAAATCGAATTATTATACGCTGTAATAGCAAACTTAATTATATGAAAAAAATCATCATTTAATTAAAATAAATAGACAGTTTAATTATTTAAAATGAGCAATTTACATATAAATAGTATTAAACTATAAAAATCTTTTATTTTCTTAAATGTATTGAATATCCTTATAATTTAAGATATGTAACATATTTGAATTTTGATATGAATTTAATTGAATATTGATTAAATTTATCATTTTAAAAAGTTCATGTCTGTACGTTTCAGGGCATTCAACTTCATTTAAACAATTGACATGAAAAACATTAAAATGCATTATAAATACTTTACAACTGTTATAATTATATTAACAATCTGAGGTAAATGCAAATTATACTTTTCTTATCTCTATACAAGAAAATTTTATCATCTCACAGTCTTGTCAAGTAAGATTATTTCTGATACTACTCACGTATATATATATTTTTTTTTATTAAATACACGTTTCACAATTCTTGAAAATTAGTGTTTAACCAGTTTAATAAAAAAATATTATAATATATAAAATATATATTTAAATAAAATGGTAGAAAAGTAAATACTTTATTTAATAAGGAATTTAAGTATTAAAATAATAAGTAAAAAAAAGTAGAAGCAATCATAAATTTAATTTATGCGAAGCGTTTTTTTTTAGTGAAAGATAAAAAATGAAAGACTATCAAATTTTGTGTTCACACTTCCGACCTACTAAATTCAGAAGTTCGACTTATCAAAAATAAACATTAATAGTAATGGACAGCTTTTATCGTGTGTCATCATATATATATAAATATATATATATAAAAAATGTGTTTATTTATGTGACACTAAAACATAGCTTTATAATACATTTAATTTAGAAATATCAATACAAAAAAATTTAATAAAAATAATTTCATATTTCTTAAAAATTAAAACATTAAAAAAGTGAAATAATCAAATTTTATAATATATTTAAAACATCCATTCAACGTCCCATGTTTCAATATAATATACGTATTAGAATGCATCATATATTTCAAAAATATTATAAATTATTTCACTTTTATCAGACATTACTTGCATTAAATTATGAAAATTTTTCAAATGTGAACAGTGATCTTGTAAAATAATTTTATTTTTGTCACTAAAAATTCATATTTCCATGAATAAACTTTCAAAATAGCAAGTTTACATATGGCACATTTCAAATGCAAATACTAAGATATTAAAATTTACATTCTCGTTTGATTGAATAAAAATTTCACAGATCGTTGATTGTAGTTGTCAACGAAAAATTATTTCAACAGTGCTTATATATCCATTAAAAAAAAATCCTTTTCAAAAAACAAAACTGTTAATTGTTTGTCAATATTGAAAAACTACAAAATTCAAATAAAAAGGGGTATTTATGTGCAAACTAATTTATTAGAATTATTAAATGAAAAAAATTTATAAAATTTTAATAAGAAAATTAAGTTTATATATATATATATATATATACGTCAAGTATATCAACAAACAGTCGCTAAAAAATATTTTCTTAAAATTGGGAATTTTTTATAACAATATTTTTACAAGTGTTTTTATATTAAAGTCTCATTCTTATTTATATAGAATATTAATATCTGGATTTATTAAAAGCTTATAATACCTGAATAATACAACAAAATAAATTAAATACTAAAAATTATTTCTAAAAACAAAAAATACTCATCAAATTTTTAAAAATTCCAAACATAAATATTGATGCACGAAACTATTCTGCTACAAAGTGATATATGCATTTTACGATTGTTGACATTGTTATTTGAACAATAACAAGACAAAAAAAAAACACTTTCTTTCTAAAAATAAATTAAATTTCATTAAATTAAATGTCTAAAATTATTAACAATTTATAAATAATTAAATCAACTAGATAAAGTATTATTGATAATGGATATTACTTTAATAATGAAAAAAAAACAAAATTAATTGAAAATAGACAGTAAAACTCTTGTTTATCCTCCATCTCCATATGACAACAACGGGAATCTCACAAATCGGATCTCCAATAAATGTGCTAATTGAAAGTAGCTCGCAAAACCCATATAAAAATTACGTGCAAACATGCATAAGACGGTTAAATACTACTGAAAATAATTAATGCAAACAAGTTTTTACCCTTTTCCAATGTCAAACATGCGATAAAGTACAGCGTGACTGGTAGCAGTTGTTTTGTCACGCGGATAGCGATATTATTAAAAACAATTAAAATGATTACGCTTTATCGTTAAGACAAATCACATTTTGCACGCAAATGTTATTGTTGATTGACATTTTAATTCGAAAAACCATAAAGATCGACGATTTTGTTTGATTATTCTAAAGAGATGTGCTTATGACATATTTTCTAGAATAAATGGTGTAACGGGTCAGCGCACAGTACAATTTTCCAATAAAATCAAATATTCATTTAAGTGCAATAATAAATACAAGTGTTTCCTGTTAAAAGCTGGTCATTGTGCTTGGTGAAATTAGAAAATAAAACTAAACTTGTACCAGCTTACCTGCGTATTATAATTACTCCAAAACATGAACGCCATATTCACAGACAATTACCACTGCCATATTGCATATTAAATTTTTGACGACACGAGTACACAGAACATGGATTCGAACTGTTTGAAAAGAAATGTCACTGCCATTTTCCGCTCTGGTTTTTTTTTCTTTTTTACACAACAAAACTATAAAGTTGTCCACGCGGCATGAAATCACATAATGTTGAAAATTATTGTTCACCAATCAAACAATGATTTTATAAGAAATGCGAATATAAACAACCAATCAAATAACTGGATGTTATCATCACAGCCAATCCGGTCGTCGATATATTGTTCTTTTTTCTCTTAAAACTGTCACATGATCAATATATAAAGGACAAACTTTATTTTAATGAAAAGTATAAAACTAACCTCAAAAAGTCACTTAAAACTGTAAAAAGAGTGTTAAGTAAAAAATATAGTTTCGTAATTAAATAATTAGATTCATATTTGATATTTGTTAATATTTCTTTTCGAGAAATGTTTATGACAAGCACCTTTTGTTTGGGATATGACGAATGAAACGACATTAAAAGTGGCTACATTAAAAACATTTAAAATGTAAACATAAATAAATTTAATAAACATTGTTCTTTGAGAGTGCAAATACTGTTTTTAGTTAAAAACATTTAAAAAACAAGTGTGAAAATAGTGTTTTAAAAGACTATTTAGATAAATTTAAGCTGAGAAATATGTTTGAAAATTTGTTTAATATATATAACTTGTTTTGCAGATTTTTGATGTTTTGAATATTTTAAGCATATTCTCGATCATTAAATTTCTTCGAAAGGGTCTAATTACTCAATGTTGACATATTTCAGGACGGTATATTAAAATTAGTTTAAAAACAATGATGGATTCATCTAATGTTAATACTGGAAGCCTTACACATAGTACTGATGGATTTTTGAACATTCCCCTTGAATCTGATGCTTTGGGCACAAAACGCAGAAGGTAAATATTTGAATATAGATAAACTGTATAAAAAAAAACATTAATTACACACTTCTCTTATATTTATCATATATCTATAGTTCATCACGTACGATAAAACGAAGAAAGTTTGATGACGAATTAGTTGAAACAACTTTCAATCTCCAGCCACCAACGCCAAATACAAAATCAGCGTCAAGATCACGAACAGTATCAGTTTCTACAGGACCATTGGATATTGCTCCACCTCCAATTTTACCTAGTCCTGCAACAGTTACTACCCCAGTACCTCAACCAGAGCGTATTAATCGAAGGCCAAGTAGACCCAGTGGCTCGTCTTCGTCTAGTGGAAGAAAAAGTAAAAAGAATAAAAATCATTCCCATTCAGCTAACGCTACCAAAGACCTCGGCAGATGGAAACCTACCGATGATTTAGCTCTAATTACTGGAGTACAACAAACAAATGATTTAAGAATGGTAAAAATTAATTTTATATCAATAATAATATTATGAATAATAAAGTGTATTAAAATATTATCACTTTTTTTTTAAGGTTCACAGAGGAACAAAATTTTCATGTCGTTTCACTCTTCAAGAAATTCAACAAAGATGGTACGCATTATTATACGACAGTGCAGTTTCACGAATTGCTGTTCAAGCAATGAGAAATTTACATTCTGAATTAATTTCAAGTGTACAAGCAAGAACATTGTACAGTAAAAATGAAGAAGATCTTTTGGGTACAATTAAATCCGTAAGTAATTAAAAAAAAAAAAAAAAGATCCATTGAAGAACTAAATTTATAACTTTAATTTCGAGATAAAATATTAATTTTTGTTTACAGACAACACAGCCAAGTTTAGAAACTTTTCAAGGGCTTCTTGAAACAAATGCTCAAATTTTTTATCCCGCGAGAACAGCAAAAGCGCTACTTGCTCATTGGCAATTAATGAAACAATATCATTTATTGCCTGATCAAACGGTTCATAATATACCGCGAGGTGAACATATTTTAAGTTTCTCCGATGCAGAAGACATGATTGTTGATAATGAATTGACGGATCAAAAAGATGAGATGGTCGATAATGAAATGACAATAGCTGATAGAAAAAATAAAAAAGAAATTAGAATGCTGGAAAATGAGCTTGGAAGATGGCAAGTTCTTGTTGATAATGTGAGTGGTGTCAATCCACCAGATTTTGATAATCAAACTCTTGCTATTCTTCGTGGACGATTAGTTCGATATCTCATGAGATCTCGGGAAGTAAGTGTTATATAGTATAACTATAGTCTTTGTATGATAAAGCAGTTTTTTTGTCCTCAAAATCACAAATTAAGAATTTAGTTTTGGATAGTTTTCAAATTTTACTTCTGTGCTTAATTTTTTCTTTGTAGATAACAGTAGGAAGATCAACAAAAGATCACAACGTTGATGTGGATTTAACATTGGAAGGTCCAGCTTGGAAAATTTCACGTCGTCAAGGAACAATTCGTTTGAGAAATAATGGTGATTTCTTCATATCTTCAGAAGGAAAACGACCAATTTTCGTAGACAGTAGACCGATTCTCGCAGGCAACAAGATGAAATTAAATCACAATAGTGTTGTCGAGGTAAAATATTTCTTCTTCATTTTTATATTTAAAAAAAAAACAACTATATTCCACTTGTTTTACAATGTCAGAAATTCATTATTGATGTGTTTTTTATTATAGATTGCGGGTCTACGATTTATATTTTTAATCAACCAGGAGTTAATTTCTGTCATACGACAAGAAGCTGTGAAATTGAACTTGAATCCATAAATATTAGTCAGTTGCAAAAATGAACAAAACGCTTAATTAATGTACAAAACATTCAAAACTCATAATATTTTTTTTTTTTTTTTAATTTTTCTCAAAGAACTAAATGTTTGAAAAAAATTTTCTTTTTTGTTACAATTATTTATAAACTATTATTGTATCTGTAATTTGAATCTTGTAAGTTTTTTTTTTTTTTATTAGAAAAGGGAGAAGGAAAAAATACAAGAGTAATTTTTCAATAATAATACGAGTCTTTTTATTTACATCAAATGGAGATTAATATAAATAGACGTACATGATTATTATTATTATTATTATTATTAAATTTTGCCAACTCGAATCACAAACGATAAAATTTACATAATTTATAGTAATTATACGCTTATATGATACAAAAAAAATAAAATATTTTTTTAGGCGCGTATATTGACAGTAAGTAATAAGGGTTACGCAATAGATAAACGTTTCAAGTCTCACACATTTAAATTGACTATATTCTTAAAAATTAACTTTCATGATTCAGGAACAAATTACAAATGTAACATGTACATATATACAGAGTATTTTTATTTCAATAGTAATTGATGTCAGTAAAAACAATTTTTTTCTACACGATTCTTGAAAAATTTTGGCCCCTTTGAAATATTTATACCTAACGTATATATATATATATTTTTTTTTTTATAAAAAATTCGAGGTATCTGTTGCCTTAAAAAAAAATTGAATTATTTTCGTTACGAGTAAATAACATTTTCTAAACGTTAATTATATATATTTTTTGTTTACCCACTTTTTTCTATACGTAATAAATATGTAATTATATGCACATAAGTAATTTACAATATTCTATTTACAGTTGACAAGAAACACAAATTACTAAAATCAAATTTAACTTAATTCAAATCCAGCTCCAGCTTGGATAGCGTATAAAAGTTTTTCCCGTAATAATTTTTCATCAGGAAATTCCGGTAATTTTAATAAATTCATGCACGTGCTGGACGTTGGCAAACGGTCAATACTGCCTGCATGTTGTATGCAAAATGGAGGATCCAATTCCTGCAAAAAAATGTGTTAGTTGATAAATTATTAAACTAGTTGAAAATAAGGTGAACATATGCCTGACCTTTGATGTCTGTTTAAAGTTAAATTAAAAAAAAAAGAAAAAAAAACTCATTCGATTTTAATTATTTAAATCACAGCAGAATTAAAATTCATAAGTTTTATATTCATTAATTTCAATGAATATTAAAGTTGCTTTCTAAATTCATATTCTAATTAACATAATTACCTTAAATCCAAGAAGTGGTGGTCGACTGCAACTAGTGACAAACTTAAGTAGTTGACTTTTTTGTTGATCATTAAATTCATCGACAACTTTCCAGAATGCAGCAATTGTTGGATGATCAGGAGTATAGCCGCCAGTATAATTAGTGTGCAATTTTAAATCACTGACATCAACAGGAATTTGCGCTCCCGAAATTAGTACCTGCAATTCTTTATTATTAAACATCTGCAACCAATCAAGTGGAACGACATTTCCAATGCCCTGTTTAAATGCATAACATTGAGCTCTAATTTGTTTATTTAATTTATAATCCGCCATTAGATGAATATATTCAATTCTATTATGATTTGTCACTGGAATATTAACACCACCGGGTTTTAATTCATCAACTCTCCTCTCACCCAATTCATCTGATAACACTGTAAAATCAAGACCCAAATCAGTCACATCGCCTTTATAACTTTTCAAATAAAGCAAATTTCTGTACATTATCGGATCCAATGATGCCAAATGATGAACATCAACATCCGATTGTGTACCAACAATTTTCGATAGAAAAAATTCGGCAAACGGTAATTCCACCAATAAATTTTCATACAATGCTTTCCCAAGAATTCGTCCAATGAAATAATAATGTTTTGGAAAATCTTCAACGAGTAAATGTACAGTTGGATTTGGATAAAGCATATTGTCTTTTGTCAAACGAAAGAAACCTCGATTTGGATCGAAACTTGTCTTGAGAAGTTCAGAGAGAAATTCACGAAATAGTCCACCACCATCGACACCAGCTTCCTCTAAACCGGCAGTATTTACTAATTGAACACGCATCTTCAATCTCATTTCAGGTTCATTTTCAGGCGAAAGTTTATCAAATGCATCTTCGTATAAATAATTTCTTCGCACTGATATTTGAATTGATGGTCCTTGCATAAAATGCGTCAATTCACCTTGTTGATCTAATTTATCACGATAGATGAGCGACTGGAAAACAACAACCCGTTCGCTAAATGGCACGACAAAGGGAATTTCACGCAATAAAGTCAATGTGCGAACCTCCTTTGTCGACATTGGTGGTCCTTCTTCAATTTCCTCGCGTGTAAACGCTCTCAATCCTTGAAATGGAATATAACTACGAAGCCTTCGACGTCGAATTGTAAAATCTTGTGGCTTATCAGTTGGAATGACAATATTCGATGCTATCCAATGACTATCGGGACAAAATTGTCTTCGTAAATCACGTGTATGCAATTGACGAAGTAATCCTACGGTGACTTTAAATAAATGTGTCCACATATGAGTGTTTTGCTCGCATTGAATAGATGACGAGAGTCCCAATACGACATTTTTATAATCATCCCGAACAGAAGGACGTGTATCAGGAAAGGCGAGTTCCACTAATCCCAAACAAATGCCCTTTAAATGATTCGATAATGGAACTAGGGTTGCGGTTGTGAATGGCATTGCCTGTTGTCCATAATTATTTAATGTTGTTGTTTCTGAGCCATCGTGAAAGAATTCCGTGTCGTGTAAGGTCGCAATTAATAAACTAAACAATGAACAAAAAACGGCCAATAGAGGAACAATTTTCTTTGCATCATCCGGAGAAAGTTGAATACCACGTGAAATAATATGAAGCAAAGGTGTCGATCCACCAAATAATGATGTTTGATTAATTGTTAATAGGGTATTCCAAAGATCTCTCAAAAATGCTGGCTTAAATGCCAACATATAGAGTAATTTATATTTGTGAATAGCAAATTTGTGAGTGATGAGTAAATTATGACAAAGTTGACACAATGGTTGCATCACATTTGGATCGTTACAATTTTCCACTGCTGCTAAAATTGCCTGAACTCGATGCTCCTCATTTAAAATATTCACACAATTTTGTTGAAGTTCAGTTTCACTTTTATCTTGAAACCGAACCGTTTCCGAATCACTATCCGAGTCATCTGTTTCTAAAGTTTGACGGGTAGGCGGTGGATTAATTGTTGTGCTCATTGACGCTAAAACTTGTAGATAAACAATCAAAACATCATTTGATTTTCCCGGTGCTAAAAAGAATTTAAAAAAAAAAAATTATTTTCTACAATTCATAAAAGTAATTTAATTAATTAATTAGCAATTTACTTACAGAATCCAGGTGTTTCCAAACTGAGAATAGAGTAGAGTAAATTTAATGAAGGTGGAATATTAAGAAATTGGATGCAAGTAATCAGTTTCTCAAAGGGAAATTCTTTAGAATTCATTAGCGCAGGAAATATAAATCCAGTTACCGATTCCGTAAGTTTTTGCGAAAGTATACTCGTGCAAAGTTCCCTCAAGGTGAGAAATGCAAAATCATTTAGATGATTCATATAATAAATTATACTTAAAGGTCGTTGAATCATATCAAAAATCCATTTTGACATTGGAGTCGGAGGAACAGGGGATGGATCATCAATTGGCGGTATTTTTGTGTCAATCAATTGTTTCATTTGTTCGTAATAATTATTTTTCAATAGATATGCAAATATATCCTTTAGTTGTTGATGATGAGTATTTTCAAAATTTTCAATAAGTGTAAATGTTTCTAAAACACGTAATGGAATCGCTATTGCTTGTCCTTTATCAGGAGATATACTGTCTACGACAAATTTTAAGCACAGCCTCAGGACCCATCTAAAAATATTTATAATACGTTAATTTACAAATTATTATTATTATTATTTTCATTATATTAATAAATTATCTATCATTTTACCTGACTCTCCATAGCCATTCATTAGATGAATTAATTTTCAATTTAATTTCTTTCTGAAGTTTAAGAAATTGTTGTAACAGCCAAATAAATCTATTAGAATCTTCAATTGGTTGATAAAAAAATAGAATTTTTCGAATATAAATAACTAATTCCTCTACATTCAATGTTTTATTTCCCAATGACTGTTGCATTTTGTCAAATTCATATCGTTGGCATTTTTTCATTAAAGTTCTTTTAACAAAACTACGAATGTAGGCTTGTATTTTAACAACAGCATTATGCTTTCTTCGTTGTTGTTCTCTTTTCAAACGTTCCAATTGAGCATGCTGTAAAAGAGCAGCTTTTTCATCTCTACGACTTGCTCCGGCTAAGTTTTGTTGTGGCTTACGCCTATAATCACCCTCGAAGCTATACATATTTCATTTGTTTATTGAAAAATATCAAAGCATAAGATATTTCTTCAAATTTAACACTTTAATACATTGTATTTTTAATGTTTGACATTTTCTTTAGACTTTGTAGTTCTCATAAAAACAAAAATATAGCTTATTTTCTTGTATGCAAATAATTGAGGTTATGTATAATCTCTTTTTCACCGAGATATATTCGCGCTTTACTTACACGTATAAGTGAATTAAATTGAATTCAAACCATGTAACACAATATTAAAACTTTGAATATCAAATTGTACTTTTTAGTGACATACAATACTACACATATAAATGATTACACGTCACTTTGAAAATGATGACATTACAAATCAGGGAAGTCTCAAAGTGATGCACATATATAAGATGATTAGTTAATATATATACAATTTAAACTATTTTTCGTCTAATATTTAACAATAAAAGATAAATTTTTTATAAGAAAGATCGTCTCGAGATCACTTAAATGTATATAGTCTTCCAATTTTACGCACTCTTTTATTTTTTTTTAAAAAAAGGTCCTTTTTATTGTCCTTCATCAACTTCTCTACTAAAAAATTTTGATATTGTTATTTTAATTCTAAATCTTTTTTAGCGAAAAGTTGTACTGCAAAACTTTCACAGGTAATTCACAAAAAATCAATTATATATGATAACTTTGCATTAATATTTACTATTTTTCTAATTCCTTTAAATATTAAATGCCAAACACGCACGTGAAAATATGACACATAAATTAAATTTATATATATATATATATATATATATATATGAATGTGTCATCTCACAGATGCAGTTTGTTACACATATACATGCATGTCATCATAAGTTAGCGGGTTTATTTGAAATCAATGACATATATAACGAAATTATAAATAATTTTATCTAAATATGATATAAATTTCCTTAAAATATTGTTAATAATTAATTTCATAAAAAATTATGATTTACTAATAATACTGCGTTTAAATAATAATTATTGAAAATCCTAACTACTTTTGTTTCTGCGCATGAGCATTTCATTTTTGTCCACAAAATAACCCTTTCTTTAATTGTTGTCACATAAATAAAACGACTTTTTTTTGTTATAAATTAATAACAAATAAGGTATTTAGTACATTTTATATTAATTTTCTAAAAAAAATTTTTTAGTTAATAAATAATGAAGAATACAAAAAGCATTAAAAAGATTAATTTTTAGGTTAGATTTATTCAAACTGTCAAAATAAACAACAAATATTTTCAATGTTGATTAATGATGTTAAATATATATAAATAAATAAAAAATATCATTGTTGAATTTGTCGTCTGTAAAAATTGTCAAAATATAAATTTATCATTTAATCAAATATACGCAATGTACTCATTGTAATTATGACGATGATGACGATTTAAGAAATGTTTCTTATCAGATTTTTGTACAGTCGAAAGGTCACTAATTTAATTAAAAAAGAATACTTAAATTCTTCTTTTATAAAAAAGAATACATATTCGTAAGTAAAAAAAGTATTTTATTGATCATTAATGTGCTAGTTTGAATGATTAAATATTGTTTTTAATCGTTTTTGTTTTTCTCTTCACGAGTTTTATATTATTTTTAAGCTCTTGTTTTTTCCTGTGTAAAATGAATTATTATTTTATGGATTTTATGATAAGAAAGTTATGAGGAAAAAAAAATAATTCAAGAAAAATATTTATTATAATTTTATTTATTATGTTTGCTAAATAAAATTGTTTTTGATCATCAGTTATTGAATAGGACCTGTATAGAATAAATATCTGTTTTTCACTATATAAAGATAATTATTTAAATTATCTATGTTTTGTATTGGTAAATAAATAGACGGTTTTAATAACTGAGTAAATTATTGATATTGATATTCTGTTCTGCAACGGAAAAATATACGTAAATAACTATCGTATTTACATGTCACGTATATTTTTCCGTTACAGGGCAGTATTGATTCGCATCTTCACGCGCCGGTTTTATTGGTTGATATAAGACTACAATTTGTCAAGCTTGTACTTCACTGTACCTAAAAACTTGTTTGAATACAGTTTAATAATCAAATTTACGATAAAAGTTCTAAATTTTTAATTACTTTGCATGTAAATTAATTTTAACGATGTATAATTTTATAGTTTCATCAATTCTTGTTTTGTTTATATTTGTTTCCAGGACTTTTAGCAGTTCAAAAATGGCTTTAAGTCCCACTGATCCGAATTCTTTTTCTAGACCTGGTAAGTATTGGAAAATAAAACTATAAATAATCATGTAATTATTATATTAATTGATATTAATAATAGAAGTTTAAAAATATATTATTTCTAATATAGATCTTGTTGGAGTTACTCATCATCATTTGAAGTTAACTGTGAATTTCGAGAAGAACACTTTAAAAGGTCATGTAATTTTGGACGCAGAAAGGAAAAATAAGACTGCAGATTCTTTGGTCAATATCTTTTATTTATTATTATCACTATTATTTACATGTATTCTTTTGATTGGTATCTTATTTATATGGATATTTATGAATATTTTTAAAACAGATTTTGGATGTTCGAAACATTACATTGTTAAGTATAACAAATGAAAAGGACAATTCTAAACTCGATTACAGCGTTGGAGAAACAGTTTCATTTGGATCTAAACTAAATATTAAACTACCTACTGAATCTGAATGTGAAGATGGCAAAACAAGGTAAACACATTTTCTTTTTAAAGTGAAATGTAATATTTTCTCTTTCATTTTAATTGAAATAAATTTTAAATGTAACATTAAAATTTTTTAATTTTGTCATTTTAAGAAAATCATTTATTTTTAATCTTAATTGAGTTTGAGATGATATGATATTTGACTACAGGTATAAAATTAAAATTGAATATGAAACATCATCCAAGGCAACAGCATTGCAGTGGCTGGACCCTAAACAAACTTCCGGAAAAAAATATCCTTATCTATTTTCACAATGTCAGGTATGTTAATAATAAGCTAAAATTTCTAGTCTAGATTTGATATTAAAAAGTTTCTTTTTATTAGGCAATTCATGCACGATCAATGATACCTTGTCAAGATACTCCATCAATAAAATCCACTTACAGTGCTGAGGTAATTTAAAAATGACTTTATTTTATAATTACTATTTAATTTTTTCTTTTTCATTAATTATGTAATTACAATAAACATTCTTAATTACTATTTTGTGTATTTATATGAATTTTTTTTCTCGAAAGATTACAACACCAAATTGGGCAACAACGTTAATGTCAGCTTTACATGATGGAGTTGAAAATGTTGGAAACGACATGAAACTCAGCAAATTTCATCAACCAGTTCCTATCCCTTCGTATCTGATTGCAATTGCAGTTGGTGATTTGGTTTCAAAAAAAGTTGGACCTAGATCTTCGGTTTGGTCAGAAAGGGAATTAATCGAGCAAAGCGCATTTGAATTTTCCGAGACTGACACAATGCTACGTACTGCCGAAGAAATTTGTGGTCCATACGTTTGGGGTAAAAAAAAATTGATTTAAAATATCATTAATTATAATTTCAATTAAATAAAATTGAATTTTTCAATGTTTAAAAAATTAATGAACAATTCAAATATTTATAATATTATAATGGAAATTTGAATTATTTTTGTTTCTCAAATACTTCAGCTTTATGAAATTTTAATTAAAAGAAGAACATTTTTATTTGATGATAAAATTGTAGGTGTCTATGATCTTTTGGTTCTTCCTCCGAGTTTTGCTTTTGGCGGAATGGAAAATCCTTGTATAACTTTTGTAACGCCTACATTACTTGCGGGAGATCGTTCTTTGGCCAGTGTTATTGCTCACGAAATTTCACACAGCTGGACTGGAAATTTGGTGACAAATGCCAATTTTGAACATTTTTGGTTAAATGAGGGCTTCACTATGTTTATTGAATATAAAATAGATGGACGAATGTTTGGCGAAAAGCAAAGACAATTTAATGCCTTAATGGGTCTTTCCGAACTCAGGGATGCAGTAAGTCATTAAAATAATTAAATTAATCGTCATTTTATAAAATGAATTGATCATTAATATTCATATTTTTTAGATTAAAAGTCTAAGTAAAACTCCCGAATTGACTAAATTAGTGATCAATCTCGATGGAATTGATCCTGATGATGCATTTTCAACAGTGCCTTACATGAAGGGTCATACATTCCTCTATTATTTAGAAGAACTTCTTGGCGGTCCTCAAGATTTTGAAGCATTTTTAAGAGATTACTTTAAAACTTTCAAATACAGGAGTATCGTAACGTCAGACTGGAAAAATTATTTATATAAATACTTTTCTAATAAGACTCAGGTTAATTAAAATTTTAATTAATTATTAAAAAGAAAATAAATTGTATAATTTTGTTAAATAATAATTTATTTTTCATAGATTTTGGATTCAGTGGATTGGGATTCTTGGCTTAACAAGCCAGGCATGCCACCTGTAATTCCGAATTATAATAAAGACTTGTTGAATGCTTGTATTGAACTTGCTGAAAAATGGATTAATTGGGATGAAAAGACAGCAGTACCTTTTGAAAAATCAGATGTTAACAATCTAAGTGCTTCACAGAGAGAACAATTTATAACAGTTTTGTTTGAAAATAATGCAACTCTCTCAATCAAGAAATTGGAAAAAATGCAAGAGATTTACGACTTTGATTCTGTACAAAACTGTGATATTAAGTAAGCATATACAATATTTTTAAATTCAAAATAAATTTATTTTTCTACTTACTATTATCATTATGAATATTTCAGATTCATTTGGATTCGATTAGCATTAAAATCTCGATGGGAGCCTAAAGTTACGGAAGCTCTTGATTTTGTGTCAAAATATGGTCGTATGAAATATCTTCGACCAATTTATCGTGATCTTTATGAATGGAAGGAAATGCGGCAAAGAGCAATAGACAATTATTTGAAAACAAAAGATCAAATGATGTTTGTTACTGCTGAAATGGTGAAAAAGGACTTGCACCTGGATTAATATTGAAAATTGTTTTTAAAATATTTTTAAAAAATTATTACGTTCTACGTTTTAATAAAATTTCGTACAATTTTAATAAACTAATTTTTTCAGAAGCATTGTATTCTCTTTTAAATAACTACTCTATCATTGAATAAAATTGTAGTTTAAATACATTTTTTTTTTTTTTTTAATATTTTGATAATGAATTTTATGAATTTCTAGGAAAATTAATTGAATTTTTAAATTTTCCATATTAAAATTATTTATATAATCAAACAATCTATTTTTACAATTAAATTTGAAAAAATTCTATTTGTTTATCACCGACGAACATATTCCTCAGGATATTTAAGAAGTTGAGGAAATTCTGCACGTACGTCCTCTGGTATATGATCTAACCTAACTGGTATTGTTGAGATTTGTTGAATTTGGTTGCTAATATTCCTTTTAATCTCCTTTGGAACCTCACTGTCTGGGAAAATATGCAGGCGTTGCATTGCATATCTTCGATTTAAATTTTTATCCATGGCTGAATAAAGTGCTTTCCTCACGATCTTCAAAAAGAAGAAAATTATTTAAATAATCAATTTTTAATAAAAATTTTTTCGATATATTAAAAATAATACCATAGTTGGATCTTTGCTGTGTAATTCCCAAGCGAGTGTATAAGTTGCTCCCTTAGCATAACCTGTGTGATGAAAATACATTCGTTTTTGCCAATCATCTCCTCTTAAAGCAATATCTTTACTGTTTATTACTACTACGTTATCACCACAATCATCTGAAAAAATATGCAACATATAATTAAACCAAAAAAAAAACGTTATAATAAATAAAAAAAGAAGTTTCCTACTCATTGGATGATAAATTGGTTTGTATGTTCCTGATAGATATTTTTTTAACAATTCTGCAGTTAAATATGGATCTTGCCATTTTGCATCATAGACATGCCAAATACGACTAAACGTTCCCCATTGCTGAAAAAATGGTAAATTTTAATTTAAATATAAAATGATATGAAAAACAATTATACATTTCTATTTTATGTAAAAATATTCACTTGTTTAAGTTAGTATCAAACAAAAATAAACTAACTTGTTGACAATTGCAACTTTCCATCTCTTGTTAATTTAACTCTACTTCAATTAATTTATTTTAAATAGTTCTAACTTAATAATTTACAAATAGATACATAACATAACCTCAAAATTTTATTTCAAATTATAGTTAAAACTAAAGTATAATTGCATATAATATTGAAAGACACTTATATAAATTGATGCAATGTGATTCAATTAATTTTTAAAATCTTGAAAAAAAAATTAATATTTTATTAAAACTGTTTAAAAGAAGAAAAAATCACCTGTGAACGACGAAGGAGTGACATTTTTGTTTATCTCTCATGCGACTATATTCTTGATCTTGCAGCTTCAATGCGTTCAATTTGAATGTATTTTAGAAATTATATTTTCTTATTACACAAATCATGAATTTATTTTGATAATAAATAATAATATTAAGTATAACAAAAATAATTTAAAATACATAAAATTAACGAGAAAAACTTTTAATTTATAAAAATTAAAAATCTAGGTATAAGTATTTAAATTAATTTTTTTAGGGAAAAGCGACGAGGATTATTTTTAAAAACTATACAATATCTCTAGTCATAGATAATTTTATTTGCAAATTTCAGTTTTGTTTTTCACGAAATTAACAATAATATTGTTGTACGTATATCTTCCATTTATGTACAAATATTTACATTTTAAAGTAAAATATAGTATAAATTAGAATATTTTTTTGTTTATAAATATAAATCACACATTTTTAAATAAAATATTTACATGTGAATATTTTACATATTATAAAATACAATTTTCAATTAAATATTCTCTTTATTCATGACAATTAACGCAAAATCAATTGATAACAATGGAAGTTAATTTGTATAAAAAGAAAAAGATTTGTAAATATTTGCAATAAAATATTTAATTTACTGCTTTTTTTTATTTTGGAAGATACATTCTCATTAAATAGGACTTAAAAATATTATTCTGATATAAAATCAATTTAAAATATAAATTTACGTTCATACACATGTAAATTAAAACCAATCTTTATCAAAACAGAATAAAACAAAAATCAATGTTTTGAAAAGAGTATATATTTATTTACACGAGATCATGCTAGAGTTTAAAAAAAATTTGGTAAGCTGTTTTTTAACTTGGCTATACAGGAAGCGATTTTTAAAATTCATGAATATATAATTTTTTCCAGTATCATTAAAACATTTTTTTTATCCAATATACTTTTCAAAACGATTTTATCGAAATCAAACCAAAACCTCTTCCTAGGTTAATAATAATAATAATATTTTTACTTGAATCTTATAATTCATCAATATTGTATTGAAATTCAAGAATTTAATATTAATTAATAAAATTTTCACAAAATATTAAAACAAAAATATGTCAAAGCTAAGCTTTTGATAAACATTTAAGATTTAACTATATTTAATTTTAGATGTTGAGATGAAAAACATACTTTTTTTTTTGATTTTCAGCTCATTAAGAAAAAAAAAACAAACAATAATTGAAAAATAAACTTGACTTTACAACATATGGCTAACAATATAAATATTGGTAACGCAGTTTTGTAATATGAAATAAAACTAAATTTTCAGATTGAATTCTCTGGTAAAATAATCCAATCATTTGTCGCGAATGTAATTTAAAATTATATGTACCTATATAATATACAGTCACAATATAATAAAAATCTTTTATCAAACTAAGGATTATTTACAGTAAAAAAATATAAGACTTTTACAATGTAGAATTGCACAATAAAACTTTTTCCCACACTCGAAAGCATCATATCATTTTAAATCTGATAAGTAAAAAAAAATATCCTTATTTACATTATATCAATGAATGCAACCAATACAAATCAAAAAATGAGTATTCTGTTTTGTTTTGACTGACATTGATTTATATGATTTATCACATTAGCAATTTCAATGGTATCATAATGGCAAAAGATCCATAAGATTAGCACGGGGTTGCGTTAAAGCTTCTGGGAAAAATTCCGTAAGTCTATCATACAAATCCGTTCGACGTGCATGAATGCCACGCGCTACTGCATTATGATCCGGATTTGTACTCAAATAAGATTGTACAGAGGAGTCATCGGAAGTTATTGTTTCATCTTCAGGAATACATTGCTCTCGGAATAAAATAGACGCCAGTAATTGAAACTGAAAGATTTGAAAGAAAAAAACAAAAAAAAAAAAACAAAAATTAGTAGACATATTTAGAAAAAAAATAAAAACAATTTTATATTGAAAAATAGAAAAATTACTTTCAAATACAACAAATCCTTTCAAATAAACGTAATAATTATTATTATTATTATATTATTATTTTACTATAATTAAAAAAATAATAAAATTTTAATGAAAATAAATAATCTACCTCTTTGGATTGATCTTCATCATTATGATCAATGATCTCCGAGACTTTAGTTTGCAAATATTCAAGTGCTTCAATAGTATCCTTCATAGCCAGTTCTTCAAACTTATGTTTTCTTATAATTAATTTGCAGTTCCTTAAAACTTGATCATGAGAAGGTCGACAAAGTTTTAAAACCCAAAAATCATCGAGCCTCAATTTAGGAAGACAAGAATGTCTTGGATTTCCTCCAAACAAATAATGCACCTATAATGAATAATAAAACTTTGATATTATTTTAGTCACTTTTTTTTTCATTATTATTGTTAATTTGAAAATCACCTTTTTCACTTGATCATAGACCAATTGATGAGCGAATCTTGGACATGGTTCATAATCCTGCATTTTACTCCAATATTTTTCTCCATTATTTTCATTTCGATAGATGCAGGACCATTTATTTTCCTTAATATTATAAACCCAAAATGAATTTTGAACATTGTCATCTCTTTTATCTTTATCTTTGCTTAAACCCTGCAATATTAATATGCTAACTAATTTTACATTTTTGATAAATATTAAAAAAAAAAAGAAATCTAATAAACTAAATTTATTAAAATTGATATCATATAAATATTTACGGATAAGATATAAATTTCTCCTAATTCAGGATCAATTGTCGCTCGCTGAGTAAAACCCGCAGCTGGAACGTGATTAGAATCACGATTACCAAAATCACTCACAATAATTTGCTCAATTTGTGCAGTGTCTACTTCATAAGTGAAAAAATCGTTTAAATATTCTTTACTTCTTTGACCAGCAAAAATGTACAATTTTCTGGATTCCTAATTAATAATTAAATTTTATTCAAAAAACTGAATAACAATAATATTAATAATATAATTATTTTTTTTTGTATTAAGAAATTTTTTAAAGAAATTTCCCATTTATTTGAAATGTAAAAAAAACTTACAGGATGAAACAACATGGAATGTCCAACTCTGGATTTGATATTTAAAGTAGTAAGGGGACAAGGTCTTGAAATATCGGAAGCTAGTTTAGACCAAGTATCAGTTGGAACATGGTAAGAATATAATCCAGAAAAAATAGGTTCAGTCGAATTTGTAATTACTTCCTGATCATCGGAACTGAAATTTAATAATTACATCAATAATTTTAGAATCGAAAAGATGCTATTAAATTTTTTTTAAAAAAAGGTAAACAAATAACATACTTTGCTGGAGAAACAAGAACTCGACCACCAAACACATAAATAGTTCTTTTATCAACGTCCATTGACATTTGATGATCGAATATTAATTTCGGTCCACCACGTGCTCCTGTATCTTCTGATATTTGTGTCCATTCGTTTGTCTCAATATTGTAGACGTAAAAATCACTTTTTAAATTATCCGGAGAACGATATTGTGTATCCAAATATCTACCTAATGTAAAAATTTGCCGTCGCTCTGGATCTAGACACATCTTATGACAGGATCGAGCTTTTGGCCCTCCCTAAAAAAAAAAGAATTATTAATTTAATAACTATTTATAATTTTAGTAATTATAAACAGTGTATACTAACAACTTCTCCTGTGTCCTTGCAAATAAATCTCCATTTTTCAGTGGGAATATCGTACGCCCAAAGATCAGCAAGATCAGTATTTCCATCCCAACCGCCAAAAAGATAAAGAGTCTCTGCTGTTGAGTCTATTACCATTTGATGTCCACCTCTCATTCCTGGTTTTGGATCGTTTGATTCTATTTTCGTCCAAACTGCCCGATACGATTGAGCGTTAATATAATCGTTCATAACACCAGCTATATAAAAATAATTCAATTAATTATTAATTTTCATTTTATTTAGGCTAATTTTCAATTTAGAGGGACAAAAAATTCTAATTTAAAAAAAGAAGATTATTTCAATTTATATTTGAAAAACTTACTGCTCACAGCATTGGTAATATAACGCTCAGCCTGCAAATGATCTCCTTTTGTTACTAATAAATCGTACAAGACTGATAAACGTGGATCTTCTAAAGGAACACCAGTAACACGTTGAAGTGTATCAACAACTTCCTGTTGTTCGAATCGTCGAAAATGTTTCATGCACAGTCTTATTATCTCTCTCTGTCGGTACTGTAAATATAAATAAAAAATACGAAATTTAGAATACAAAAAAAAAACAAATGATTTTGTCATTTATATCTTTTCTTATTACCGAATTAACCCATTCGATGCTTGGTTTAACAATCAATGGATCATCAATGCCAGTCAGACGAACGTGCCAAATGGAGAAATTAAAACTAGGACCCCACGATTGTAATGGAAGAACTTTAATAAACCTAATAGGAAAATAAATCCTTTTACTTCCAATTTCATGTTTAAGATCAAAAGTTTCTGATGTTGAATCATTTTTCAATCCACTAGAATAAATAAATTTATTTATTAATTTAATTTACCTCCTCATTAATAATTTTAGTTCTTTTCTTTTCATTAAAGTTTACCTTTCTAAAAGTTCCATCATATTTTCTTCCTCTAAACCTCCATAAACTTTGAATTTCTTAATGTTACAAACGTGTGTTTTCTCATATTTGCCAAAAGTAATTGTTTGAACAATTGCTGGTTGTTGCAACTTAAGAATGAGGTACTGCATATACAAAATAAATTCTTTTCGTAAAATAAAAACATTCGTAAAATTAAGTAAACACAATAAAAATTATTATAACTAACCTGAGGATGGTTGTCATTGTCAGATGACCAACGAGATGTTTGATCCGATGGTTCATCAACAATGATGTTTCTGTAAAAAACATCATCATCTTCAAGTAACATCCTTAAAGAAAAAAAAAACAAACAAACAAAAATTAAAAAAAAAACAAATCCATCGAGCTTTTTTGGAAAAAAAAATAATAATTGAACAAAAAATATTGTCGAAGTATATGAAATTTAGTTTTATTACAATCTATAAGTTTAATAAAATATATCTTCAAAAAGACTGTTATAGATAAACAACATAATGTTTCCGAAGAGTTAATAAAAATGTATGATTGCATGCCAAATTTGCAATTATAATTTTGCTTTTAAAAGACAATTTTAATATTCTGTCATTTAATTCATAATCAAAGTATGATTTTCAATTTATTTAAAAAAATAAATAAAATAAAACAGAATGAAATTTAGAGGTTACGGCATAACGCAATTCAGTATTTTGCGATGTCTGTGATTTTCGACATTTTATACTTTTTGTAAGAAACTTTTATTTTATTATTTATAAATTATAAGACACTCACTCAGGCACATAAGTAGATGAATAACTGGAATATTTGAAAATTCTATATTCTAAAAGCTTTTGAAAATCACTATTTTCCGACGACGCCATATTACTTTAAATGACATAATGCAGTGGCCCGAGGAGAAAATTGAATAAATATCAATTCTAGTTCACAATTTCTTTAATAATTTATCATATTGTCCAGATATTCCAATGAAATTGACGAATCTCTAAAAATATCACCAATCATTTAATTTTTTAAGTATTTTTATAAATTTTGAAATTTGATCAATTGAATTTGTCATTTTCTCATTTTTTTGTTAGCCGATTGGTTAAAATCTAAAAGCAAGATCGTAAAATCATTTTATTTGATTGGCTGTTACAAAAACAAATTTCAACTGTTGGCAAATGGCAAATTAAGACAATTTTTTCATGTGAACGTGACTTTTTTTAAAGATACGTGTATGTGTGTACATACAAAAGTTTGTTACAAAGCCACTTACACACACAGATATAAATCTATACGATTGTATAGGGACGTAAAAGTCTGGGGGCCGTGAATGTGAAAACCTATATTTCCTGATTGTGGAAAAATTAGCAATCTGTTCATAAATTTCTTTTATATATGATTTTATTCGAACTTTGAAGTTTATCGTGTCAAAAATACAATTATGGACGAAGAATGGGGTAAGTAAATTTATTCTTTAAATTTTCGTTTTCGTCAATTAAAGATCGTGTATGAAAAACCTCGCTTCTCTTTGTGTCATTACAGATGCTGATCATTATGAGGCTAACAGAATCGACCTCGCTATTAGATCGAACAAATGGGAAGGCGAGGATGAAGAAGAAGAAGTTAAGGTAAGAATTTTTCATATTATTTGACAAATTGATGTAATAAATTTTTTTTTCATTTTGAGCCTAACCTGTTGATGCCACATGGTCGCTTTCCAAAATGTCAGAAATTTCCAGATCATTATGTGTGATCCAAATTCCAGATGTAATAGGAATTGAGAAATATTGTATTGCTTTGAAAAAATTGTAACATACTTTGACATTTGTAAAGCAGACTCTTATATGTAATAATTAATTTGATTTAGATATATGAAAAAATAAAATTCAAAATTTTTAGAAATTTATCAATAGAAACGAGTAAAATAATTTATATTCGTTAATTTTATTTCGGACAGTTTAAATGTTTTATTAAATAATTAAAGATTTTAATATTGATGAAATGTTAAATGTACAAGTTTTTGAGAATTTGAAAAGCAATAAAAATGTTGAAGTTTTTTTTTTAAAGAATTTTAAAAGATTGTAATTTAAAAATAATTTATAAACATACTTACATTTTCCTTTACGAAAGTTAATAAATTGTCATAGATCGTTTTTTCGTCTATGAATTTAATTTTACATAAAGTTGAAATATTAATAAACAGGATAGTTGGGAGGATGTCGAGGAAGAAAAGAAAGATGTAGAGAAAGCACCTGAAGTTCCAAAGGCTAAAAGTAAACCTAAGAAAACTTTAGCTGATAAAATTGAAGAACGCGAGGTTCGTATAATCTAAAATTTTACATTAAATTCAAAATTAAAAAATTTTCGAGAATTTAGATAAGAAAACAAAAAATTAAATTTAATGAATTTGTTTAGAAAAAAGCACGCGAGGAACTTGAAAAGAAAGTTAAGGAAAAGGAAGAGACCTTAACTCCCGAGGAGAAAAGAGCAGAAATGTTGAGGCGGCAAAGGTTACAGGAAGAAGCAGACTTACGATTAGCAATGGAGACTTTCGGTTTGTCAAATCTTGTAGACTTTAGTTCTCGTAAAATTCCAAAATCTGAAAAGAAGTAGCCAATCATTCACTCATTACTGTTAGTTTTCTTCTGATTAACAAGAAGCTTTTGCTTTTATTAAAGCAGATTTAATTGCAATTTTTTTTCTCTAGAGAAAAATTATTATAGTCCTCTTATTTTCTTGGAGGAAAAAGAAAGACAAACTTTTTATCACATTGTTAGTGTTCGTCATTATAGCACTTACGTAAAAATAAAAGTATAATTAATAATGAACAAATTTTTTAAGAGAATTAGACTAAAATTTTGAAACTTAATTTTGAAATTTTCGTGAAAAAAAAAGTTTCAAAATTGAAAATTTAATTTAAAATTATATTTTATTGGAAAATATTTTTATTTAATTCTTTTTTTATGTTTTATATTTAATACCAATTTTGAAATCGATAGAATAATTTTAAGACAACAGGATACGTCCATGCAATTCCTTTTTTTTTTTTTTTTTTTATTAAAAAAATAAATAATAATATAGAGATTTATATGAAATTAATCTTTGGTCGTGGAACTTGGCAACATCTTAGATATATAATTATTTATTTTGTCATTAAATAAGTAAATTTTTGCAGTATTAATATACGATTGACAATTCAGATATATTTAAAATAAGTATTTTGTATTTAAAACATTAGAAACAATGCATTTAATTAGAACAAGTAGATTTTAATCGCGAAAAGAAAAAAAAGATAATTTACACATTGCCAGGAACTGTACTAGAGATATAGAATAAGTATGCGAGTGTGTTCATTTTTATCGAATTATCACAATCAAATTCACCGATGTTATTGTATATTAATAAAAATTGCTATTTCATGCAAATTATTGTGTTCAAATTAGTTTTTGCACGAAACCTTGCATTCGTTCATAAATCTCCTGTACTGTTCCTGAATTTAATTTGCAAAAATGAAACAAAAACAATCCATTCTAAGAAGAAAACTTGTACTATTATAATTTCTTTTCGGCTAATTCATAAAAAAGAGAAAAAAAATTCAATGATTCAAATTATATTGGAAATAAAAATTTTAGATTCAATTTTGTTTTATTTCATTTTAATTTAAAAACATTATTATTATTATTATTATTGAAGTGGATTTTTTATTCGAAAATATTGTTTTGAAATATTAAATAAGTAAACATTGTATTTAAGGCGTCACGGATTCTATCAAGAGTCTGGATACCATGAATCCTGACACTAAAGAAGAATTTGAACAATTTGGCGAGGCACTTATGCTCAAAATCAATCAATTCAACAAACACACAGAGTTCCCAGCATTTTCAGAAGAATTAATAAAAAATATTGCTGTTTTAAGTAAGTAAACAAAAATTTTTTTAAATGATTCTTTAAAAAAAAAAATTATTTTTTTGTAAGTAAACATTTTCCTTCTTTTTTCTCTTAGTGTCGAGCACATCGTTGCGAAAGGTGAAAACGTTAATTGACAATTTGGCATTGGAAAAAGCGAAATTAGAAAAAGGTGATAAAGCAAAGAAAAACAAAGGAAAGGGAAAAGCGAAATTGAGAATTGAAGGTGAAAATACCATTATGAATGAATATGATGATTATAGTTATGATAATGATTATGGTGATTTTATGTAGCGACACACTATTTTTCACGTCGTCTCATCTAGTCGCCAAGAAAAAACAAATTTTGAAAATTATTCGTTCTCATACCACATTGTTGACAACATATTCTCATAGCAGAATTTGTATGTGCTTATTATTATTATTTTTTTAAAATTAGATCAATAATAAATTTAACAATTGAGAATGTTAAAAGAATCAAATGTAAAAACAATTGGTTTCTAATTTTTAAATTTACTTTTGAAGGCGATTCAGAACTTTTTACAAAAAGAAAAAAACTGTAATGATAATTTTTTTTTTTTAATGAAATTATACGAATTTAACAAATATTAAAAAAAAAATCTTCTTTACACAATGTTTGTGGAATTAAGATTTCAATTGTAACTCGAATTAAATACGAGGATAGATTCAACTTTACATCACAGTGCTTTAAAACTTACATTTGCAAAATATGCAGAAGTCATTTATTTTTTCTGCTCGTATGATGATCGATTTGTTTCTCATTATCAGGTCTTCAACGATAACAATTGTTGTGTAATAAAAATTATAAGAAAATAATTATGTACTCAATTTAACATTTTACCTACAAACATATGTATATAAATGCTCGCGTACACACACACACAAGTATGACAGGTGTGGATGTAAATTGGTTTTAAAGAGTATATTCCTAAATAAAGGTTGATTGTAAAGATAAATTTCAGTTTTTATTTCTCCACAATTTCTCTTTTTAAAATATAATTCAGTTTTGTAATTTACTTTAGATTAAAAATAAAAAAAAACTTATACCTAGTATTCAAATTATTATTTTCATAAAATTAAAAATTGAATAATACCTAAAATAAAATGATTTAAAGACAAGTATTTATGAGTTCAATAAATTTTATTTATTTTCTTTTTTTATTAATATGAATAAATATAGTAATTTGCTATTTTCTAAAATATTTTTTATTATTTTAAACTTAAAAAATAATTTTTAATTCAAATATTTGAAATTAATTTTAAGTTTTAATTTTTTTTTCAATAAATGAGATGCTAATTTTTTAACTTATAATAGGGTCCCTACAATAAGAAACTTTAGTAAAGTACTTGTTTGTTTATTTAATCTTGCAAATACATGAATGTTCTTCATGAATTAAATCTCCTAAAATGATTCATTAAATTTTCACTGCATCTGAAAAAAAATTTAAATTAAAACTTACCTTCCTTCTTATTTTAAGCTCGACGAATCATCGATGAATTTGTTGAAATAAACCAGAAGGATTTTGAAACCAAAGAAATTGACTAACTTCAACAAGCAACAAAGAAGTTCTGATAATAGTCAACATTTCTTTTATATTTGTTCATATCAAAAAAAGAAAAACCTAACAGAAACACTTGCTTTTATTATTCTTTTATTTTTTTTGCTTATCTTGCCAATGAAAATTCACAAGGCACATAATCACTAGTCACATATAAAAATATACTTTTTTTTTTTTATCACAAAGCTAGACTTTTAGAGTTTTTCTTTTTTTTAATGTCAAAGAAAATAACTTTTAAACTATCACAGACACATAATTAAAAAAATAAAAAAGAAACTTTATTGTCTCAAAAATATTTCTCTAGTTAAAAAAACAAACTATTCACAGCACCACTAATTTTGATATATATATATATATTTTTTTTTTTTTGAATCTAAATGACTTGTTAAAAATTTTAAATTCGTTGATTAAAAACTTTCTGCATAAATTTTTTTCAAGTGTTTTTTAATTTTTCAGTTTTTATTCACTGAACTTGGAAACCAGAACTTCACCCATTTCAATTTTCGTTGAACTCTCAATTCTCTTTTCAACAGCCAACAATTTTTTTTTTTCAAATTTTTCCTTTCATTAACTATTTTACATAATTACTATTTACAATCAATGAATTTTATAATAGGTATTATATTGTCATAATTATTGAAAGTATCTATTTATTATTTTTTAAATGGATTTTGAAATATTTTTATTATAGAAATTGTATTAAATCACTATTTTTTTTTTGTAAACTCCACTAGAAAATGTAAACGCTTTAAAAATTTTATTCTAAAAATAAAAAAACAATTTTTCTTTTATTTAAAAATTTGTGTATTCTTCGTATTTTTTTAACGATTTATTTAGAATTTTCTGTTAAGGAAAAATTTGAAAAATCTGAGGCTATCAATAACTGATAAAAAAAACACAGACACGGGAACAAAAACACTGTGATTGTGGAAACTTAAGAATTTGAATTCATAGGTAGACATCATCGGAGATATGAAGAAATTAAACCATTTGTCGATTTTGTCTGCATAACGGCATCTATTTTTTGTTTAAACACCAGCTACACTGAGCCACTGCACCTTTTGATCGCCACCGAGGTTGCAAAGGGAATTTTTTTTTTTTTTTCTCATTTTTCTTCCAATCTCCGGAGCGATTATCGTTATACGTTCCGGAAATCAGTTTTTCACCCCAGCATCCTCGAAGGCGAGAACACATCACTTTTTTTTTTACATCATCACTATACACATTTTCAAATAAAGACCACCAAACACTGTCCTTTAAAAAAAAAAATGTGTCCGCACTTATTAACAAACTGAGACGTCGCATTCACAAAAATAATTTTTCAAATTATATAATATTTGTTGCATATAAAGTTCATTTTTATAAAAAAAAAAATTTTCTTAACCATACCGAAATACTTTGTTCCAATTTCAATTTTTTTTCTCCATAAATTCCTTTTTCACTATCTTCACTATTTAGCTCACAAGCAAATAAGACACTTGGCACTTAATTAATAGACACGAAAGACTTAATTTCTAAATTATAAAAATTAAATATAATCGTCGTACATTTCTGTGTCTCGTTGCAAAAGCCAACTTAATGTTCATATTTTGTGACATTTTTTCTTTCTTTTTGCTCCAGAATGCCGAAGATCGCAGACCATCTAACGTGAAATTTATAAGTTGCATTATCTATTCTTAAAACATAAAAAAGTATTTTTAATCGTAGTTCATATAATATATGTATATATATATCTATATATATGAAATATTAAATCAAACTTTAAAATTACATAATGCGACTTTCAATTAATAATTAGTCGAAGATTACAATTGGAAGATTATACAGTGAAGTCGAACAATAATGAACTGTACATTTCATTTAAAATCGCATTTCCTTTATCTAACTTTTGAGACAAAAGCAATTTGTCTAATATTGTGCCCTTGATAAAATGAAATATCAAAATAATGCGAAAATCATTTGTATAGTGTAATTAATATTGCTGAAAACTTTTGCGAGACATTTCTTCTTCCTTTTACGTTTTTTCTTTTGTAATAATAATCTTAATATTAAATTTCAATAATTAGATTAAATATTAATTAAGAAAATAGAATAATGAAAAATGAAAACAAAAGTTTGTAACTTTTCTTTTTTAAGTGATAACTTTATGAAAAAAAATATTTAAAGGTCATTTGCCTGTAATGTTTAATAAATTCATTAAACAAATTTTAATTTTTTTAAAGATACATTTAAATAATTTAAATCAACATTTCTAACATTCTATGAACGACTTTATTAAATAATAATAAAAAAAAAAAAATTAAATATACCAAATTTGTGTAAATTTTACATTATTACAATTTAATATTAATTTACAATATTAAAAAAATTCTTTAAGCTTATTTTTAATTTAATATGAAATTTCACAAATTTAACAAAATAGTTGAATAAATTTAATAAACTTGATATCAAGACTTTAAATATTTTTTTTTTTTTATCAATTTTGATAAATTTAAAATGTTTTCATTATAGTATACACTATTTGATTGAAAGAAAAGTATTTTAATGTTACAATGAATAAATTAATTTCATTTAATAATAAATATAAAAACTTTTGTATAAAAAAGCAAAGTAAAAATAATTAATTATTATAAAAAAAATTAATGAGAAAAATAAAATATTTTACATGTAAAACAATCATTGAATCAATTGCAAAAAAAAATAAAAATTACACTTAAATAATGTCTGAATCTATAAAACATAGATTTCTAAATTCCTTCATGAATTTCAAGGTTACATAATTATTTTTCATTGTCTATTCTCTTATATCAATACTGTAACAGTAAACGAAGCAAATTTTCTTTTGCTCCATTTTAACTTTTTAAGGGTAAACAATTTACGTTTAGTACCAAAATCTTTGAAAAATAAACTAAAGAAAAAATGTGAATAAAGTTTTCTGTTTCAATATAATATAATAAATGATGTTTTTAATTGCCTCTAAACAAGGACTTTGGTACACTTCTAATTTGAAAATCGCATTTTACTTTAATGATAAAGTATTGTAAAAAAAAAGAAAAACAAATCTTCAGTAAATACTGAAAATATAATAGAAAGAAAGAAAGAATCTAGGCGCTACCTCCCTTCACGACCACTATTACCAAATGATCCTCTTTAAGTCCCTCCTCACTCAAACTGGGACATGTACGCTTTAGAAGTTCAGTTGAAAAAGCGCATGGTGGAAATGCGTAAAGAACACCTGTACCTTCGGTATCTTTATTTAGAAGTGATATCACACCCGCAGCCTCTTTTTGCTTTAAATAAGAAACTAAATTACGCAATGGCCTCGTTTGTACATTAGCATCGTCGTTTGTAACCGCGGAACTTGATCCCGCTAATCCTAAAAAGATGGCATGCGAACTCGATGTTTGTATTCTCTTCGAGACATCATCCAATTTTGGTTGGTCCAAGCGTAATCTCTGCGTAATTCTCAGCATGTGCTTTCCTTCCTCGTCCTTCATTAGTGAATCAATAATTTCCGTGTCACCATCAGTCAAATGGAATTTAGCCGGGAAAAGAGAGTTCTTCAAAATTAATGCTCCTTGCCAAACGGCTATTGATTTTCTCGCAACATCAGGTAATGTTCGTGACGATGACAACATTCCCGATCTTGCCAATTCTGTATCCGAGTCTGAATCAATTGGTCGTCGTCTCGGTGATCTTGATCTCGATCGATCAACACCAGGTTCACGTGAAACGGATCTTCTAATTCCACGACCATCGTATTCAGTTTCACCGCCACCAACTCCGCCACCGCCGCCGCCACCACCACCAGCACCAGCTCCACCCCCACGTCTATTGTTACTGTTCCATTCAGCATCATCGCGAACATAACCCTCTGGATAGCTGCCACGATATCCACCACGTCCGCCACCGCGTCTCTCGTGCCACGGTCCAGATCCTCTACCACCACGAAAACCACGTCCACTATATCCAAATTCACCTTCAGTTGGATAGGGATCATAAGGTGATTCATAATCAGCTGGTCGTGATCTAAATTCACCACCATCCTCCGGATACATTCTCGGTTTAAATCCATAACCTGGCGTAACATCAGCAAAATCAACTCGCAATCTTCGATCAGGCCCACCGAGGGGAAATCCACGCATCTCCTTTACAGCCGCTTGTGCCGCGTCAATAGAATCATAAAGAATATAAGCATTATTGTCACCCTTGATATAATCAATTTTTTTAATAGCACCGAATCGATCAAATTCACGTTCAAGTTGCGGCACTGATGTCCATGGACCAAGTCCACCAACCCAAATTCGTGTCGTTGGCGTTGCCTTACCATAACCAATTTTACATTGAAATTTACCAATATACTGACCAGAGAGTTCAACTTTACATCTGTGCGCCATGTCAAGTGTTTGAAATCTAACGAAAGCATATGCATTACCAGTTCCAGGTGGTGGACGTTTAATATCAATATCATCGACAATTCCATATTTATTGAAAATTCGTCGAAGTTCCTCTTCGGTGATATTTATCTCAAGATTACCAGCAAATAATGTTCTCGTTGCCAATGGATCGTCCTCAGGCGATACATGATGAAGATAATTTGGAAATTTATCCTTTTTATTTTCAACACGTTCAAAGCCATGTACGGGATGTCGTACCATCATGTGACGCGGTGGTCCATAATGATGTGGTGGTCCACCAGGATGTACATGCGGTGGACCATGATGCATTGGTGGTCGTATAAAATCATGATGAGGAGGTGGAAGTGTTTCGCGTCTCATCTCCCGATGAGGTGGAATTCCCACAGGCGGTCCATAAACGCGATCATATCTTTCAATTGGACGATGTCTATCGGTGGGAGCTGGTGATCTCGCGTAATAACGATCATAATCGGGAGGCGTTATTGAACGGGGACGACGATAAGCGTCAGGACGCTCGTATGCGGCATCAACAATTGCAAGTTTATCATAAATAATGACGCGTGGTTTTGCATATTTAGCGTCACGAGCATCCTCATGATTGCGAAAGCACACGTATGCAACACGCTCGTCCAATTCGTGGGTTATTCTAATTGAAAATTCGCCAAACTTTTTATATTCACGATAAAGTGTGTCTTTAATCATTTCGTCACTGGCTTTAGGATGAATTGAACTCACACATAGAACCTTGTAGTAATGTCTCTCTGGTGGTATTTCACGGGGTGTACGTTGATATTCCTCACGATGTGTTCCTGACTCAATGTAACGGGCATGAGATGTTGCTCGACCTGAAGGTGAGGGACTTCTTGCACCACGGCTACGACGTCTCATTCTGTCCGGTGATATTCTCTCGTCACTGGAATCATCATATCTGGAAGATAGAACATTAATTCATCAAAAAGAAATTCAATAATTTATCAACAGAAAAAAGTATACAATTCAATATTATTATGAGCAAATATTTTTCTTCATTTGCATTTATAGCTACAAAGGAAGTGACTTTGGTTTATTTATTTTTTTTTTTTTTGTTGATAAATTATTTATTTATGACATTGCGTTTTTCATTTATAAACATTCAAATACAAACAACGGAAAAGATGAAATTAATTAAAATTATTATAAATAAAATTAGAGATTTATATTACATAATATGAAGAAATTGACAATATATTTTCTTTTCTTTTAAATGGGTCAATCATTGCAGAAGCAAAATAATCTTTTTTTAAATTTATTTAATTATTGAAAATTTTTCCCACAATTTGGGAAAAACATTCGAGATTTTATTGATTTATATATAAAAAAAAATTGTGTACCAACTGACTCAATTAAAAATATCTTATTTTAATCTGATAAATAAAATATTATTATCATTGTGAATATTTATATAGCAATAATCAACCTTTATTTGTATAATGTTTATTTATAAAAAATTTCATTAGAATAGAAAATTAATTACATTTTTGTGAATAAAAGTAATTTTAATTTGTTTTTTGTTTCAATTCAATTAAAGCAGAATATAAATAAAATATTAATACAACAAAATGGAATACTAATGATAAAAAAAGAATAATTTAATAAAGTAATTACTAAGATCACACAAAGAATTTATAAACCAAAAATATCCGCTGTAAAAAATCTAATATAAAATCACAGTACGTAATGTAAAATTTTATCATTTTTAAAAATTTAATGCTAATTTTTTCTAAGTTGTTATAAGAATGTTTTATAAGAAAAAAGAAATAAATATTACAAATTTTGGGGTAAAACTATACACTAAAAAAAGATTTTGATTGATTCTGTTTCGACTTGTAAATGTACACAAATCTGTAATAGTACATCTTTAAATGTCGAGTATTTACATATTTAAAAAGGTACTATTACAGTAAATTTACAAGTCGAAACTGTAAATTAGCCAAAATCTTCTTTTTTTTAGTGTACACTACAAATGATATGTACTAATTTCCAGTATAATTTCAAGTCAGACTTTTTACAGTGGACCTAAATTAAAATTGTAATACTTTTCCTTATTTTTTTCTTTCTTTCTTTCTTTTTTTTTTTTTTTGAAGAACATCCGCTGTTGAAATTAAATCTGGAATAGGGCTATTTAATTCTTCATGCACCAAAACAACTTTAAAGTTTACGATTTAATTGAATCACCACAAAAGACTTTGGAATCTTGCACAATATTTGTAATTAGCATAATTACTCACTATATATCACATAAGCAATAAAAACACTGCATCAAACTAAGCTCACATAATCTTTTATCACGCACAATTTTGTTATCATATTTGAAATAAAATTAGAAAACAAATTTACAATTATAGAAACTTGCTATTTATGAAATCACTACAAAAAATAGTTGTAAATATTTTGCATTTAATTTGGAATTTTAATTGAGAACTGAAAATGAAAATTTTATTGCACATTAGATAATACACTTTTAGGCAATTGTTAACATGCATTCACAATTGATGAGAATTGATACACAAATAAAAAAAAAAAAAAATTTAATGCAAAAATAAGAACACTAATTCCAGGAATTTATCATCAATTTTATACACAGAACTAAAAGCAACGCCATTGCATTGTATATATGCGTTAACGTAAGATAATGAAAGCCAGTTTTGAACTTGTTACACTCAATTAATATTAGATTCATAAACGTCATATGATCATTAAACAATAGAAAATTCTGTACGTATTCCAGCATACCGTCCGATTGAAGATCTGCTCCGTTTGACGCGAGTCGGCGGTGAATCACGACTTGTACTTCTTTTCATGGTATTGCGTATTTTAACCGTGATCTTATGCCGGTCGTCCCGTGGAATCCCAATCATCAACGCTGACTATGTATATTGAGATCGAACGTCGAACAGCGGCTTAAAATAAACACACTTCTTTTAATATCAAAAAAATGAGAAACAATTATACGCCCCACAAATAAAAAACGCCCTTTTTTAGTTAGATCTTTCTTTCACCAAGAAAATGGCGCAGCTTTGCTTGACTTTGACACTTCTTCTTCCGGTTTTGTTTTTAGGCCTCATTCACATCACTTCCGGTTGTGGACGTATTCTGTTCATTGGTGCATTTGTGGACAACTTTTAAATTACCTCTATTTTTAAAATTACATATTTGCAGATAATTTTATTAAATACTAAATTTTTTATTTTAAATAAATAATTAATACGTTGAAAGTGATACAAAATTTTTTAATTTTTTTTTAGTAAATACGTCGATAGTAAAATAAATGGTATGAAAATAAACGAAATGTTATTTCATGACATATTGTAATACCGAAATTTTTGAGCTATATTAATAAAGATTAAAACTATTTTTTCATTAAAATTTTTTTTTTAAATTGTTTTTTGCTCATAACTTTAAAAAAATGTTAGGACACCTATGAATATTTTTCTTTAATTTTTTAAGTTTTTCAAGACGCATTTTTTGACCTATTAGCTAATATCTTACTGTTGTTATTTTATTCAGAGTTATTAACATTTTGAAATTGCAAAATTTTGAAAAACCTGCCTTTTTTTCATTATTTATTAAAAAATCTTTATGTAACTTCAAAATTATTATGAACAACTTGGAGAATATTTAAAAACGAATCAATTAACCTATTATTGAACCTTTTATCATAAAATATTACTGATGTTAAGAATTTATCTCTGCAAACGCCAAAAAAATACAACTTAACATCTTTCTAAAATTATTATAATACTAAATAAGTTATCATAAATTGGTCACAAAAAATCTCCATGAGGAAGCAAAGTATTCATGATATGAACACAAAAAATTCATACCTTAACTTGGCAGCGGTTTTTTAATATTAAAACATTGTTTGTAAAGAGTTGAAAATAATGTAAGTGGCTAAATCATTAACCTTGCTTTATTACCTCTTGTAGCAAAAATAGATCAAAGACAAATAAATACTTAGTATATCTTACAAAAACTAAACTAAACCTGAAAATGGAAGTTTTTCAATGTAATGTACATTATCACAACGATGAATTACTGGTATTTATGTATATATGATCGCTCATACGTTGTACGTCAATATTAATTGTATCAATCATCAATTACCCAAAGAACGTTTACACCAGACATTCCCAGATTAACACGTCCAAGCATACCATGATCTTGAGTCTTCACGATGTAAAGAAAAAGTAAAAGTGTGTGAAACAAATTATTCCTTCCCTGAAAATTCAATGTAAATTAAAACACTCTTCACGTATATTTATTTAAAATACACTAAAGAAATGAAAAATTGTATACCCTTGGAATTTCTTCGTAATCAACAGCTAATGAATCACCAGAAAGTGCTAAGCAATAATTAGGAGGAATTACAGATTGACAAACGATTATTGGTCCTTTAGTTCGAGGTAATTCCATTCCACTTTTTGCCGTATATCTTGAGGTAAATGGACGAGCGTCTGGTTGATCCAAGGGAGCTTCTAATTGTGTATCCATGTAAGTTGAAACCAGATGCATTATAATCTAAACAAAAATTTATAATTTATCCTGAATTAATTTTATTTAATTGTAAATTAGTTTTAATAAGATTTATGTAAATTAGTTTTATTAAATAAATCACACTCAGAGTAACTATGACTTAGCAAATCATAAAACAAAGTAAGTTCCAATCAAAACGATTGGAACTAAAAGTTTTGTTCTCTTGCTAGATTAATCATCATTGTGTGTAATGTGAATAAAGTCAAATTTTATTAGAAAAATTTGATCCTACTCCAATCTATGGGTATAAAAATTTGAAAAATTCTAAAATAATTTTAAAAATTACATTTTTTTTTTAATTTCTCTACTTACTGCTGTATCTGTTGGTAAACTGGAGTCCCATTCTTTTCCATTATAGGAGCCTCCACCATTCCATTTAAATTCACTCATAGATCCTCCTTTAGAAAGAACTTTAATTCTGTTCACTAAATAATCCTGATTGTTGCAGAGTTCCAGAAAAGGGACCAAAGTTGGAAGAGTTGGAATTGCAGAAGCAAGAAATGATTGTGCCAATTTTCTGAGTTTATCCAGTCCTATATGACCAGGTTGAGAATCACTAAGACCTTGACGAACAAGACCAGCGCATACGTTGTCAATTTCAATTGCAACTCTTTCCACTACCGTTTTACTGATCCACTGAAAGAAACAAAAGTACTTTTAATGATAAAAATTCAATTATTTGAAAAGAAAATTATACAATATATTAAAAGTAATTGTACCATGCGAAGATTTGCTGTCCATTGATTTACTTTTACAGCATCTATTCGATACTTTCTCCATACATCTGGTGAACCAAATGATCGTGTCATATTTCCTTCCTCTGTTCCAGGACTAGCTGATTTAGATTTATCTGCGAAATAATTAAATATGTATAATGTTAATGTAAAGAAAATCATTTTTTTTACTTTCATACTTTATTTTTAAAATAAATTCTTTCAAAAATATGGGTAGAATAAAATTAACAAATGTTTTTTTTTCCCCTTACCAACTGTGGGTGCGAGTTGATAGGCACATCTTCTTAACATGGGCGAGACTTCTCTGGGACTTCGTGTTGCTGGATGAGACCAAAATGAGCTCAATAGATTTGATGGTTGATCCACGTTTGTCGAATGAGTTGATTTTCTTTCCTTATTAACAACTACTTTCAAGTAATTTTGTAATTCTGTCTCATCTTGTATAAAATCTTCCCCCGCAAAACTTGAATTCATCGACGTATTGAGAGATTTATTGAGAGAACTATTTGCACTCAATAATTTTCTAGGTGTAGGAGAATTTCCATATTTACAAAAAGGATTCGAACTAGAATAGTCTTCTAAAAAAAAAAAAAATGGGAGTAATTTTTTTTCGAATGAAAGTTTTATAAAAATTCAGAAATAATGATAAATAATTACAAAATTTTACACATTTTTTTCGAGAATAAATTATTATAAATTTTTTTTAACTCACTACTTTCATTAAGTATCGGAGATCCTAAACTGTTGGAATTCCTGCTTAAATTCATGCAGGTTAAATTTAGAGATGAATTTGGTTCGATAGATTTTGGAGTTTTTAATGTTTCAGTTTTGAAAAATGGATCATCGTCTGCAATGCCTAATAATTTCCTTTGTGGTGAACTCAAGACAACTGTTTGAATACTCCAAGTTGTTGCCGTGTATGAGAAAATGTGATAAAGGGCATTTAAAGCGAAAATTGATGCTAAAAACCATTCTATCCAAGAAAATGGTTTATATGCTATTCCTCCATACAAACTGAAAAATATTTAATTGCTATTACTTTAATTCAATAATTTCAATTTTAAGGTAAGAAAAATTTAATCAAGTCAGAGTAACTATGACATAGCATTTCATAAATCAATTTGAGTTTAAATCAAAACGATCTCAACTCTTAATTTCACTGATTTCGGCTTGTTGTTTATCATCAGTAATATTTTTTTTTTACTAAAGAAATTAAATTCATATATTGTAAAAAATAATTACATACATATCAAATACAACAATTGCTAATAAAGTTGTGTTGATGAAAAACCATGTTATACTATTTTTCGCTTTTGTTTGAGAATGTCTAAGACTCAAAGTTTGTTCCACTTGTGGTTTTGCTGTTAAAATCCTGAAATAAAAATTATAATTTATCTAATTTTATCACTATAATCATGTACATAAAATTAAAATTAATCAAATATTTAAGCTATTATAAAATAAAAAATTAATCTAAGAATGACAAAATATTAAACAAATCTCACCTTGCATTAGGAGAAATGCATTTCATAGGAGAATGAAAGTTACTCATTTTAAAGAAAATTCTTTAAAACTTTTATAGAATATAAAAATTAAATGAAGAGTAAGACCATTTTTTTGGTAAAACACGAGAAAATTATCGTGCGGGTATGCTCTACAAAATTTGTGAGGTTACGTTTTCTCTCGACAACGTGTTGCTCATAAAATATGGATTTTCTTCACACATCCTCTATACAAGATTTAAAAAATAAATTGTAAACTTTTCACGAAATTATATTTTCACGTATACGATGTGATAATTGTATAAATTTAACAATAAACATTTAGCGAATGTGAATAAATTACAATTAACCGTCGTTATTTTACGATGGGTTCTACCCCCACCACATTAACAACGCAACAATAAAAATTTTTATAAGGTTACTTAACCTGACGTACACTATTTTCATTGGTTGTTCTAAGTGGGAAAATTTTGAATTCCCATTCATTTATTTTTAAAGAGGAGTATAAAAAAAATAATCAAATTTTAATTATTAAAATGTTGCAAAGCAAAATCATAACTGTTTATTACTTATCAATTATTTTATGTACAAAAATATTTTGAATGTTTTAACAATAAAAAGTAGCATTTTATATATAAGCGCTTCTTCTTGCCAATGAGAGAGAGATATCGTGGCGCAAGTGCAGTTGCGTTTGGATACAATTGGCAACTCTGCGTTTTTCCGGTAAAATTTGAGGGAAAGGAATCATCTGTGGATGTCAAAAAATCACAACCAAAAGAAGAAGTTGATAATTATTTTCATCAATATAATAAAAATGTCAAAATCAACGTCATGGGCTCGAACTCGTCCTGCGTTGAAAGAGCTTATGTCACTTTTAAGCTGTATGAAGTGGTATGTCTTTTGTTGATTATTACCTTCATTTTTTGTTTCCATTGTTTATTTTAGAGCATTGTTATTATTCTAAAAACGTATTTTTGAGTTTAGTTGAGTAAATCAAATGTTTTTTTTTTGGTACAGCAAACAAAGGCCAACAGAACCTATAAAATTCACAACATGTGATCATAATTTTTGTCGCAATTGTGTATATAATGATTCGGAATGTTTTGTTTGCGGAGTTCCTGTTAATCCATCGGACATTCGTCACGATTTTATTATAGCTAATATTATTTCGGCCTGTGATTCAATTGTGGATATTGTGTTTAACAATGGGTATGATTTAAAAATTTTTGTTTGTTTTCTCCTTTCTTTTTTGGTTATATTTTTGGTTTTTTTCAGTAATGCCGAAGATTTTATTGATGATCAAATAGAAGAACCAATAACAGAGAGAAAAAAAGTTAACAACGTGAAAGAAGTTGAAAAACAAAAAGAAATTTCTAAATTTCAAAATATTGAACGACAAAATGAGGATCAAGAAATTAATGATTCAGAAGTTGTGATAGATTTTGATGAATTACTTTCATCAACGAGATTATCTCAAGCAACAACTACTAAATCAAAACATATTGTATTATCAGAAATTAAAGAAACATCGTCTTCCAGTCAAACTATTCATAATACACGATCAAAACATACTGTATTGTCAGATATTATTAAAGAAACACCATCTTCCGGTGAAAATGAAAAAACTAAATGTTCTGACGCTGATACTGTGTTACTTAATGATTCATATGGATTTGAAACTATGAAAAGTATAGATATTAAAGAATCTAAAAATAAAAGGACAACAACGTCTAAAAAAACAACGAGTAGAAAAAAAAGTAATTCATTGACAAAAGCTCCAAAGATTCCAAAGAATATTAACAGAAAAAATAGAAGAGGAGAAACACCTTTACATCAGGCGTGCGTAAAGGTTGATAAAATTTCTTTCTACTCTTTTCTAATAAACTATATCAAATTTAATTTATTCTATTTTTAATTCTTTTTTTTTAATAATCAATATTTTCTATAATTATTTATAACGTTTTGTCCAATTTATAAAATTGTAAAATTTTTTTGTTGACAATTTGGTAAATTATTTTATAGTTGATTGAATATTAAATGTTTTATTTATTTAATTTATTGTTAATTTTTGTAGAATGAAATAGAAACTGTAAAAATATTATTGGAAAATGGCGCGAATCCAAATACAAAAGATAACGCCGATTGGACACCTTTAGTAAGTAATAAAAAGAAAAAAGCAAAAAAAAAAAAAAGAAAATGTTAATTTCCATATGAAATAATGACATTAAGAAATTATTGTAATTGTAATGAATACATTTAAATATATATTTTTTTCTTTATAGCAAGAATCTGTAAATAAGGGTTATTATGAAATAAGTAAAATGTTGTTAGAAAACGGAGCTTGGCCTGATACTCCTGGACTTGATAATAGAACAGCTCTTCATGAAGCAGTGATAAATAATCTAGAGAAATTAGTTAAATTATTATTACAATTTAATGCCAACCTAAATGTTTTCGATCAAGAAGGAAAAAAACCCATGTAAGTTTTTTTTTGAAATATGTTTTCCATTTTTATATTTTTTAATATAATATACTTTTAATTTATTTTGCATATATTGTTTTAATAATTATAGTTATTGTACCATAAAATGGAAAGTAATGTAATTTTGTTTAGAAATTTTTTTAAATTAATTTGTAGTAATCGCTGACTTTACCCCATTTTACGGTAATAATAACAATTATTATTGGGCCATTCCATTATATTTCACCTAAAGTCGTTGCGGCCTAATTTTTAAAGAAGTTGATACTTTCAGAAATGATTTTTTATGATATTTAGGAAACGAAATAAAAAGAATTAAGTTTAAATTTTTATTATTTATCTCAAAATATGTATTTAAAGTGGACAAGGTGCGGAAAAATGTCACCTTTTTAGCATTTAGAAACTTTTTTTAAAAACATAGAAAAATTGTTAAAAGTGTAAAAAAAATTATTTTTTCTTGTTTAGAATCGATTAATTATCTATTTTTTAATGATTAAAGTAGTAAATAAATTAAAATAATATATAAAATAAGTTTTCAAAGTTGGTCTGTCAAATAACCTAATTTTGGGATTTTTATTAATTAATTACTAAAAAGTGGAGTTATTAAATAAAATAAAAACTTACCGAATGTAAAGTATTTGTGGTGAACTTTCAAATTTTCTTAGCACTTTGTACTTTTTAAATTTATAAATGTAAAAAATCTTGAGTCGAAAATTTGCACTTTGTTGACTTTTCCGATTTTTAATCGCTTGTAACTCTTTTGGTGCAAAATAAAAACTTTTGAAACCTTGTGGAATATTTAAGTTAAATCTAAATAAAAACTCACTTAAATTTTTGTGATGGATTTTGATCGAGATAAGGAGAAAATTTAATTCCAAAATTGTACGTATATTTCCAGGTTAATGTATGTAATTTTTTTAAACTTGAAGTTGGGCCACTACTTCAAAGACGAAAAATTACATACATTAACCTGGAAATATACGTACAATTTTGGAATTAAATTTTCTTCTAATCTCGATCAAAATCCATCACGAAAATTGCAGTGAGTTTTTATTTAGATTTAACTTAAATATTTCGCCAGGTTTCAAAAGTTTTTATTTTGCACCAAAAGAGTTACAAGCGATTAAAAATCGGAAAAATCAACAAAGTGCCAATTTTCGACTCAAGATTTTTTACATTTATAAATGGAAAAAGTAAAAAGTGCTAAGAAAGTTTGAAAGTTCACCGCAAATACTTTACATTCAGTGAGTTTTTATTTTATTTAATAATTCCACTTTTTAATAATTAATTAATAAAAATCCCAAAATTAGGTTATTTGACAGACCAACTTTGAAAACTTATTTTATATATTATTTTAATTTATTTACTACTTTAATCATTAAAAAATAGATAATTAATCGATTCTAAACAAGAAAAAATAATTTTTTTTACACTTTTAACAATTTTTCTATGTTTTTAAAAAAAGTTTCTAAATGCTAAAAAGGTGACATTTTTCCGCACCTTGTCCACTTTAAATACATATTTTGAGATAAATAATAAAAATTTAAACTTAATTCTTTTTATTTCGTTTCCTAAATATTATAAAGAATCATTTCTGAAAGTACCAAGTTTTTTAAAAATTAGGCCGCAACGACTTTAGGTGAAATATAATGAAATGACCCTAATTTAATTAATTAGATTTACTTTTATCTTTATTGCTTTTGTTTATAATTTAATAATTCTTTTGTGTAACGAAATTTTCTATTTATAATACAGTGATTATTGCAAATCTGATGAAATAAAACAATTGCTATCCCAGGAAAATTTAATGAATGACTCGCGAGATCTCAATTGTTCCTTAAATTGTTCATTTCTTTCAACAACTGATAAATTTATTGTATTCGCATGTAATTTACAACTATCAACAAAAAAATCATTAACTACATTGGCATTGAAGCATAAATTGAAAATTGTAACTTCATTTCAATCAAATGTTACGCACGTTGTTGTTGAAAGTGGTCAAACAATTTTTCTCAATTACGATCTCTTATTATCAGTTCTTTTTGGGAAATGGATATTAAGTTGTGAATGGATTGACATTGGATTAACTCTTGAATATCAGGAATTTAAAGAAATGGATTTAGATGTTTTTGAAATAAAATTTTCTCTCAACGATGATGCACCGAGGCGTGCGAGAATAAATGCAGAATTACAGGTAAAAAGAAATTTAATATACATATAAAAATTTATATTCAAATAATTGCAAAATAATTTCTTTAAAATCAAAATAAAGTAATTTTATTTTATTTTTTTTTGAATTCTATTCTATTAAATTAATTATTTATAAACGAAAATTAAAAAAAAACTAATATTACAGAAACCGAAATTGTTTAACAATTGCTCATTCTACTTTGCGTTGAATTCACATGATGAATATCAAGTGGGACAAATGGAATTATCAAAGGAAAACTTGGTGCAATTATGTCTTGAAGGAGGAGGATGTTCTTTATCAAGAGAGCCAAATCCCGAAGGTATAACCGATCAACGAATTCCATTTCACGTTGGCGATGAAAATCATCCTCTTCATAATTGTTCTCATTATATTATTTATTCACCTGGAAAAGATGAGCCACGCGTCAAATATAATATGCCTCACATTAAGACATTGCCGCTTGTTTGGTTTATAGAATGCATTGAAAAATTCACGCTCGTCGATCCAGCGATCTTTGGATATTCTTCAAGAATTTCGAATTTTCATTGACGAGTTTTAAGGCGAAATTTTGTTTTTTATTGTTATAATATAATTAAATGTTATTTAATATTACAATGTACGAGCTTATAATAATTTATAAAAAAAAGGAGAAAAAATGCCATACTTAGTATTTAAAAGATTATAAAAAGTTATTAAAATTATTAGTTTAATAACAATGCATTTATAATAATATTTATTCAATCATGCAATGTATTGAGGATATTTTGTTTCAAATGAAAAAAAATACATATTTTTTTATACAGGAATAAATTGTTATTTAAAATTACATTTTTAGGATAAAATTATTTTCAATTTGTGAAAAGAGATGTTTTTTTTCTGAAATTGAAAACTTGAATGTCTTTTGTCAGGAAAAAAAATGGTAAAGAGGATTTCGAAATTCCAAACAGGAAGTATTGGTAAGTTAAATCGACACTAATTTCTTATGTAATTGGTATTTAAGTTATAAATAGTACTAATTACAATCGTCTAAAAAGGGAAAAATAAATTAAAATTAATCTGAAATTAGGAAATTTTATATTCGTATAGTTTATCATTTTATGATTTAAAAAATTTGTTACGAGCCGAGTTACCTTTTATTACGCAACTCTAAAATTGGAATATGATTGGCCGGATTCTCTTTAGTTAAATCCTTTAAGAAGGAAGCGGGAAGGTTTAAATAAAAGATTATTAATTTCCGATACAACGGAAGGGAAACCCGCTCAAAGGAAGAATAATTATTAGTTCTTCCTTCGAAGGTAAAACCCTGTAAATTTATTAATATGATAAAATACAAGCTGACTAAGGAGTTTAGAAAACAACCTTTCAAGTCAGAGTCAAGATTAGAACTAACTTAGAGAGTTTTTGGTCCAGCGGAGTCGCTCTCCGCTTTTGGGTCCATTTTGAATTTGTGCGCATGCTTCACTATGGAGCGTATTCGCTACTCCTATACGTGTATCACTTCACTAACACTTATCACATCGTTCTTAAAATCTTAAGTGTTACTTATACGTTCACACATACATAAGAGAGATTATACATATTCTCTCCCATCATACAACATACTATTTATTAAAATATAATAAACATTAATCATCACAACATTACATGGTTAATCCATAATTATATTATTATAATATAATTATAATAATATTAAATTATAATATTCTGATAATCAATTATTAATTAATTAACAATATTAATAACGCTTACATACAAATGTGTAAATATACTAAAACATGTGCATAAACAATTATTCAATTATTTATTGCTTTCTTATACAAAGCATTTCTGTTGTAGACTTTCGTCTATTGTTTAGCCCGTACGCGACTTTTCTATTGAAGGTAGTAAAAGTCCGTGTCTGGTCAACATGTGTTTAGTGTCCCTTTTTTTTATAGAAAGGATCACATTTTTTCAAGTGGTTTTTATGACGTTCTAGGATTACATTTTAGAATTGAAATAAGAGGAAATATGTGAATATATTTTCTCTTATTTATTTGTACTGATTTACGACATTTCTCTTTTAATCTTTTATGTTGCTAAAAGAAATACGATATACAAATAAACTTTAAAGTTCAACAGAAATACTTTAGAATTAGTCATGCTATTTCCTTTATGTAAAAACTCTATTTTATTTATTATGAGAAAATGTTAAGAGTATTATAAAATGTTTTATAATGACACTTATTTTAGGTTATTTAAATCGTAACTTTAATCATATCGTATCGTTCATTCGATACATCGAAATGATTCGAGCGAGAATATAGTCGCTCGTTACAAATTGCATACATACACATACTTTCTAATTGGTGGAATTCTTGTCCAGTTCAAAAATGTAAATCCACATGTCCACATTGTGGACATAAACTAACCTCAAATAAGTTATAATAATAATAATGTTCGACAATAACAACAATTTTGTATAAAAATAAAATATTAAGTAATTTATAAAATCAGTGTTTGAAAAAGTAATTAAGGTAAGTAATAAGGTACTAATTTATATATAAATACCAATTTTATTAAATTGACGTTTTCGGAAATGAGACAAAAACTTTTGTTTCATAATTATAACTTTTTAACTAAATTAACGTTTATTTATTATTGTTATCAATTATTTTACCAATTAATTAAAACTGTTTGTTATAAACTTAAAAATGTATAGGGTCAGTTGGAGTAAATGAGGACAAGAGGTTTTGGAGCTTAATTTACAGTTTGAAAATTAAGTTCAATGTCAATATTTTAACCTAAGATCACCTGCAAGAGGTTTTGAGTACTGCCAAGCTTTTATCTTGACAATTGGCAGCAAGATAAAAAAAGTTATCGTTCAATGAAGAAAAACTTGAAAATCAAAGTCAAACTGTTTCAGTATTTTGTCTCGCATTTCAAAGAAAAGAGACTTAAAAATCATACTAAATTTTTTTCTTATTCCTTATGACTCCTATAACAGAAATTCACTTCAATTTTTGATTTTTGTCAATTTGGGTAATAATGACAAGCTGTCCCCATTTACCCCAAAAATTTGAAAACTCAGGGTAAATGGGGACAGCTTATCAATAACAACTTAAAAAAATAAAAACCCTTAAATATTACCTTTTAAAGGAAGAAACTTACGTGATTTGTGAAAAATAGCGATTTTGTCCCCATTTACCCCAACTGACCCTATTTTTATAAATGACTTTTTTGAGCTATATAATTTAAAACATGTCTTTTTATTTAGATGAACCGAGGCATTGTGATGATGCGATCTTTGATTTCAAATTTTCGAAGTCAAAATTATAGCACTCTACCTAAAGAAGCTATAATATATTTAGATAAAGAAACGATTGTTTGCTGGCATCCAGAGCAACCTTTTCCGTATAAATATTCAAGACCTTTACCCAAAGAAAGAATACCAAAAACAATGTTACAAATTGGTAGACAAGAAATAAATGAAGCATATGAACTTAAAACAGAACAACAAATAGCAGATGAACTTGCTCAATTAACACAAACAACAAAACATAGATGGTTCCCAAGAAGTAGAGATAAAAAAGCTAAGAAAACACCACGTGAAAGAAAATATATGTAAAGTTTTCATCATTTATAGTTGCATAAATTTTTCTATTATTATTATTGTTTATAATTAATGTAGTATCAGTAAATAAAATTTATTATTAAAAAAAAAAGAAGAAATTTGTTTTGTTCAAATTTCTTATAGTTTTATTTCAAGTCTCTTATTTTATTAGTAAATACAATTAAATTTATATAATTTCTTTTTTTTACGTATAAAATCACAATGTTTTCGAACATTTTCGATATTTTATGAATTGCACTTATTTAATATAATTTCCCTAAAAGTAATATACAATGTTAATTTTAAAAAAATCTCATAAAATATAATTTAATTTTAAATTTCTACACGCATAAAATCATCGGAAATATGTAATAATTAACTCAATTTTTTAGAGTCATTTGTCCTATAGTTTTAATATACAGAGTTTGAGATCATTTTCTTTTAATACTTCATATTAAAAAAGTCAGCCTTGTAAAAATACTAAGAAAATTATCTTATTATTAATTATATTTCTATAAATGTTCTGGAAAAAGATGTCGTTCTCCTTCCACCATTAATATCTCCATAGCATTGTAAAGTAAATATTTTCCCAAATCGCATTTTTCTTTATTTGTCCAAGTTGCTACTTTGCCATAGTATTCACCACTTTTACAATTAGCTAATTTTTCAAGACCCAAAGCAGCAATCATTGACGCTTCTCTTGTATAAGCCTCTACTGGAATGGTATTATGAAATATATGTAAAACAACGACTCCTTGCTTTTCATTCCAAATGTCAATAATTTTTTTTATCTTTTTACTCGACGTCTCAACTTTATTTGAAACCCATAAATGAAATGCATCATATAAATGAGAATAGGGTCTTGATTGTTTTCCTTTTCCAATATAAAAAATTGCCGACAAAAATGTTTCCCATTGTTCTTGTAAAGAAAGACTTGTTCTTCGATTTGGAAGATCCCTTGTGATTCTTGAATCCAACAATAGATAATTAAAACAAGTTTTTGTTAATCCTTCACGCCATTTACGAGAAGGATCGGGTCTAGCAAACTCCTCAAATATTTTAATTTCTCGATCTCTATAAGATTGCAAATCTTTTTGCCAATTTAATGAAATTAAACTTGGTCTAATAGAATGAATTTCATGTTTCTCAGATAAATTTTCATGATATGGTTCATTTTTGAAATTTTGTCTCATATTTTCCAATTTCATTAAACGTTTTAAATATACTTTATGAGTGGAATTTGTTATTGGACCTGGATTTTCTCCTAATTTTTGAAGCCTCTCGCGAAGAGTTTGCTTGTCGATAAGTAACATTTCCTGTGGAAGACTTGAAACTGTAATGAAAATTAAATTTTTCCTTTTATAAATTACTAAAAAGCTTATAATACGTCCAGAGAAAAGATATATTTGTATCGAAGCCAAATAAATATTTATTTGTTTCCATTAAATTTTATTTGTGATAAATAAATTTTTTTATTTAAAACAAATAAAAAGTTATTAGACTCTGAGACAAATATATTTTTATTTGCTTCAAATATACGCAAATATAAGATTTCTCTGAGTGTAGGTCCATAAACAAAAAATTTAAATTTCCCATAGAAGTTTTAGATTTTTTTTGTATTTAAATTTTTTGAAAATAAAATTAATTTATTAATTATTTTATAATTTTATTTAAATTGATGTAGATATCTTATTTTTTTGACTAAAATGTGAAACGCCTAATTTTTGTTTAATCTTTACGTATAAGTAATTTTGGAGCATCCATAATTTAATCATATGTAATTTATTAATGCGTTATTTATATTTATTCATTTATTTGATCAATTAAAGTATTAATTTAAATATCTTACCGGATTCAGCAGTAGAACAAGTGTAAAATGATGTTAGCTCTTCTTTATTAATCATTACACTGCAAACAAAGAAATCTTAAATGAATTAATTTTATACATATTTATCGATATTAAAAAATTAAATTGTAACGGCGAATATTTAGAATTAAACTCTAAATAATTATAAAGTACTAAAGAAATGAAAATTTATAAGATTATTTTTACCTCATATAATAAAAAACAATTGCATTAATTTAAAATACTACTATCAGAATTATACTGAAAAAAAAGAAGTCAAACAGTACCGTATTTACATTTCTTATCGCTTATCGCTTCACATTAAATAAAAAGTAACTATATTGAAATTTTCTCGTTTATGCTTACTAATGACATTATTTTTTTTTTTTAATTCACTTTTTTTTTAAAGAAGAAATCATTTTGACTTAGAAGCGTCGAATTTTTATTTATTTTATTTTTTAATTTTATTATTTAATAATTGCAATTTTTATTTAATTTAAAATTTTAATATTAAATTCAATTAGACACTCTAATTTTGAAAAATAATATTTGAAGAAAAATATCCTTACCAGGATGGAGTAATACAAAGTCTACGTTCCATTAAGACAACTCCTTCCTCAAAATCTTTGTATTTATATTCTTCTTCAAGACTTACAAAAGTTTCATTAACTTGTCTGAAATAATTAAATAAAATCAAATGAATCTAAATTTAATTAAATTTAGAAAATCACTAACTTAGTGATTACATTTATAGATTTTACTTATGTTTATAGTGAGAATTCAAGTATAAATATTACCTGTTCATAAGACTTCTTTCCGTGAGATCGGTAGTAATGAAACTATTTTTGCTTTCTCTAAAAGAATTTTTACAATTTTCAATATTATCATTAGTTTCACTTTGATTAAAAGATAACAAAGATTGTTGGGAATGATAAGATTTAATTTGTTCTTGACAATCAACTATACTATCACTTTGAGAATCATTGCTATCTAATTTGTATTTTATATTACTTATTTCCTCAGTTGAATTAAATATTTTTAATTTTGTTCGTGAACTAGAATCACTTATATTGGATGTCATATTTTCTAGAGATGTATTAAATTTAGTTTCGTTAGTATTGTTTAGAGAGTTTGAAACATTTTGTTTGAAATTTTCAATTACTTTTGTATTGTGAATGTCATTATTGTTTGATAATGAGTCAAAATCATCAGTAATATAATCTTCTAATTTCATTGCAACATTCTTTAATTGCATTATTTTACTCGATGCACTATAAATACCACTCGATTCTTCTGTATCTTTTTTCTTGTAACCAGAATTAATTTTTCTCTCCATGTTAAATGGCTTTTTAAAAAGTGGCGATGATTCTTGTTCTTGTGAAATTTTATTTTGAAAATTTCTTGGAAGTGATTTTGAGGTTTCAGCAATTTTTTGACAGTGTTTCTTATAAGTTTGACTAATTAATCCACAAGGTGTTCGTGATATTATTTTTTTAAATGGATTTTTAACTATTGTGGGAGTTGATTTTTTTCCAAATATTGGTATTTTTGATAATTTTTTTTTCTTATCAGAATTTGAAGCGATGGCACAATTTGGTGATTTAGTAATAATTGAATCGTTTAAAGAATTTAAAGAATTTTTCTCAAATAATAAAGATTTTTCTATGGTTTTGTCATTTTTCAATCGAGTGAGAATATTACAGTTTGGACTCTTACTGACAATGGAGTTATCAAGAATATTGCTATCTTTTTCAATTAAGGGTGTTTTTATTCTCTGTTTGTCAGATTTTAAAAGATGTTCATGTGAGATCGTTTCTTCTTTTAATTTGTTCTTTAATCTTCCTCTAATTAAATTCTTAGAAAATTCATTTTGCTTATTTGTTGCTTGATTTGACATTCGAAAATTTTTTGGAATTAATTGTATTCTTTTTTCAAATAAAGAAGTGTCAGAATTATGTGTATTGTCAGTTTTGGTAATATCGTTAGAAACAGTTGTAGAAAGATGAGATATTAATTGACTGACAAGAAGTTTCTCTTCTTTATATTTAGTTTCAATTTCATTCGACGGTTTTTTATTCTCTTTTCGATTTCTTCTATTCGATATATATTCTTCATTTAAAATCAACTGACAATCGGAAGAGGTTGAGTTGTTTGTTGATTTAATATTAATTTCAAGAACATTCTCTGGTGAAATATTAAAAGTGCCAGTTGTTTGTTCGTCAGTTACTACATATTCGGCTACTAAATTTTTGTTATTAATTAAAACTTTTTCTGAAAAGAGAAAAAAATATTAATAAAGTTTAGAATAATTGTTTTATATAAGAATATTTTGTAGATTAGAAAAAAAATTACCAAGTGCTATGTCGTATTTGATTTCTTCTTCCTCTCCTTCTTCGTCATTCATGGAATCATCACAATATTTACGAAGAACACTAACAGCATTATAGTGTGCTCCATCGAAAGCAAAATGAAATGGACTGTATCCTTCATTATCGAGATATAATGGATCTCCACCATTTAATAAAAGTAATTCGAGAATATTACATCGACCCCATGCAGCGGCTATGTGAACAGGAGTTAAACCCTCAATAGATCTGAAAGTAAATTTATTTGTTTTTTAAATTAATTAATTTAGAATATATTTAAAATTAGAGTGTAGAATTTTAAATATAAATTGTTGAGAATTAAAGGAAAACTTTTTCGAGCTATTCTATACCTTATATTTGGATTTCCTCCGTGACGTAAAAATAATTTAGTTACTTCCTCGGCAAACGATTCAGAGGGATTTCCAATTGCTAAATGAAAAGGTGTGATTCCAAAAATTGGTATGAAAGTGTTAGGATCTGCTTCTTTATTGTCCAGGAGTGTCGTCACCTGACTTAATTAAAATCTTAATAAATAAATATTTTGAAATAATAATTTTTTTATAATAAAAAAAAGTCTTATATTAACTTTCTTATTTCTGTAATTAAAACAAATACTATTCGATTTGTATCCAATTTTTGTAATTTTTTTTTTTTAATTTAAATTTATTCATACAAGAAACCCCTTCACGTAAATAAATATAACCTAAAATATAGAATAATTTAACGAATTTCGATTTAAATTTTTCATAAAGAATATTATTTTTCAAAATCAATTTAGTGATTATTATCAACCACTGTTATTATTATTCATTTCACTTTGAAGAGAAATAAAATCCTTTTGTTAAAAAATAATAGTACATTTGAAAGCAACAAGTTAGTAAAATTTAAATTATTCTTTAATAATACTTACTTTATATTATTATCCTCAACTCCATCGCACAATGAAGAGGCAAGAAAAAGTTCTTTTTTTGCTTTTGGTGTAGCAAACATTGTTTTAAGTAGTAATTATAGTTAGAAAATTAAAATATATATACAAATTTTTATTCGAAATACACAAAGACACAAACGGTTGGTCGTTGGTCTCGCGTTGTAAACAAAAAAAAGAAAGGTTAGTTTAGTAAGGTGTGATTTCGACAAAGTTTTATTTTTCCATGCCCGTGAAGTTAGCACCACAACTTAATGAAAATCAATTTTTTTTTATTTTAAACGTTTGTTGGTCGTTTGATAGTGTTTGATAGTTGATATTTAACGTTTGATAGTAATAATTAGAAAAAATAAACATAAATCAAATTTTGGTGTGCTATTTTCACAGTGCACCCCAAATTCAAAAAAATACTAATTTTTCATTTGTAAACGTTTGTTGGTTGTTTGATAGAGATTGATAGTCAATTCTGAACGTTTGATAGTTGAAATAATAATAAATATAAACATTATCAAAAACATCTATCCATGTCGCATCCCTCCATATGCGCATGCGCAAAACATACTTTCGCGGCATTTTCAAAAAACAGAAACAAATTTTCATCTTCGATTTTAGAAACAAAATGTAATACTTCAAATTTTTATTCATATATCATACAATTAAATACTCTCCTTTCAAAAATTGAACAAATTGAATAATTGTCAAATTTTAATTCCAATCGTTTGTAGGCAGTTTAATATTGATTAATGGTAGACTAATATCGTTTGATAGTGATTGATAGTTCATTATTTTCGTTTGATAGAGATTTAAAATTGACTAAAATCATTTGATAGTAATTGATAGTTGATTATTTTCCTTTGATAGTGATTTATAATTGATAATTAAAGTTCAATAGAGATTTATAATTGACTAAAATCGTTTGATAGTGATTGATAGTTGATTCTTATTGTTTGATAGCGACTAAAATCGTTTGATAGTGATTGATAGTTAATTATTATCGTTTGATAGTGAATAATAATTGACTGAAATCGTTTGATAGTTAATTATTATTGGCTAATATCTTTTGATAGTGATTTACAGTTGGCATAAATCGTTTGATAGTGAATAATAATTGGCTGAAATCGTTTGATAGTGATTGATAGTTGGCTAACATCGTTTGATAGTGATTGAAAGTTGATTATTTTTCTTTGATAGTGATTTATAATTGACTAAAATCGTTTAATATCGATTGATAGTTGATTATTATCGTTTGATAGTGATCTATAATTGACTAAAATCGTTTGTTAGTGAATAATAATTGGCTGAAATCGTTTGATAGTTAATTATTATTGGCTAATATCGTTTGATAGTGATTTATAGTTAATTATTGTCGTTTAATAGTGACTTATAATTGACTAAAATCGTTTGATAGTGAATAATAATTGGCTGAAATCGTTTGATAGTGATTTATAATTGACTAAAATCATTTGATAGTGAATAATAATTGGCTGAAATCGTTTGATAGTGATTGATAGTTGGCTAAAATCTTTTGATATCGATTGATAGTTGATTATTATCGTTTGATAGTGATCTATAATTGACTAAAATCGTTTGTTAGTGAATAATAATTGGCTGAAATCGTTTGATAGTTAATTATTATTGGCTAATATCGTTTGATAGTGATTTATAGTTAATTATTGTCGTTTAATAGTGACTTATAATTGACTAAAATCGTTTGATAGTGAATAATAATTGGCTGAAATCGTTTGATAGTGATTTATAATTGACTAAAATCATTTGATAGTGAATAATAATTGGCTGAAATCGTTTGATAGTGATTGATAGTTGGCTAAAATCTTTTGATATCGATTGATAGTTGATTATTATCGTTTGATAAAGATCTATAATTGACTAAAATCGTTTGTTAGTGAATAATAATTGGCTGAAATCGTTTGATAGTTAATTATTATTGGCTAATATCGTTTGATAGTGATTTATAGTTAATTATTGTCGTTTAATAGTGACTTATAATTGACTAAAATCGTTTGATAGTGAATAATAATTGGCTGAAATCGTTTGATAGTGATTTATAATTGACTAAAATCATTTGATAGTGAATAATAATTGGCTGAAATCGTTTGATAGTGATTGATAGTTGGCTAAAATCTTTTGATATCGATTGATAGTTGATTATTATCGTTTGATAGTGATCTATAATTAAATGATTGAACGAACTTACCTTAAGTGATGTTCAATCGCAATTGTATAAGCCGCCTCGTCCGAATAGATCAAATACGTAGTCACGTAGTACTGATTGTTCCGCCACAGTAATTTTAAAAACAAGAGTTTTTCGCGCCGCCTATAGGTGTCGTGCTTCGTGCTGCTTGCTGAACTGCCATTATATTTTAAAGTTGAACAAAATCGCTTAGGGGTTAATGAATTGGTTTACCTGTTTATTCTTTTTGGGTTGGGTGGGTGTGATTAATTCGGACGAGGCGGCTTATACAATTGCGATTGAACATCACTAAGGTAAGTTCGTTCAATCATTTAATTGTATTACGCCGCCTCGTCCTTCTAGATCAAATACGTAGATGTTTAAAGCGTGGAGCGATTTTGTGTTATTATATTTATTATAGCAACAATATCATTCAACGAGTGATGAACAAAAGTTTAGTTTATTGGAAGAAAAACTTATAGTGCTTGAGAGAAATAAGACATTAGGAATAGAAAAATAAAAAATTCAAGGGTAATATAATTTTTCAGTTTTGAATGACGGCTGCTGCGAACGATTCTGACTGTATTAACGGACGATTGTAAAATCTTCCAAATACTGAAGAATTAGCGGTCCATCCCGCTGCTTTCCTTATAATTTCAATATTAATCCCACGTCTTGCTGCGGCTGATGTCGATGCGTGCCTAGTGCTGTAGGCTGTGAAGATGTCGGTATTGATACCACTCTTATTGAGTGTATCTTTGATCCATCGACTTATGCTTGCTGTTGTCGCGGCCTGGTGGGGTTTTTTATATGTGAGCAAGAGGTAACCCTTGGTTTTGTCGCCTTTTCTTATTTTTTCCGTTTTTTGTATATAAGTGCGAAGTACTCCTGCTGCACACAATTCCGGTTGATTTTCAAACGAGGGTATTTCAAGGAGCGGTTGGTATCTCGTTCTGCCTGTTGTCTTCAGTCGGTCTGTAATTTTGATTTGGATAGGTTCTCTCTCTAGATTAATATTTTCTAAACGGATCGCCTTCAATGTTTGGATTCTTTGAGCCGTGATGAGAGATAGAAGAGTCGTTAACTTCATGGTCAACTTTTCCAAGGTTAAGGTATCGTTTGGATACAAGGTTGACAAATATTGAAGAACAAGTTGAGGGTCCCAGGTCGCATCGTACCTAGACTGTGATGGTTTGGTCGTGTGTACGCCTTTAAAAAATCTAGTGATGCTGGGATCTTTGCCGATTTTATTGTCCATTAGCAGAGATACTGCTGATCGGTAAACGTTCAGCGTACTATATGAGCGAGTGGTTCTCGCAGTCTCAGTGAAGAATTGTAAGGCAGCTGGAGTTGAGTCGCAAAAAATGTCGAGATTATTTCTTTGGCAGAATTCCCACCAAAGTTTGATGGGTTTGCTATATTGTTGTATAGTCTTTGGTGACAGGGAATTTAACATCATTTCAGCGGCCTCCTGAGATGCTCCTTTTTTCATGAACGCTTCCCGGATAAGAGTATCGCTACCAGGGAAAGCGATTGGTGAAGCGGGTGCGTTTTCCTGTGAGGAGAAGATAAAAGACTTTTATTAGGTTTGAAAACAATGGATTTTTCGACAGCTAGTGACATTAGAAGTGGGTACCAGGGTTGAGTAGGCCAATCAGGCACCACCACAACACCTTCTGCTTTATCAATTTGAATTTTTTGTACAACTCTTAGTAATAGTGCAAAAGGAGGGAAAGCGTAGAAAAAGTGACAACCCCATTTCATGGTGAATGCGTCTATGGTAACGGAATCGGGGTCTCTTAGCCATGATACGTATTTTTTGCATTTAGCGTTAACGCTTGATGCGAATAAATCAATTTCAAATGTTCCAAATCTTTTTTCAATTTTTTTGAATGCCCAGTCAGCCAATTCCCACTCAGTCTCTTGAGGGAGGGTTCTGGATAATTCGTCAGCGTCCTTATTTTCTTTGGATGGAATGTACGAAGAAAATATCCATAGATTTCTAACTTCGCACCATTCCCAAATCTCGCGGGCAAGTTGTGTTAATCGGGGGTACTGTATTCCTCCCATTCTATTTACGTATGCTATGGATGTCGTGTTATCCATGCGTAGAAGGATCTCACAATTATTGTTTTGTTTAGCAAAACACTTCAGGCCCATAAATGCTGCTTTTAATTCCAGTGCATTTATGTGAAGTTTCTGCTCTTCGATGCTCCACAGTCCCCTAGCTTTCTCACCCTCACAGAAAGCTCCCCAGCCAGTCAAGGATGCGTCGCTAAAAATCTCTTTGGTAAATTTAAATTCGCGAATTGGGTGAGACGATTTCTTTGCTTTGTGCGCCCACCATTCTAGGTCTGACTGTATTAAATTAGAAAGAGTTATTCGAGCATTGTAATTATTGTTTGAATTATCTAATGCTAAGTATTTTTCACGCTCTAACCTCTTCGTATACAGCCAACCGTATTGAACTGCGGGACACGCAGCAACTAAAACGCCAATCAATTGTGCCAATTCCTGTATTTTACAAACTTTGTTTATTACAAATCTGTTAACTAACTGAGAGATAGACTTCCGTTTTTTTTCAGTTAGTTCTAAGCAAAAATTTTTACTGTCGATAACCACTCCTAAAAAAATACAAGTTTGTGATGGAATTAACTGACTTTTACTTTCGCTGATTATAAAGCCAAGTGATTCCAGCAAAGTTCGAACTATGAAAATATTTTGCCTGCATTCGGCTTCGGTTTTAGCAATAATTAATACGTCGTCTAAGTATATGACTAGAATGATACCTTGGCTTCTTAGTTTTTGCACTACCGGTTTGAGGAGTTTAGTGAACACAAACGGTGCAGTGCAAAGACCAAAAGGCAAACATTTAAATTCGTAATCGACATTTCGAAATGAGAAACGGAGGAATTTTTGATGTTCGTTTGTAATAGGGACCATGAGATAAGCATCCTTCAAATCCATTACAGCCATGAAGGAGCCTTGGTTTATAAGCCGTAAGGCAGTTTTCATGTCTTCGATTTTAAAGTGGGAGGTCGTTATAAACTTGTTTAATTTTTTTAAATTAAGAATGAAGCGATCCTCGCCACTAGATTTTTCTCTTAAAAAATGTGATGACAAAAATTCTCCCTTACATGGCTTGCAAGGAGCCACCGCACTTATTTTTTGGAGTTGAAGGATAGCCTGAGCTGTCCTTGCATTTT